CTTCATTCATAATCCTATAGCACGTTTCATACAATAGAGCCCTGGGTGCCGGTGAAGAAACGTATAGATATGACTCCCATAGGCCATATACCAACAATATTTTAATCACACAACTTATTTAGGTGACTTCTTTCTCAAAATAACCGACCCAAAAGACTACCTGTCCTCATCGGACAACTATAGCACGACTATGCTTGACGAAAATTGACAAACTCCCTGACTACTTGTTTTTAATGTTATCACTGTTTCGCGATCTGCAATTCACTTGAAAGCCCCCTTTTTCCTTGTAATATATTAAACAATTCTCTCATATATATTGGTCCAAAAGTTTGGAATTCCCTACCTTATTTGTTTAAAGGTTTGTTCGATTTAACAATTTATTGAAAAGACTTTACAAGAAACATCTTCTCTTTCTTTGTAATGCATAATTTATTTTACGATCTCATCTTTCATACTGAAATGCAATCAAATTGTCTTTAAGTACAGCCTATGCTATTCAGGCGCGGATCCAGGATATCTTAGGGGGGGGGGGGGGGGGGGGGGGCCCAAATTTGAAATTATGGGAGCCAATATTGGTACGTAATGGTGACCAGCAGTGACGTAATGCGGGGGGGGGAGGTGGGTGTAGGGAGGGGCGAGTTTCCCCTCCATCCTCCGCGAAACACGGAAACTTTGACGTTTCATTAAATCATTAGAGAAACAAGACGATTTGTTGTACAGTTCTCGACTCTTCAAATAATCCTCGTCTGAACTCAGTTTTTCCCATCTCGCGCGAAAGCTTTTACAATTCTTTATCTCATTAGAGAGAAAAGACGATTCGTTGTACCGTTCTAGAAAATAATTCTCGTCTGAATTTAGTCCTCACCCCCCGCCCCTCTCTCCCGCGCGAAGCTCGGAAGCTTTTACGTTTCATTAAATCATATAAGAGAAACAAGACGATTCGCTGTAAAGTTCTCGACTCTTAATCCTCGTCTGAATTTAGGTTCTCCCCTCCCGCGCAAAGCGCGGAAGCTTTTTAAGTTTCATTAAATCATTAGAGAAAGAAGACGTATTGAGTCCCCCCCCCCCCCCCCATTAAGCTTTTACGTTTCATTAAATCTTTAGAGAAACAATATGATTCGTTGAACAGTTCTCTACTCTAAATCCTCGTCTGAATTCAGGTTTCCCCCTCCCGCGCGAAGCGCGGAAGCTTTTAAGTTTTATTAAATGGTTAGAGAAAGAAGACGTATTTAGTTTCCCTCCCCCCCCCCCCCCTCCCGCGCGATGCGCGGAAGTTTTTAAGTTTTATTAAATCATTAAAGAAACATTTTGTTGAACAGTTCTCGACTCTTTAATATTCCTCGTCTGAATTAAGTTTTTTCCCTCTCGGGAAGGAAAGCTTTTACAATTCATTAAATCATTAGAGAAAGAAGACTATTCGTTGTACCGTTCTCGAAAATAATCCTCGTCTAAATTTAGTTCCCCCACCCCCTCCCGCGCGAAAGCTTTTACGTTTCATTAAATCATTAGAGAAACAAGACGATTCGCTGTACAGTTCTCGACTCTAATCCTCGTCTGAATTTAGGTTCTCCCCTCCCGCGCAAAGCGCGGAAGCTTTTTAAGTTTCATTAAATCATTAGAGAAAGAAGACGTATTGAGTCCCCCCCCCCCCCATTAAGCTTTTACGTTTCATTAAATCTTTAGAGAAACAATATGATTCGTTGAACAGTTCTCTACTCTAAATCCTCGTCTGAATTCAGGTTCCCCCCTCCCGCGCGAAGCGCGGAAGCTTTTAAGTTTTATTAAATGGTTAGAGAAAGAAGACGTTTTCAGTTCCCCCCCCCCCTCCCGCGCGATGCGCGGAAGTTTTTAAGTTTTATTAAATCATTAAAGAAACATTTTGTTGAACAGTTCTCGACTCTTTAATATTCCTCGTCTGAATTAAGTTTTTTCCCTCTCGGGAAGGAAAGCTTTTACAATTCATTAAATCATTAGAGAAAGAAGACTATTCGTTGTACCGTTCTCGAAAATAATCCTCGTCTAAATTTAGTTCCCCCACCCCCTCCCGCGCGAAAGCTTTTACGTTTCATTAAATCATTAGAGAAACAAGACGATTCGCTGTACAGTTCTCGACTCTAATCCTCGTCTGAAATCAGGTTCTCCCCTCCCGCGCAAAGCGCGGAAGCTTTTAAGTTGCATTAAATCATTAGAGAAAGAAGACGTATTTAGTTCCCTCCTTAAGCTTTTATGTTTCATTAAGTTATTAGAGAAACAAGACGATTCGATGTACAGTTCTTGACACTAAATCCTCGTCTGAATTCCGGTTCTCCCCTCCCGCGCGAAGCGCGGAAGCTTTTACGTTTCATTAAATCATTAGAGAAACAAGACGATTCGTTGTGCAGTTCTCGACTCTAATAATCCTCGTCTGAATTCAGTTTTTTCCCCTCCCGCGCGAAGCGTGGAAGCTTTTACGATTCATTAAATTATTAGAGAAAGAAGACCATGCGTTGTACCGTTTTCTACTCTTAATCTTCTCCTTTTTCTTCCTACGTCCTCTTCCTCTTCTCTCCTCTCTTTTTTTTCTCTTTTTGGCCGGCGATTTTGGGGGACCGCCCCCACCCCCCTCCCTTGGCTACTCGCCTGCGGTCAGATAAACACATTTTGATACCTTGTCCGACCCCGGAAGCTTAGGGGTTTAAGGTAATAAATTACGGTCATATAAGCATTCAGGGGCCCGCCTTAGGGCCCCTGGTGGGGTCGAGGCAGTGGAGCCACCGGAAGCTCAGGGGTTTTAGGCGTTTAATTACGGTTAGATGATCTTCTTTTTTTTTTGTAAACCTTATTATTTTTCTGACACTGGCAGGACACTATTTGGCGTTGGGCCCAGGGGGCGAAGCCTCAAGAAATCAGGGGTTTTGGGCAATAAATTACCGTCATATGAGCATCTAAGGGCCCGCCTTATGGCCTAGATGGAATCCAGGTGGTAGAGCCCCCGGAAGCTTAGGGGTTTTAGGCATTTAATCACGGTCAGATGAGCATATTTTGATGCCTCATTATTGTTTGACACTGGCAGTCAACTATTCTTTCTTTCTTGCTCTCTTTCTTTTTTTTTTATTTCTCTTTAAAATACTTTTTCCATTTTCCAACAAACACATAAAAAGTATGATTTACTAAAAAGTCAGGAAATTAAGTAATTTCAGCATTATTTGTAATCCACCGTTATGGAATTAGAAATAAACCACGTTTGAATTTGATTTTCCCCAAGACCCCCCCCCCCCCATATCAGTACGCCAGTATCTCCTCTTTTCCTTTTTTCGTTCCCCTTCCTTCTCTCTTATTTTTTTGATTGGGGGGGGGGGGCAACAACCTGGGAGGCAAGGCCCTTTCGGCCCACGAACTCCTTCTTCCCCCTTTTCTTTTCTTCTTCCTCTTCTTTCTTTCCCTTTCTCTCCTCTTTTCCTTTCTTCTCTGTCTTTTTTTTTGCGGGGGGGGGGGGGGGGGCAAGGCCCGCTCGCCCCCCTGGATCCGCGCCTGATGTTATTATTACTTGTGCGCCTGGTGCATTTAATTGTTAACCCTTATTGCCATTTACGAATGTATCACTTTTCATTTATGATATATGGTTTATACTTTCTCATTTTCTTCATATTTTAAATGTTCTTATATGTCAATGTATAGGCCTGTTATTTTTTGCTTTTTTTCGATTTTAATTTTCTCTTTGTAGGCTACATGATTGTGAAGATGGAAATAAGGTTCAATTAATTTTAATTCTGCTTAATTCAACACTGCATAATGTAGCCCTGATTATGCTTAATAGTATTTTTATATCGCATTGTGTAGGCTATGTTATCGAAAATAAACAGAAAGAGAAACGCAATGTATTTTGAAATAAAGGATTTTTAAGCCTTAAAACTTGACGTCATTTCGAAAACTGACCATGAAAGCGGCCTATAATCAGGCGCGTACACAGGGGGGGGGGGGGGGGGGGGGGGGGGGGGGGGGGTTAAACCCCCAGTTGGTATTTTTGTGTGTGTAAACCCCCCCCCCCTAAATTTCCCTAAACCCCCCCCCCCTTTTGGATTTATATATTCCCATGGCTGACCTCAAAAAGATGACCTTACCCCCCCCCCAACGGAGCAAAATGTCAATTTTTCAAATTTCGATACCAAAAAAAAGAAAGAAAAAGTGTCCTCTTACCCCCCCCCCCCCCCCCCCCCCCCCCGCTTATTCAGCGGCTGGCTGAGTCGTTGCGAAATTTTCGGCCCGATTTATAAATGTTAAGGCCCCCCCCCCCTTGATAAAAACCTGCGTACGCGCCTGCCTATAATATATAGGCCCTAATTATGTAGATGAATGTGTGATTGTGAAAGAAAATTGTACGATGGTAGGGTGAAAAGTAGAGAAATCGAGAAAGAAGATGCATGAAAATGAGCTGCAATGCTGTCTCTTGATCGTCACAAATAATTATACAGTTAACAGCTAAATTATTTATAGGCCTATACCCCTTGTAAATTAGTGTTTTTCGTAACGCAAGAATGGACTGGTTGAATAAGTGCCTCCGTTGAATGCTTTCAGATTTAAGCTTCAATACGTCATATTATCAAGACACATGAATCGGGACAAATTACATACTTAATTTTGTTTACAAACATTGGTAAGGGTATGAGTAATTTAGTTGTTAACTGTAAATCTTTGATGAATATCTAATAGAAGTTTTCCTATTTGAGAGACGGAGAGAACGGGGCAGATCTATCATCTATGTACCCAATTATTACTCAATTAAATTACGTTAATCAGTCCATTGAGTCTTACATCACTTGTCCCTGCAATAATAACCGCGCTGGTACAAAATAAAGGCACTCTCCAAACCTCCAATAGACGCAATCATTCAAGCGGACAACTATTACAAGAGCAACGCAAACGATATCCGGATTCTGAATAGAATAGTGTACACGGCACCTAGACAACAATGACGCTATCGGGGTACCGCCTAGGCCCGTGAAAATTAACACAACACTTATTGCGTGTAAAATGATTGATTGAATAATTTTGACGCAAAGGACTTTACGAACTTTTTGTAACACCATAAAACAACTCAAAATTCTGCATCGCTGGACGATGATAGTGGAAACAAATATGACGGAAATATAGGAAGACATATGATGACGGTGTTATTGATGTATTTTTCGTTACAATAGCTGTTATTTGGAGAGAAACTACGAAGAAAACTGAAGGAGTTTTCCGCTAACGAGTCGAGAGCGGGAACGGAGCAAACTCCGCGGAAGTATGAGGACCGCGCGAGGTGTGAAACCGCCCTGGACCAGCGGGGCAGCGCTCCCTGGAAAATTACGATGGAATCTAAATGGATGCTGGAAACTGATTTTGACTTTGATTTTGTGTAACGTCCTTATCATCGATAGCGTATCAGGTGAGCTCATGTTTGGCTATAGAGATGGGTGACATGAAATAAAGATTTAATGGCCTTTTTAAACTGCTGAGAGAAAGACAGTCGGCTTGAAGGACCGGCTTGAATTTAAATAATGTTGACAAAAAACTTGAATGATGTTGTGTACATGTATACGGTATGCTAAAATGGAATTTGCATCAAACAATTTCAAAACAAGAATTATGTACATCTAGCTCTAGGACAGTAATGTTAGATCTATATAGATCTCCAGAGTCATAGAAAGTAAAAAAGTAAATCAGAGTTATACCATCACAATTATCATTATCCTGGTCTTCTCAGCACCAAATGCTTCCAAAAAATTTATATGTGCGTTCACCCGCACATAGGTTCATTTTTGAACGAAGCACCTCTCAATGAAACGACCGGAAGTTTCAACAGGATCACCTCACACTTCCGTATACTGATGCTGATGCTGATTATATTTTCATTTCATTTTCCTGATTGGTGCTTTAACTTTCCAGAATCAAGATACGATATTGTAATAATTAAACTGATTCACCCAGATTATTTGATTTTGACTTGTAATGGTTCAATTGTTTATTACCTGAATTACCTATGATGACGCCCAGTAAGTTTAGAAGAGTTGTACCGGGCTATTCAACAGGTCTGTTCTTGATCATATAGATCTAAAGCTCATCAAATCAATCCTCACATACAGTGTAGGGTCAAAATTTAGTTCAACAATCATTTTCAAACTGAACTATTTCAACTTTCTAATGGTCATTGAGTCTGGACTTAAAAACATTGACGGGACGATGCCTCAACAATATTAGCAGAAAGATCGTTCAAAGAATTAACTACTATTTGAATGAAAGAAAGAATGTGACCATAATATGCTGGCGCACATCTCCTCTTTAGAACTTAAACCTGTATCCTTGAATGAATTGATTATTAAGAACAAAGAACACCTTTATAACCTGAATCTTGATTCTTTTTCTTTTTCTTAGGAGCTTGTGACTGTGAGACTGACTGTGCATCAAGCTGTACTGCTGGCCAGTATTGGGATAGTAATGCTACAGCATGCTTTGAATGCCCACCAGGATATTAGTAAGTACTAGTTTATCAATCGGGGTGTTGCCAAAGGGGTGGAGGGAGGGAGGGGGGGGGGGGGGTAGCGGGTTTAAAAGAGCTCAGGCACATGCCTTCCAGAATTATGTAACATGGCAAGTTAAAAAGAAATAGCGTCATTAAGGATAAGCAGTAACAATCATCTCTGCTGTTGTTTCAATCCGTTATTTTTACGATTAAACATTTTTCATCATCATTTCTTCGTTAATGAATTTATATTTATTTCTTGTTTGTTTATTTATTTATTTACTTACCTATTTTGATTATGCATTTATTGTAACATTTATCTATTAGATTAATACATACTGTACATATACATGTACATGTACAAACTGTATGTTGATTTATTCACATGGTCTTTGATATCTGTTTCTTACCTTTTATTTGTTTTTTAATCAATTTATTGGTTCATTTATGCATGTGGACCCTGTATTTGTTTATTTATTTCATTTATTGAGTTAGTTTTTATTTCATACTTATAATTATCTAGTTATTTATTTATTTGCTTACATGTATTTGTTTATTCATTTATTATCATTTTGTTGATCATTTACTTTTAAGTCAGTTTTGCAGGGGGAAGATTTCTCTGATAGTTTCAGTTCACATCAAATTCAATCTAGTTGTATACCGTTATATATACCATTCTGTTCTTACAACATACTATCGACAGGGTCCAAAGATCAGCTAAAGCTTTTTAAAAGTCAGAGTACTACTTGTTAATGGGGAACCATTCAATAATTACCACACAGATAAACATCTTCATTGAATTGGACAGCAAAGGTCAGATGTTTTTAATTTCTGAACAAACAAACAATACCAAGTCATAAAGTTCCTTTGAAAGCTGTCATTATAGAGCTTACATTGTGTGTTATTTCAGGGAAACTTCAAGAAATACAATCTGTAATTCCAAGTCAAGTGTTAAAGCCCCACTGTATTACTTGTAGCTACTTGCGCCCTCTATATAACAAACAATTCCTAATCGGTGACCATTGGTCCCCCATGATACTCTTTTTCTTATGTTAAAGGTAATACAAAGTTTTGGTATGGGGTCATGAATTTGGTTCAAATGAACATATTGGAAGCATATATGATCCTACAATATTTAGTGATCGTTGTCGCGGTCGAAATCGACTCTTAAGTTATGAAATTGTAAATAATAAACACTTTATGTTGAATAGCTCCCTCTCAAGGTCACGATATTAATTAAGCTATAAAACGATGTTTATTGACTAAAATCGACCGATTAGCTATTCCCGTTCGAAAATTATATACCACGACTACATACTCTAAGATTTTCATGGTCGCAGCTAACATTGTACGGCCGTAGGAGCTATTTGAAATTTATCAAAATTTACCGGGAGCACCGGTAAATCTTTATATTCAATTTTTCTCGAAAGCAGAAGTGTTTTAGGGGCTAAACTTTCTGGTGTTTTCAATACATCCACAGGGGCATCAAAATATATCAAAATTGTAAAGAATCACTATCCACCCATTTTTCAAAATTTCCCAAAACTTTGTAATACCTTTAATTGAGAGCTGAGTTGATGAGATAGCCACCTGCCAGTGACCACCCTGGGTGGTCTAATCCCTTCTAGCTAAACTAGTACAGACGGCCTTTAAAGCAATTGATGAAAAGATTAAATAGGATAAAAAGAAGCTTTAAAAGCTGAAGATCAGTTAATATACATGTCTGTTATTTGTAAAGTATTAATCTCTACCTACATGTACATGCACATAACTCAATATGGAGTCCTATAATGAAAACAAAGAAAAGAAACTCTTTGGATAAAATGAAGTCAATGTTGGATAAAAGCATGAAGAAATTGCATGTTATTTGATAGTTTATTCACAATCATCATTGATTAATAAAGGGCCTGAAGAATGAAACAATGGGCAGATGATCACATATTTGTAGATCAAATAAAAAAAATGAATATCCCAAACATACATGTACTATAGAATATAAAGAACATTTGCATTATGTTGTAATAATATTTCAATGTCAAAGCGGAAGAGTTACAACATTGATGTAAGGAGACTGGTCTGTACCAGTACAACTGACATTGCTTTTAATGTTTTCCTCGTCTCAATGTTCAATCTGATTTTATATCAATGTACTCATACATAGTGCATTTTGACAGGTCACTATACAACTGACCGTTGCTTTTAATTGTTGCCTCATCTCTGCCCGACTAATTGAGCCCCATTCAAAGTAGATTATTCGTCAGTTTGGCATCAATACCATGGCTACGGGACGCTATGGGGGAAACATGCCGATTGTTTCTCTATTTGCTGAGTCTTCATGGCCTTTATGGGGTCTCCGTTTGTTTACTCAGTTGAGCAATCGTGGAGTGCACTCTATTCAAGTAGGCATGCTCGCAATGTAAAGAAGAGCTTGGATTTTGAAGATGGAATAATGATGTTCCTTGCTGCTGAAATGACAAGTAATGTTTGAGAAGAACATTGATTTGTACCCCTTCCTTTTTATTCTGCTCATGTACAAAACATACAGTATGTACAAGATGTGAGAAGAAGCATGTTTGCACATGAAAGAGATATTTGTGTAAATACATGTACTGTACAATTTCTTTGGCAATTCTTTCATTGCATTGCTCCTTTCTACATCAGAGCGAATTTTAAAAATCTGTTCGAGCCAGATTGTTGTTAATAGTGCTTTTCAGTCAGAAAAGAAGCAAAAGTAGAAGAAAAGAATAGAAAAGAAGGAGAAAAAGGAGCCAAAAAGAAAGGGAGAAGAAAAAAAGAAGAAGGTTAAAAAAAAAGAGGAAAAGGATGAAGAAGAAGAAGAAAAGAGAATTGGATAACAAGAGGAAGAAGAGGAAAAAGAAAAGAAGAAGGAGAAGAATGTAAAGTAGAAGATGAAGAGGAAGTAGAAGAACAAGAAGAACATGAAAGGCAGCAACTACAGTACATGTACAATGTACAAGATAAATGAAGAAAAAGAGGAGAGAAGAAGTTCACAATAATTGGAAGAAAGAACAGGAGGAGGGATAATGCGAAGAAGAAATGGGTGGACAATACATGACGATGGAGAAATTGAACAATTTCTTTAGTTGATGATTATATGGTTTATTTAGGAATAAACAAACATACTGTACATGATATGTGTAACTACATGTATGTAGGCCTACATAATATGCAAGCAATCTCTTTCCTCCTCCTTCAGGTGCGCATAGTATGCTTTGATAATTTCCTAATTCAACAAATACAATACACGTACATGTATGTGAACCTACGTACATTATGTGCAGTTAACAAATACATTGTTCATACCCTTACCAAGGTTTCGTAATTTTTTAAGGATGTGAAAAAATTGACTTATCTAGAAGTATTTTTCTTGAGAATGTGACAAATTCAACCAGTCCACCTTTTCATTCTTGAGTTATGAAATACACTCAAAACATCAAATTTACAAGGGGTATGAAGAATTTAGTTGTTAACTGTACATTATCATCTACATGTAAATAATGAGACAGCTTGTGTGGACAATTCTATTCTCATTATGCAGAATACATGCATATGATAGTACAATGTACCATTAATCACTTTGCAGTGTTTAATTATCACTCAGTATCTGAGTCTAAGAACACACTCACACTCTGTACAAGTGAACTACCACCTTCAACAGATGAAATTTGATGAATAGCATTTCTCAAAATAGAGATTAATAAATGACACCCTCCTTACGAGATCCCCTTGGAAGTCCAAACAGTGAACTAATAAGTTACCCGGATACCGATACTGTCAGTGTCAAAGTCCTTTTATTTGTGTGCACAAAGCCATTTTGTTTCCATAGTAACGTATCAACAATCAATAATGCATGTTCATCAAGCGCGACCATAAAATAGAAATTGCTCTGGTGCCGGAGACGAATTAACCAGCTTATTATTGATGTTTTTTACACAGTGCTGCTGGCAGTATGGTGATAATGGAAAATATGACAACCTGGATTTATTGATTGATAAAAGTATAGGAGCGATTTTTATCTGCTGATGGTGGGAAAAGGGAGAGGACTTTAAAGGATATTGGCCTATTGTACATTGTTATATGGATGCTCCAGTTTTGTAGGAGTAGGGGAATTTATTTCAGAAAGTTACATTTAAAGCTCATATCCACACCAGTTCAGCTTTTCCTATTCTACTTCTCTCCCCTTTCTTTCTCCTCCTTTCTTCCCCCTCTCTCTCTCATCGAATGTTCTCTCTTCACTGTCTCTTTCTCTCTCTTTTCATTATCTTTCTTTTTGTTTCTCTCCTCAAAAAGTCAAAAGCTTGATTAATATCTTGATTTGAATTTGAAACATAGTAAACTGACTACATTATGTTTGACTGTTTATTTAACTGCACATGTTAACAAGAATAATCTTAATAGATTTTATCAGTCTTTTTACCAAGCTACATGTTCATCTCTCTACAAACATGTACAATGTACGTGTACAGTATGTACAGGTATGTTTGTTTTATCCAAAGAGTTCAAGTGACAGGAGTCTTGGTACAGTCAAACCTGTCTATAGCGACCACCAAGGGAAACACAAAAAGTGGCCTTTGTAGACAGGTGGTCTTTGTAGACAGGTTCCTTTAGTACATGATTCAATGAGAAACCATTTTCAAGGAAAACAACAAATGTGGCCTTTGTAGACAGGTGGTCACTAAAGCAGGTTTGACTGTAATAACTGATCAAATGAAATGAAATGGAATATCATAGAGGTAGAGAGAGAGATGAAGAGGGAAGAAAGAATAGGGTGGATAATAAAACAAGCCCCCCCCCCCAACAACAAAAAAACACACAAAAACAACAACAAAACAAAACAACAACAACAAATTAACACAACACAAACAACAAACAGGTACATGACATGTACAAGTAGCTCTACAGAGAAATCTGTGAAAAATGAATAATGTAAGGCAAATGTGTATGTACATACATTGCAGGTCACTCTATATACATGTACTGTACAAGTGTACATGCCTTTTAACTTGAAAAGAGTTGACTTTAGCAGTACATGCACGTCACTCATTGCACAGGTGTCTGGTACTTGATGGCTTTTCTTTAATTCCTTCTTGAATTATTGATTAATTGACTGTATCTGATCACCAGTCATAATGCACAGTCATGGTTGCATGAATAGAAAGAAACCGCGATCAGATTGGAAAATCCATAAATTTTGTAGATAATACCTGTATTACGTGGTAGCAACGATGCTAGTGTGAAATTGAGAATTATGGTCTTTTTTGAAGAAAATAAATCAATAGTTTGGGAGCCAGGAGTTAACATCTTTATGTAAAATTCTAGTTAGGGTTTCATTTAAGTTAATCTATATGTACAGTGTGTTAAAATGTACTTTCCCCAAGTTCTGTAAAATGTACAATGATTTTTCTTGTTGTTTGCTCATAATCTTGAAAATCAGAAAATTGTCCTTATAACATTTTCTCCTGTCGCCCCCACCTCCCACTCCCCACAAACACAATAGCTTTGGCCTTTACAAGGGATGATGATGTTGTTGATGATGATGCTGATGATAATAATAATTACAAAATAATTATATTAATACATTATGATGATTTTAAAAATAAAAAATTATAATAATAATAATAATACACCTGTAATTACAATGATTACACTGTATACAAAAAGAGGTATGATATTATTTTGTGTCCCAACGGAAGCCTCATCAGCATCAATGCTGAGGGTCCTGTTGATTTATAAATAAAGCTAATTTTGTTATTGTTTTCTCTATCTAGTTGTACAGGAGGAGGTGATCCTAGATTACCATGTTCAGGGGGCACCTACAACAGCCTGGCCAGCCAGACATCGGAATCAGCTTGCATGGTAAGTGGTTAACCATGAAACCTGTATTTAACCACCAATCAAAGAAGACAATAATGTCAGTTGTTAGAGTCAGGTGGTCTGGAAGTACAGTTCTTTTGAAAATACATTTCAATGTGAACCAACATTCATGGAAAACTAAAAATTGTGCTTTTTATAAATAGGCATTCTTTCTGTAATGGTGGTTCCAAAAACAGGTTTGACTTTATCTAAACTTGTAAGTTTTCAGTTTTTGTCTAACCTCACTTTTCTTTCTCTATCTGCACCTGTACTTGGACCTTCTGAGATTAACATTCATAAAGAGTGTCTGTTACTACATTGGACCTGAATTTATCCATTGTAAAGTTCAGGCACATGTGTATAATTCAGAATATACATGTAATTGATCCAGGTGTGAGTTTAAAAAAGAATGTATGTTATGAAGACATACATGTAATTTATGCACAGAAGTTGTAGGCCTTTAAATTTGCCAGTCAACCTGTATTATTTTATTTTGCCTGCAGAGCACAACATTGACAAATTGATATACAGTAGTTGAAAGTGGAACTTGTTTAAATGATGTTAAAACAAGTAAAATGTAGCTTGATCTTTCCCAACTTTGCTACTGTTGACATCATAAATAACGAACAAATAATAATTTGATTTTGTCTTGATTGACAGGACTGTTCGGGAGGGACTTACAGCCTTGATGCAGCCGAGTACTGTGAATGGTGTCCTGCTGGTTACTTCTGCCCTTCAACAAGACTGTCTGAACCTATCATGTGTGGAGAAGGTAAGATGATAGTGATGATGATGATGATGATGATGATGGTGATGATGGTGATGATGATGGTGATGATGATGGTGATGATGATGATGATGATGATGGTGATGATGATGATGATGATGATGGTGATGATGATGATGATGGTGATGATGGTGATGATGGTGATGATGATGGTGATGATGATGATGATGATGATGGTGATGATGATGATGATGGTGGTGATGATGGTAATGATGATGATGATGATGGTGATGATGGTGATGATGGTGATGATGATGGTGATGATGGTGATGATGGTGATGATGATGGTGATGATGATGATGATGATAATAATGTTGATGGTGATGATGATTGTGATGATGATGATGCCGATGATGATAATGATAATGTTGATGATGATTGATGATGATGGTGATGCTGTTGATGATAATGATGATGATGATGATGATGATGATGATGATGATGATGATGATGATTATGATGATAATGTTGATGGTGATGATGATGATGATAATGTTGATGGTGATGATGATCGTGATGATGATGATGTCGATGATGATGATGATGTTGATGATGATGGTGATGATGGTGATGATGATGGTGATGATAATGATGGTGGTGATAATGATGATAATAATGATGTGGATAATGTTGATGATGATAGTAATGATGATGGTGATGATGGTATTGAAGATGATGGTGATGATGGTAATGATGATGGCACTGATGGTGATTTTGATGATAATAATGACGATAATTGTGCCACCTAGATGGTGGTGGTGAATTTGATTGAGATGATGTTCATGATGACAATGATGATGGCAATGGCTGTGATGATGATTTAGAAGATTTGGTGAATGTGGTGGTGTTGGAGATATTGATTATGATCATGATGATACTGATGTTTACTTAAAAGATGATAATGATGATGATGTTCACTTAACCCTTTTTCCCAACCCCAGGTCAGTACTCCTTCAACGGCAGCTCCTCCTGTCTCCAATGTCCCGTGGGTCACAAGTGCCCATCCATCTACCAAGACCCTGTCCTGTGCGAGGAAGGGTACTACTCCAGCGGGGAGGGGCAGACAGAATGCCAGGAGTGCCCAGCGGGGTACGCCTGTCCGGATCGTAACAGCACCCAGGCCTGTACGCCTGGCTACATCAGCAAGCTAGGAGATGGCAGCTGTAGCGCTTGTGACCAGGGATATTACAGGTTAGTTTAATAATCATCAATGACTTACTTGCTTTTTCTGGTTTTCATATATATGTTCAATATGTACAGCTCTCTCTGTTTCGAGTATTCATCATTAGCTTCATTTCCCTTGTCTTACACTCCTCTCTCTCCTGTACACTATACTACTCTTCTTTCTCTACTCCTACCTGTACACATTTTCTAAATCTATCCTTACATTGTCAGCTTCTCCAAACCACCCTTTTGTATCAAGTTAAGATAAGACAAAATTCCAAGGAGGGCTTTCGGCCAAATCCCCATAGAAGCCAGTCAGTCAGTCAGTCAGTCAGTCACTCAATAGTGTCTGACAGTGAAGTCTAGCAAGTAAACGGGTTTCCTTGCATAATTTGAATATGAGGACACTGCTAACGTTTAAATTTCACAGATAGGACATACATGACATATTCATAATTCCTGCAAAGTTCTACAGCATTTGAGGTTGGCTGCAAAAGGGACATAGTACCTTTAAGTACAGGTGATCAGTGTGATGTAATGCATAAAACTGAAGTTTATTTATGCATTATGTTGTCATAGATACCCTTCCGTTTGGGTGCCATTTTGGTCGAGGTCGATGGAAGTCGATACACGCAACAAGTGATATGTCTGCCCTTTTGATCATATTGACTGGAACAAAGCTCAATCAACCGTCATAATACTGTGTATAATTAGTTATTGATGAGGCATTTTGTGTATACTTTGGGTGTTATGTTGGAACAGTATACCTGAGGTATATTGTCTATATATTTTTTTTATTACATATTCTTGAAAGCAATTTTAGCTCAAATAAGTATCTCTCTCTCTCTCTCTCTCTCTCTCTCTCTCTCTTTCTTGCCTAATACCAATACCCATGTGCACTAAGTCTACCTGCCATTATTCCCCCTCTCTATTTCTCCCTCATTCCTTCACCCTCACTATTTTGCCCCCCCCCCCTTTTCTCTGTCTCCTGTTCCCCTCTTTGCCTCTATCATATCCCCCTCTTTCTCTCTCCTCAGCTCTATCTCTCCCCTTCCCTTTCTTTCTTTTCCTGTCAAAATCATCCAGCAGTTTCTCCCTCTCTCTCTTTTGCCTTCAGTCAGTCATTCACCCGTGCATTTTCCCTCACACTTTCTCCCCCTCTTTTTAAAAAATCTTTTTCTACTCTTTCTTTGTCATCCTGTTATTCCCCCTCTTTCTCCCCCTCTCTCATTATCTTCTTTATCCTTCTCTCTCCTTCTCTCTCACACTTCGCCTTTACCTCTTCTCTCTCTCTTTCCCAGCCTATAATATCCTTTTGTTCCCCTATCTATCCCTCACTCAGTCTTTTTTACTCCTTTACCCTTCACTATTTTTTTTCATCTCCCTTTCTCTCCACTTTCTTTCTTTTTTAAGTTCTCTCTCGTTGTCCCTCTCTATATCTCTCAGTCTCCCACAGCCTCCTCTCTTCCACAGTACCCCTCACTCCTTTTCTCTCTCCCCCTTCTCCCCCTCTCTCCCCCTTCTCCCCCTCTCTCCCCCCTCTCTCTCTCTTACACTCACCCCTCACTCCCTTTAGAACTCTCTCTCCCCCCTCTCCGTTAAATCTTTTTTCCTATCTCTCTCTACATGTATGTACAGTATGCACACCTTTATGACTGCAACCTGTCTGACGATGCAATTATCAATAAGGAGGATGAGTGATAGTGTTTGCTAATAATAATGATACACATCGGTATCTTGATAGTCTCCCAGGGACGTTCTACTCACGATTGATTAGATCATAAAACTATAAGTACCATACAATTTGGTATTGTCCTTTCCCACAATATACTGCATATAGCCTACAGTAGTTTGGGTGCATTGTATACAGACCTTCATGTATGTGTGTGTGCGGCTGTGTTTGTGTATAATATGTACATGTATGTAGATGGATGTGTCGTGGTATGTTGCCAGAGTTTTGAATTAATGATGAATTCATGACCTTGCCAAGTTAATGAAGTATAATATGCTTTATACTCAAAGGTGCCTCCTTTCTCTATGTCTCTTTCTTTTTTGCTCTCTCTCTCTCTTTTTCTCTTTCTCTTTCTCTCTTTCTCTTTCTCTCTTTCTATTTCTCTTTCTCTCTCTCTCTCTCTTTTATTCTCATTCTCTTTCTCTTCCTATTTCTCGCTTTCTCTCCTTCTCTCTTTCTCTTTCTCTTTCTCTTTCTCTTTCTATTTCTCTTTCTATTTCTCTTTCTATTTCTCTTTCTATTTCTCTATCTCTTTCTCTTTCTCTCTCGTCTGTTTCCCCTGATTCTCCATCTGATTATCAGTTAGACCCTCCAAAGAAAAGATAACCAATTATACCAACAACCAAAATGAATAGAAATATTGTTCATGGAAATGAAGCGAGCAAAATAAATAAATTGATTATAAAAAGAAATGAAGAAAATAGGAGAAGAGAGTATCTAAAGGAAGAAAATGAAAGATATGATTCCGTGCTGAATTTTGTATACGTCTATTCCAGTTATTTTGTTTTATCATTTGGTGCATTTCTGATACATGTAATTCTGTATATTAATACACATGTACTGTAACTCTGATTGAGGATGTACTACTAATTTTACAATTTTTTATACATTTTGGTACTGTACATGTTCATCTGTTTCTATTGTGCTGTGGCTGTAGGCCAGTAGGTCTATAATTTTATGTGTCTATTATTCTTCAATTTAAATAGCTCTTATATTGTCCTTCAATTTAAATAGCTCTTATATTGTCCTTTTTTTCTTTTTGTGATTAAAGAAAGTAAACAAAAGAAAAAGAAAAAGAATAAGATCAATAATTGCTGTCGACGATAGTACACAAATCATTATGAAGCCAAATCCTTGAAAAGTTCCTCAGTGCCATTATTGTGCAGTCTGTGCAGCTCATATTTCAGTGAGCTAGGCGGGACTTGATTTGTTTGAAGGGAGCAACAGTGTGCCTGTAGTAATAGCAAAGGAAGACTGAGCCATTGTGCAAGCCCAGATTAGCACAGGTCTATTGATGTAATAGCGTGCACTCATGCGTAGGACAAGGACCTTACAAAATAGGCTACCAGTGTGCATGTGTGTGTTTCAAAAAGTGTTATGCAAGAATGATTATGTACGTACATGTACATGCTTTTGTACACATAAAATGTACTGTAGGGCAAGTCAAGCTATTTTGTCCCAGATATATTACCATGCACCACATTTAACATTTTAGTATCTGAACAAAGTGCAAAGAAAATCCATTTTTATCAAACAATATCATTGCTACATTATTGTTATTATTATTTAAATTTGTCACTGTTATTCTTAGTTTCTTACTATTATTATTATAATCATGATTATTATGATTATCATTTTAACTATTATTGTTATCATTACAATTTTTCATTTTATATTCATAATTGTTATTATTAAAAGTTCTCTGGTAGAAATACTCTTTTAATTAAATCAGTCGTTTCCATTTTAAAATGGTATTACAATCAACTCTATTTAACATTGATTTCATGAAATTCAAAGCAGTAAAGAAACATTTATATGAAAATGGTATTGATATGCATACTTAGCTAAGTTTGAAAATCCCTTATATCGTGATATACTGTACATGTAGCCCTATTTTACATATATTTTCAAACTAATATTTGGGTTGCAATACCAATCATTTATATGTGTAGATGTAATGGAAAAGAAGATCTTCATGCATTTTTTTTCTTTTCTTTTCTCCCCCTTCTCATTTCATTCTAATTCTATCCCTCTGCGCCTCAGAATAGTTTACTAGATCGATGGCGCATAATAAATGCTGTATTATTATTATTATTATCTTCGGGTTACAGTTATAGTTTATCTTTTTCTTTTCCCGGCATCCATGTGACTCTTTTCCAAATGTACTCTTGTTTTGTATTCAATGATTTTCTTTGTTTTTGCTGAATAAATATTAATCATGTTGCTTTCACTCATCATGCTCATTTCTCCCATTCACCCTACCAGTGAGGAGGCAGCATCCACCTGCCTGCCCTGCCCAGAGGGGTCCTCCTGCACCGACCCCTCCCAGGACCCCACCACCTGCTCCAAGGGCTACATCGCACCCCTAGGATCCGACAACTGCACCCGCTGCGCCTACAACGAGATCACCAACACCGCCCAGACGGACTGCGTGCCTTGCCCAGCCGGTCAGGAGTGCTCCGACCCCACCCTTGACCCGGTTGATTGCGCCGGAGGGGAGTACGCACTGTTGGGGGATGGGGTGTGCCAGGGTTGTCCGGCTGGTAGCAGGTGCCCGTCAGCTAGCACCATCGAGGACTGCCCAGCAGGTGAATAGAGTTTCTTATAATTGCCTTGTGAAGAAGGGCCGACTAGTGGCTGATCTTTTTCTTTTTCTTTTACATTCTGAGAAACATATACAAACATTAGTGGACACTGTCTTACTGTATATAATATTTTCAAATGAGCATTTGCATCTTGTAGAGTCAACAATGACAAAACTATTCAACATGAAAAAAAAAAAAAATCATGAGAAACACAAAAGGGAGGGGCATATTAACAGAGCTGCCAACCATTATTTTTCAAAGGAATTATTATGTTTTTCTAAATCAAAATTACAATTTTTTTTTCTTCATAAAATACATTTTTTAAATAAAAAGAAAAAGGCGTAAATATTCTCAAAAAGGAATAAACACTGATAATACCAATTTAAAAAAAACAACACCCAATTATAAATAAAATTTAGGTCCTAATATGGAAATAGGATGAAGAATGGACAGTTTTGCATTGGAAGTGTGTCACATGTGGTTTCAAATGAATTTTTTGTTGTTGTTTGAAATTCCCTTTTTTTGCCATCATGGTTCCTTTTTTTGGTTGCACAAGATTGGCAGCTCTGTATTAACCATGTGTTTGTCAGACCATTCAGACCAGTTGACATCCATAATTTACCCAGGTTACATGCATCAGTTTTAAAACTGCACTTTCTGCGGGCCCTTAAATTATAATGATGATGAGACTACAGGTAATTGTGAATCTATTCATGTTCCCTCGACAGGAACCTATTCGAGTGGGAGTGCAACCGATTGTTCGCCGTGCCCTGCAGGTCACAGCTGTACAAGCTCTTCTACATCTCAGTGCGGAAGTGGAGACTACAGCCCTATTGGAGGTAAGAGGAGGAAGAAATGATGATGGTTGCCATGGTGATAATTAATGGAAGGGATGGGTGCATAGCGAGGACAAAACACACCAATCAATGAATGAGTGAATGAATGGATTGATAGAGGGATGGATGAATGAATGGATGAATAAAGTAAGTGATTAAGTATTAAGTAAATGATTGAATGAATGAATGAATTATAAATGAATACATTGATAAATGAGAAATAAATAAATACGTAGCTAGCTTAGAAATGAATGAGTGAATGAATAAAAAAATAGTGAGTGATTGAGTGAATGAATGAATGAATGAATGAATGAATGAATTAATGAATGAATGAATGAATGAATGAATGAATGAATAAATAAATGATAAATGAGAAATAAATAAATAGGTAACTAACTAAGTGAATGAGTGAATGAATGAAAAAAAAGATTGAGTGAGTGAATGAATGAATTAATTAATAAATAGTAATGTTGCACTTCCATATCTCTCATTTTTCAGATGTCAACTGCTACAGCTGTTCAGCGGGTTTCTACTGCACTCCGCTTGCTGGCTCCCAGACGTCTTGCCCCGATGGCTACTACTCTGGGGTTAATGCAACCTCGTGCACGGAATGCCCGCCGGGCTACCAGTGCACTTCAACGGTCGCCCAGGAATGCGCAGCGGGATACTACTCTCTAGGACAGGCCAGCGCCTGTTCGCCTTGCCCTAAAGGTTAGTAAAGCGTCAAGTCTAAGGTATTTGGTCATGTCATGTCTCAAATGTTACCAGGGGTAGTAAACTTCTGGGGATAACTTACATCAAATGTGCCATTTCACTTAAAGATATGGTTGAGTTCTGATCATGCAATTGCCTTGTAAAAGATATTTGAAGAGATCGATCATGTAGCAGATACATATTTGTGTGTACTGTGAGGTTTTTTAATCATCAAAATGATAAGAAATTGGCCCAATGTTGCTAACAGTCACATGCACTGTACACAGAAATTATCTGGTTGCCACAATAACTTGAAAGTTTTTGAAGCAATTCAAACCGGACTTGGATGAAATATGAATGAGCAAGGATGAACTGATTGGATTTTGGGTGGAAAATGTCAAAGGTCACAGAGTCATAAAAGTCTCAAAATATGCCATAAAATATCTCATTACCGTTATTCTCATTAATTTGAAAAGCATTAAAACCATTCAAACCAATTAACAAACATACAGGTAGAGGAATATTAGAGACTCAGTTGCATTCATCTTGTATAAAAAAACAAAAGCTTCGCAAAAAATGGCATTTAGTTGTAATATTTTCCATGCTTGACTATCTTTTCTCCAGGATACCAATGCAATGTAACCAATGCAGCCCCTGTAGCCTGTACCAATGGATGGTACGCTGATGCCTCTCTTCAGACCTACTGTCTCCAGTGTGATGCAGGCTACTACTGTGCCAGTGATGGAACTCAAGCCCCTCAGCCATGCGCCAGCGGTAAGACCAGGGGCGGTATTCTGAACCCTGTGTTATCTCTAATATTGTTGTATCTTTGAAGATAAGATAAAGTTGGTATTCTGAACATTGTTGTAACTTTTGTGTTATCTTTTGTTGTATCTTTTCTCTCATCTTATTGGCCGCGCCTGCGCTCATACTTTGGTGCGCTTGTAATTGTGCGTATTATTAATAAAGTGGCATTTAATTCTCATTTGCATATGCGCACGGGAGATAATATGTCGAGATAATTGGTATTCTGAAAGTTGTTGTATCTTTTATCTTATCTTATCTTGCATGGTATTTACAACAATATTTACAACAGGTAGGGGGTTGTTGTATCTTTCGTGGTGATATAATGGCGGCAATATTTTTTGCCCAGAACCAACTTCGTGCCAATAGACGAGTTAGAAGAAGATTGTATGTTGACCGGAAACATCACAGATGAGAACTTTCTAAGATATTACATGCTAGGATAGGACTATTTTAATGCTCTCATCTTAACCAATATAGTGAAAGCGTGATTTGTCTTCATGATCCACATTCAACAGCGCATAATGATGACGCGCGTAATAAGTGCTCAAATAACTAATTACGCCCAAGATTAGTATGCGCTAGGCGCATCTTCAGATATGGCATAAAGTATTCCTATTGGTTGATCTACTTATCATGCTTATATAAAATAGATTTTGATTGGTAGGGTCCATAAAAATGGGCGTGTCATCAATGGTCAAAGATAAGATAGAGGCGGTCCTTCAAGAGATAACACAGGGATAAAACAATGTTCAGAATACCAACTTACAACAATATTAGCGCTGTGTTATCTCTGGAAGATACAACAAAAGATAACACAAAACTTACAACAATGTTCAGAATACCACCCCAGGCTTTTTATTTAATGTTATATGTTTAAATTTCTCTTCACAGTGTTTTTCCAAGGTAAAAAATGAATTACAACATAATTATGATAATAAACAAATTATATAATTAATACATCATCAACGTATAATAATTACATTGTAATACAGTAAAACCTGCTTTAGTGACCACGTGTCTAGAAAGACCACATTTTTGGTTTCCCTTGAAAATGGTTTCATATACTAAATGAACCTGTCTATAAAGACCACCTGCCTATAAAGACCACTTTTTTCTCCCTTGGGTGGTCTTTATAGACAGGTTTCACCAAACTAATATAACATAATCATGAAGAAGGATTGCTGCATAAACTAATCCTAAAGGTGTGGTAATCAGGTATAAAACTGCATAATATTTAAATTGCTTCTCTCCATCCATTACTGTTAAAGGGATAGTTGAGTTCTGTTTTCAGACTGCAAATGCCTTCAAAGTGCATGGTTATTGCTCTTATTCTTATCTATGACATTTCTAGTGCCCTTTTAGAACTAAAATTGCTATGAAGGTAATTTTAGACCCCAAAATGTGTGAAATTTAGCCAATACGATTGTACCAATTCAGCTCCACTTTCAAAAAAATATGGTGACCGTTAATTAATTATTTAATTAAAAATAACAATACATGGACCGGCTGGTTGTGCATATACAGTATAACCAACACGAAAATGCCAACAAAAAAGCCAACATCGGCATTGGCTGAAATACGACGTAAAAGGCACTATTTCGTTTTTTCAATGGCTTTTTCAATTTTTCTAATATTTGTGGTGGTACACAAGTATTAGAAATTGTTATATTTATGGATAACTCAGCCATTTCTGAACCGATTTTGATCAAACAAAGATGATTTTGTCATTTAAATTGTATGTTCTTTCAAATTTGACACTCAATTTTTCATTATCTCACAAAACAATTATTTTGTGTAGCACCCTCTGCAACAGAACTCAACTATCCCTTTAACTGAGGATGTATTTAAACTGCAATATGTCTTCATAGAATTAATATTCAGAGCTCATATTTTGAATTCATTATAGCCATGTGGAACCCCTTACATCTAGAGCAATATACTGTATATGTGATTGGTATGCTTTAAAGCCTCACTGCACTACTTAGCTATTTGCGCCCTCTATATAGCAAACAATGCCTAATCGGTGACCATTGGTCCCCCATGGTCCCTTTTCTCTTATGTTAATTGAGAGCTGATTATATGAGATAACCACCTGGCAGTGACCATGCTGGGAGGTCGAATCCCTCCTGGCCAAACTAGTGCAGATAGGCTTTAACATGTAGTACTTTGACTTTGTTAACAGGTCAGTACAGTCAGGCCGGGAGCACCAGATGTACAGACTGCCCTCCTGGGTACGCATGTCCTGACAAGGCCTTAGAGGACATGGAAGCCTGTGAGCCAGGATGGTATGCTACCGGGATGGCCACCGAGTGCACACCATGTACCGCAGGGAAATACTGCACTAATACTAGGTGAGTAGCTTTGATGGTGGTGATGAGGGTCCTTGTGACGATTGTGGTGGTGCTAGGTGATATTTGTGGTGATGTTGGTGATTATAAGTGCGGAGATGGTGGTTGTGATGGTCCTTATGATGATTGGTGGTGTTGGTGATTATGGTGATAGTTGTGGTGATGATGGTGGTGATGATGATGGTGGTGTTGGTGGTGGAGGTGTTAGTGTTGGTGGTGCTTTTGGTGGTGGTGATGGTCCTTATGATGATTGTGGTGGAGGTGGTGGTAGTGCTTGGTGGTGGTGGTGTTGGTGATTATAGTGGTGTGGAGCTTGGTCATCATTATGATGATGATAGTAGTGATGGTTATCTTGGTGCTTGCGCTGGTGGTGCTTGTGGTGACAATTGTTTTAATGCATGTCATTTTGGGAATTATTGATGTTGGAATATTGATTGTTTTACAGAGCAGGAATGAGTATGACAACCAACTCTTTGTGGTTTCTCTTCAAGCAGCAGGCTAAAAGTTTCATAATTAAGGGGAATAAAAATGTACCTTTCGGGAAAAAGTATATGCTAATTAACTACCCCTTTTAACCCTTACAGTCCTTTTGTAGGTATAAAAGACATACGATTTACACTTGCACGTCATTCTTTCATCAACTCAGAACCAACTCAGAGATTGACTGCGACCCAGGGACCTACTCCTACACCAACGCTAGTGTCTGCATCACCTGTGAGGCTGGGTACGAATGCCCCAACACTGATCACTCCGACACCAGAGAGTGTATGGAGGGGGAGTATAGTACCAGTGGCAGCGTGGCGTGTCTGATCTGCCCACCAGGATACGCTTGTCCAGATCCGACCCTAGACTACCAGGTTCCCTGCCAGCCTGGACTCTACTCCATCGGTCAGCAAGCTTCGTGTACAGAGTGTCCCGCAGGATCGTAAGTCAGCCATTTAAATGCCACATGCTCCATAGATAACTGCTCCTTAGTCTGTCGAAGTGTCGTATTCGAGTGGTTTAAGCACTTGACTTGAAATTCGAAGGTCGTGGTTCAATCCCGACACGGCACTAATGTCCTTTGGCAAGGCATTGATCTACATTTGCCACTCTCCATCCAGGTGTTAAATGGGTACCCGGTAGGATGCAAAAGCTAATGTGGTTTGATTAGCAATGGCTCTTGTAAAATGGCGACTGGCTGGAATGCTCCCCAGGGAGTGGAGAATGTGCATACCTTGTGTGCGGCTAAGCCTGAATCCGATGACCGGGTTAATAATATGTACTGCGTCTAGAAACAAATTATTAGGCCCATTATAAATGTGAGCTATTATTATTATTATAATTACCTATATGAATTAATGTCTTACCTTCAACCCTGGACCAAAACCCTAACATTGGCTCTAAAACATTCATGACACTCAATTGCAACCATCTGCCTCATCCCTGCCCTACATTATTTATAAATCAAATCCTGGACTGATTGTTGCTGGAGCAAATGTTGGATCACCAAGTTAACCACTTTTAGATATTTCTATTCATTCCTTCTTTTTTCATGAGCCTTCAACAAAAAGTGATCATGAATGAAATCTTTAAAAGACAAATTTGATGCTTTTAGTGTCTACCTTGTAACATTTGGCGTACATATTTTCCATGCTACTCTTACTCATTCCGCAAGATGCCAAAATATATTTCTAGTCCAATCTTTTAGTTGAATGGGTAAATTCTTTGGCTGAATATACAAGTGGAATAGAAGGGTTAATGTAGATTTCTGTGGGTTTCAATGTACAAGGCCCTGTTTCATTAAACTCGTAATCAATAACTGCTATAAGCTACTGAAATCGTGGCGTTTGATTGGTTGAGAGCAAGTTTGTCATAGAAATTTAACATTTGTTATTAATAACAGGTTTTATGAAACAGGGCCAAGGAGTTCAATGACTTCATAGTTAACATTTCACAAAACAGACAAAATTTGTATCCTGCTAGTTTCATTTAGCTTCTACCTTCATAAGACTGAACCTGTTTTTCATAAAGCGACTTGATTGGTGATGGTTTGAAAAGGGGTCAGGCTCTTAGCACTAGGGCTGAGTAAGCATTGATTTTATTGAAAATGCCTAAAATAACTGACTACAAACATGATTTTGTCCCCATTAATTTATTTCTTGATCAGGTTTTGTCCTGTGACCTTTGAAGCCTTGAAGGTTCCTTGCGACGCTGGTTACTACTCACTGGGCAACACCTCGGTCTGTACAGCCTGCCCTCTAGGTTATTATTGCCCTAGCAAAACAGAAGCACCAAGGTGAGTACTCTACATCCATGTGAAATAACTGGGTACTAAGTAGGAAGAGATTCCTTAAATGCTTGTGTGCCTTATAGTAGCCTAGCTTGAGCTGGGGTGATAATGTGATTGCAGGGTTCCCAGAGAAAAGTATTGATTACTAATTAATTAATTGATGAGGCTAGCCTGGAGAAAGGGCATTTCTTCTTCTTTTTTCCTTCTTCTCCTCAATCTCATCATTCCCCTTCTTCTTCTTCTTCTTCTTCTCCTTCTTTTCCTCTTCCTCCTTCTTCTCCTCATTCTCCCTCTTCTTCTCCTTCTCCTTCTTCTCTTGTTCCCTCTCCCTTTCCTTCTCCTCATCCTCCTCCCACTCCTCTTCCCTCTCTTCCTCCCTCTCCTCCTTCTCTCCCTCCTTCTCCTTCTGAAATTTAAATTTGAAATTAGCGGTGACCATTAACTTCTTAAACTTAAAATCTTAAAATTTCAGTGAAGACGAGAAGTGTGAGCCTGGAACCTATTCTGTCGGTGCCCAAGCCTCCTGCACCGACTGTACCCCTGGTTACTACTGCCCCTCAATATACAGCTCTGAGCAGCCTTGTCCTTCAGGGTTCTACAGCACCATCAGACAGGAGAACTGTACCATCTGTGAGGCAGGGTACCAGTGCTCAGATAAAACATGTAAGTTCACATCTATGTAGTAAGTCAGGGCATACATATTATTTGCTAATGAGCAGAGAGAGAGAGAGAGATAAAGAGAGAAAAGAAAGCAAAAAAAGGAAAGAGAGAAAACAAAGAAAGAGAGAGAGAGAGAGAGAGAGAGCGTGAGAGGGGGAAGGGAGGGGGGGGGGGGAGGGAAGTAGAGATAAAAGGGAGAGAGAGCGACAGACAGATGGATAGAAGAGTGGTTACCACAGTGATAAAAACTTTACAAAAAGTAAAGATATAAAGACACGTGTACATTCTAGATCAGATGCCATAACAACTTTCTCATTTCCTCCCAGCTCCCGTCATCTGTCCGCCCGGGAAGTGGTCACCAGAGGGCTCCCTCTACTGTCGGGACTGCCAGGCCGGATACACCTGCGATGAGGGAGCGACGAGCTCATCTCCAGAGGCTGATCTGTGCGAGCCTGGTGGTTGGTGTGACGGATTGGATCGCTTTGATTGTCCTCTAGGATCGTACAACCCTAACAATGGATCTAAGACAGTGTCAGAGTGCAGACCCTGTCCTCCAGGTCAGTATATCAATAATAATAATCATAATAATAGGCATTTCTATAGCGCCGTCTATCTAGAAATTTTATTCCGAGCCGCATTTATTATTACCCCGGCTTTAGTCTAGCTGCCATTACAGCGCTCCATCATTTCATGGAATTAATTCCTACCAGGTACCCACTTACATCACCTGGGTTGAGTGTGGCAAATGTAGATAAATGTCTTGCCAAAGGACATTAGTACCACAGCGGGACTCGAACTGCGGACTTTGTGATCGACAGTCCGGCGACGTATCCATTCGACCACGACACCTCTTTTGAGTTTGTTCTCTTGAAGGGATAGAGAGATTGAAGATTTTTAATATCAAGTGTAAAAACTTTCTTGATATCTAAACAATGTTGACAGTTTTTAGGATTAATACCTTGATATTGAGAATTCATATACAGTGAAACCTGTCTATAAAGACCACACAAGGGAGACAAGAAAAGTTGTCTTCAATTACAGTTTCTTTTAGTGCATGTTTCAATGAAAAACCATTTTCAAGGGAAACAAAAAACATTGTCTTTGTAGACAGGTGGTCTTTCTATACAGGTGGTCACTAATGCATGTTTGACTGTATAATTTTTATTTTAGTGAAATTCTTGTTGTATTATTAGTCTTTATGTTTGAACCGTTCTTAATATTGATATCCATTGCTTTCTTTCAGGGTTCTATTGTGACACCAAGGGCTTAGAAGACTACGTGGATAACAAATGTCCAACCGGTCACTACTGCCCTGAGGGCACTACGTACGACACACGGTTTCCTTGTCCTGGTAAGTTATGATGCACCATACTTGATATAATAATAAAACAAAGGAAATAATCATAAATTTGTGTTAATTTCCATCATGCCCATAGATGTTAAAGTGACTCGGTAACATTGTTGAAGGTTGATTAAAAAATTGTGTAATTCTGTATTTTTGTGTTTCTTGCCCTGGTAAGTTACTATGCACCGTACTCGAGGACGGTCCTCAAACAAAAAATTAAAACATGTCAAATTGCAAAGAGGAGTTTGAAGCACAAAATGTCCTGGCTAAGTTCATAACTGGGTTCTTAGATGCTATCTACTGCAATCAGAGCCATTCTTAAAAACATTTCAAACATATACTTTTTGTTTCGGCATATCCATCTCAAAAACATTTGTTCTCCATCGATATTAGGATAAAACCAAGGAAATAATAATTAGAAATTTGTGTTAATTTCCATCATGCCCTGGAGTACTTAAAGTGCTTCATAGATGTTAAGATTCAAAGGTGATCATTTTCAGTAAATTACAATAATTTCCATTTACATAGGATATATCTAAAACGACAGATTACTATAAATTGTTATACTTGGGTGTACCTGGAATTACTAAATCACTATGAATTCATGTAATTTCTCCTTGCCTAGGCGGTACGTACAATGACCTCTTGAACCAGACGTCGGAGCAGCTTGCCTGTAAGACCTGTCCAGCAGGTAACTACTGTCCCGAGGGAAGTTCGACCGCTGGGATCGACTGTCCGGCCGGATTCTACTGCCTGGCTGGACAGTACTCTGGCTTCCAGAACCCTTGTACATTGGGAACCTATGGGTGAGTGTGCAAAATTCCTATCTTTTATTGGGGGGGGGGGGGAGGGGTAAGCAGCTCTAAAGATAACGTTTCAACCATGAAGAGTACTTATACAAATATAACTGTGTAATGCTTGTTGAAATAATGCTACTCTTTGTAATTTAAGCGCAATTGCAACTGTGTTAACCAAGCAAGAAAATGCAAGATAAGCACATTTCTTTTTCAACACAGGAAACAAAGCTTTGCCCCATTTTCCCAAAATGTTTTGGAAGTAATTCTCAATATATTTCGCAAATTTTAACCACAGACTTGTATAAAAGTACCTTTCACAATTTGCCTAAATCTATGCATTTTGTTCTTGACAGCACGGACGTGGGCTACGAGAACTCATCCCAGTGTATCACCTGTCCCGCCGGTAACTACTGCCCCTACGGGAGCGCCAACTCGCCCACGACCTCGCCCGTCCCATGCGACCCCGGCTCCTACAACCCAGACGAGGGTTCCGGTCACGCTTACAACTGTCGTCTTTGCGACCAGGGGAGGTCTTGCCCGGTGCCGGGATTGACCAACAGCTCTCATCCTTGTGCAGAAGGTTTGTAGTTTGTAGACGTTGTACAGCAAGCGCCATGAGCGCCCAGCAGAGGCAGACATTGTAGAGCAAGCGCCATGAGCACCCTGCAGAGGCAGACATTGTAGAGCAAGCGCCATGAGCACCCAGCAGAGGCATACATTGTAGAGCAAGCGCCATGAGCACCCAGCAGAGGCATACATTGTAGAGCAAGCGCCATGAGCACCCAGCATAGGCAGACATTGTAGTGCAAGCGCCATGAGCGCCCAGCAGAGGCAGAAACCAGTCCTATACTAGAAGCCCTCTTTATCATTATCATGATTATTACTTAATTTTATATTGACCTGTTTGACATACTATTTGCATGTATTTTATATGTTGCATTTGTATTTGTAAAATTAAAGATGATTTAACTTTGAGCTGTGACTTCAATTTTTTAAATCAATAAACCTAATCATTGTATTTTGGCAAAAATTGAGCCATACGATTCAGTAAACTGCCCTAGAAACAACAACAAAAACGCCTTCAAAATGTATGAGTAGACATATGGTAGTGGGGTCACTGAAGTCCACTAAGGAAATTTTAATGTATATGTTATAAGATACAGAAATATGATGTGCTTTACATTACATTTTGCCTGTAGTTTTTGTAAAATATTTTACCATGCCATACGTAAAGGAGGATTTACTTTTTTTAATGAACACTTGACCTGGTTCAAAGTTATAATGGATTTCTTGTCATATTTGAACTGTGAGAGTATTCCTTGAATACCAAAGCACCTTATCCAGGTAGCTCGGCTGAGGGTGCTATAATAATAATAACACAGCGCTATGAAATATTTGTAGTAAGTGCTATATAAATGTTACTATTATAATAGTCGAAGCAGTCCTTTTTGTGTGACATCCAAACATGGAAGATTGAGAAAGTTCACAAGCTGTGTTTCACCATGTACCAAGGCTCAACTTTATATCTACTTTGGAAAATCATGACTGAACTAATCATCATAGTCTTTAAAAAATGCTTTTTATTTACAGGGTACTTCTGTCCAAACGGAACCATCACTAACGATCAGTACCCCTGCGCTCCTGGGTCATACACAGGGTCAACCAGTTTGACCTCACCAGATGAATGCTCTGCATGCTGGGAAGGCTACTACTGCAGCTGGGGCACAGGTCAGTGACCTCACTTGAACTTTTACCTTTTGAATTAGGAAGAGTGGGAATGTAAGAGTGTCATAGGTAAAGAAAGAGAATGAGAGAAAGAGAGAGAAAGAGAGAGAGAGAGTAAGTTAAGTGGGAGAGATGATATTTTGTTTTTGTTTTGTTGTTCACATTTAACCTAAATAGATCGTCTCATACGTAAGATTTAATGAGAGAATGCAAGACAAGGATAGCTATGTGACAGAGAAATGATAATGTGAGATATGGGGATCATATTAAGAAGCAAAATGTGTATTTTAAAGGTTCCTGAATAAAAATAAAAACATTGAAACTGAATTCTTAAATAAATACGTAAAGCGATGAAAAGAGAGAGAGAGAGAGAGAGAGCGCGCGTAACCAGCCATTAACAATACCCACAAGTAAAATCATAAAACAGAGATTTACAAGAAAAACATGAATATAGAAATTCAAACTCCAATCATCTTGCATCTGCTCCACCCGTTTTACAGGAGAGACGGTCAACCCACCGCAGCCCTGCAAGCCTGGCTACTACTGCCCACTCCAGACCCCGAGCCCTGACCGCTACCCTTGTCTGGCCGGAACGTTCTCCTCCTCGTCCAACCTATCAAGAGCTGACCAGTGCACCCCCTGTACTCCTGGCTACTACTGCCTTGGTAAGTAGGGCTTGAGATGCAGTAGATGTTGACCGGTATGATAATCAATATGTGACCTATGTCCATTTCAATTCAGCTCTTGTAACAAGAGACATGTATTCATGTTTGAAGGCCTCCGGTAACACCTCCGAAAGTCTTCGAGTTATGAATACTTACTAACTAGATTGAATGATTATTAGAAAAGATGATTTAGGAATGGAAATTTTGTCATTTATGATATCATTTTTATTACTTTGCTGGAGTTGTTGTTGTTTTTCTCCCTCTTTTTCTTCTTCTTTTTCTTCTTCTTTTCCTTCTTTTCCTTCATTTTTTCTTCTCCTTTTCCTTGTCTGGCTGGAACTTTCTCCTCCTCATCCATCCTTCTTTTTCTTCTCCCTCTTCTTTTTCTTCCTTCTCTTTCTTCCTTTTTTTTTTTCCTTTCTTCTTCTTCTTCTTCTCCTTCTTCTTCTTCTCCTTCTTCTCCTTCTTCTCCTTCTCCTTCTCCTTCTTCTTCTTCTTCTTCTTCTTCTCTTTCTTATCACAACCATTGTTATCATTGTGATTCTTATGATTCTGGCGTTTTGTCCTTACCCTGCTAAACAGGAGGAGGATCCACGGAAGACAATATTTGTCCACCAGGCTACTACTGTACTGAAGGGACAGAGTTTGCTGAGCAGCATGGCTGTCCAAACGGAACGTACAACACAGAGTACCAGAGAGTCAACGTGTCACAGTGCATGACCTGTCCACAAGGTATGTTCCACTTTCAAACAGTCCTGGGGGGTGTTTCACAAAGATCCTAAATTGAACTTACCTCTAAGTTGGACTTATCTTTAACTTGGACTTCGCAATTTATATGGAAAGCCGTTAGCATGTATGAAAATATTTTGTAAAAGTTATTTTAAAAGGCGTAAAATGTTGGCGTAAAATTCATATTTTCTATTATCAAGGAGATTTCATGTTCTTGATGTGGAATTCATGAAAAGTCTAAAATACTTGAACTTTTGCTTTTAATATATTTTTTTAAAGGCTACAAATGGTTTTCTGTAATTTTTAAGTCCAACTTGGTGTTAATTTTGACTTACATGTACATGTACATGTAGTAGCTTTGTGAAAAACCCCCCTGTTTGTTCAATAATGCAGGTAGGAAACAGGCACATGTGTGACCAGCAGAAGAGTGCAAGTACACATTTTGTTCTAGCATTTCAATTCTTCACTTTTGTGATGGAAAGATAAAGAAATGATGCAAAGAAGTATTAAGTAACCTCTGTTCTTTTTTCTCCACAATTTTTGAGGATGTTTGGACTGAATCTATTTTGTATTTGTAGAGGTAGTCAAAGAAGTGCAAGGATATTATGATGCGTACCGGGGTATTTGCAGAAATTAACATTTATGAGTGAGGATAATTGATATAAGTTACAGAAATTTCAGCAAGTTTGCGATATACTTGTGGCAGTTGTTATTAGCAGTAAGTGTTCTAAAACCAGAATCTGACCCACTTCCATCCTCTTCACGTAGGTTCTTACTGTGAGTACGGAGCAGTGAACCCGATAGAGTGCCCTGCAGGTTCCTACATGCCTTACGGCGTGGACGTCAACGATACCCTCTACGGATCACCGGCCAAATACCAAGACAACTGCATCGACTGCCCCGGTGGATCCCGCTGCACTGCCAACACCGTCTATCCGTATGATTGCGGTACCGGAGTCTTCTCCAAACCGGGGAAGAGCGTGTGTGAGACTTGCGAGGCGGGGTATTATTGCGACAACGTGACGACGTCGTACACGGATATGACGACGAACAAGAGATGTCCGGCAGGGTTGTACTGCACGACGGGTCTGAATGCGTTGGACGAAGCAGTGAACTGTAGCCTCAGTCACTACTGCCCTGAAGGTAACGGAAGTGTGTAGTGGAGTGACCCTGGGAAGAGGACATTGAGCAGTGTTTATACAAACTGTACTCTTATCCTCAAGTTCAAATGCTCCTCGCAACCAATTCCATGCAATTAGCGGCAAATCCCACCTGACAGTGGTGAACCACATATTCGGACTAGGAATAACTAGATTTCATGTCTGACAAAATAAAAACAGGCACCTCTATTGCGAAGTTTGTAGGCATGCAAGATAGTTTATGCTCAATTTGACAATGAAACGCTGAATTACAATTGAAAATTTTGATGAATGAAAGTTCATTTCTATTAACCGTTTGTAAACTTTGTAGCATAGCGGTTAACCACACCCTCAACTATCATTTTAGTACCCACACTCCGGCATCCGCACCGATTGGTACCTTGACAGGCAACTCTACTGCCATTCTTTATCTAAAGTGACGAAACAAAATTGTTCAACTCATCATTCTTATTGCTCACAGCCATGCCTCAGGTGCTAAACTACCCCATTAGTACCTACAACTCCACCTTCAGTATCGGTGCCGACACCGACTGCACCCCCTGTGGTGCTAGCGGGTTCTGCTTTGCTTTCCTCTTTACTACATGAAGTATCTATTTCTAATGCAAAATAACGACTTTACCCATCAATATCCCCCCCTCACAGCCACGTGTGAGAAGCTAAAATTCCTCATTAGTACCTGCAACTCCACCTTCAGTATCAGTGCCATCACCAACCGCACCCCCTGTAGAGCCAGCTGGTACTGCTTTGCTTCCCTCTTTACTACATGAAGTATCTATTTTTAATGCAAAAAAACGACTTTACCCCTTATTCTGACCCCTCACAGCCACACCCGAAGAGCTCAACTGCCCCGTTGGTACCTACAACCCCACTCTTGGTATCGGTGCCATCACCGACTGTACCCCTTGTGATGCCGGATCGTACTGCTTGGAGGGTATCTCTACGCCCACAGCAGAGTGTGATGAAGGTTTCTACTGCCCTACAAACATAGCCAATGTATATGCCGTGTCACCAGCACTTATCGGATCCTATGGTCCACAACAGGTGATCTTGTAGAACTTTGATTCAATTTTTATTTGAACTTGAATTTGAATTTGAATTTCAGTTTCAATTACAATTTTGTTTAGATTTGTGATTGGTATTTGGATTGGGATCAGGATTTGAATTTGATTCTGATTTTGCACTTGATTTGAAATTTGAATTTGAATCTGAATATTAATATGCTTAAGTGATAATTACTCCTTGAACAATTTCTTGCACTAATCAATTACACACCTTCAACATTGGACACAATGCTGTACTTATCCCTTATCCTAACCTTAACCCTTAATGTTAACCTTAAGCTAACCTGTAACCCAACCACAATCCTGACCTTAAATTTATATCCTTGGCCAAATAAATTAAGGACCTATTAGCACGGTAGCGATTTCGGATAACTAATTATTCTCCCTTTACAAAGGAAGCAAGCATACTTTTTGAAGAACCTTTGAACATCTGAAATAGCCTTTTCAGAATTGTAACTAGGCGTTGATTGAAAGCCTTTACAGGATTGTAACTAGACAGTTATTGACAGAGCCCAGACATTGACTAACCTTCTAAACTCTTTAAATATTGTCATTTTACAAACGTTTAACAATTGGCTGTTTCTATACAAATTCCTTCCCTTTAGCTTCCTTGTCCTTCAGGCACCTACCGAGACACGAAAGGAGCCGGCATCCTGGAGGACTGCATCCCATGCCCGGCAGGTGAATACTGCCCTCAAGGTATCGCTAATGGTATCATCTGCCCTCGGGGGTACTACTGCCCTGACAACTCAACAGTGCCTGTACCTTGTGCTGTTGGTCGCTATGGAAACGACACTGGTGAGCTTAGCTGGATTCATTTCAATTATTTGAGGATATTTTGGACGTTTCATTGTTACCTGACAGAAGCTACATGCTCTTGTATGTATTTGTTTAAAAAATATGTATTTCTTGGTATACAAGACTTTATTGGTCATTCTAATTTTGTATTCACCATAATTTAATTGCATTATTTTCATATTTCTTAAAAATGCTGAATAAATAATAATAAATAAATAAATAATTGGTAGTAATTTACTTCAATCCATACAGAGGGATTTTGAAGTGAATGTTTGAGGTGTTAAAACCATTAAATAGTAAGCTTAACTTGTTATGATTTACAGGTGGTAAAGCATTGACCGACTGTCCACTTTGTGACCCTGGTTGGTACTGCGATGCCCCTGGTCTTCAGACACCCAGGGCCCAGTGTGACCCAGGTTATCTGTGCTACGAAGGGGCGTATACTTCCACCCCTACGGATGGACTTACAGGAGAGCTGTGCCCAGCAGGAGGGTTCTGCGTGACAGGTAGGCAAGATCGTTTTAGGGTGTGGATGGTTGTGGTGGTGGTGGTGGTGGCAATGGTGATGGTGATGAAGATGATGATACTGATGGTGGTGGCAGTGATAGTGGTTGTGCGATAAAGGGCATGTACTTCCGCCCAAGGTAGAAAAGATTAGGGAAGGTTGTTTAGGATGGGAATAGTAGCAATGGTTGTGGTGGTGGTGGTGGTGGTGGTATTGGGGATAGTGATGATGGTGGTGATAATGCTGGTGTTGGTGGTAGTTGCGATTATAGTGGTGGTGGTGATGGTTAGGGTAGAGATAAGTGGTGCTATAAAGGGGCATATACTGTACTTCCACTCCAAGGAATGTAGTTACGGGAGAGTTGTTTTCAGCAGGAGTTTACTGTGTAACAGGTAACTCTGAAGCCATGGTTGTGGTGGTGGTTGTAGTATTGGTATTGAAGGTGATGATTATATTGGTGGCGACAGTGTGGCGGTGATGATGACTTTTGTGGGTCACATCATTTAATTTATATTTCGTTGATATGTGCATTTCGTAGAAACTGTTCTGATTATGGTTACCGTTCTGTTTCCTTCTTGGTAGGATCGTTCTTGAGTGCCCCCTGTCCTCCAGGAACCTACAGTAATGTATCAGGTGCTGTGGATGCACAGGGATGTGAGGATTGTGATCCAGGGTACTACTGCAGCAATGCTAGAACACCAGGTAAGTAAGGTCAAATGTCACTAAGAGATACACGAACCATGACCTCGACACATTAGCATCACACAGAAAGCACTCTTAATTGCCATTTATAAGTTGTGCATGCATCATTGGAATTGCATGGTAAATAGTAGAGATTTACTGTATTGGAATGTACACATTTTTTGGCATTGTATTAAATTGATAGCCTTAAACTAAAGGTAATGCAAAGTTTGGGGAAATTCTGAAAATCGGATGGATAGTAATTCTTTAAAATTTTGATATATTGGGATGCTCCTGTCGATGTATTTTTAGCACTTGAAAATTTAGACCCTAAACCACTTCTACTTTTGAAATGAAACAATCAAAAATTTACTCGTGCTCCCAGTAAATTTCAAATATTTCAAGTAGCGCCTAAGGCCATTCCATTGTACATTGAACTATCCATACAATCATGCCTTCCATAATCTTTTGAATTTATTTTTAAACCTTTCAAGTCGTTATAACCTTGAACAGTACCTATGATAGTTGGTCATCTTTTGCTCCCTTATTACCTACTCTACCATGCATTTCTGGCAACTACTCTACTGGTTAATACAGCCTACCAAACTATCTTAATACTATTGCTTAGCTTAACCTTGTGGACTCCTTTTCCATGGTGTGTTTGAAATGTGAAATGTTACCTTTAATATTTACCCTTGCTACTAAAGAACCCACTGGACCAACACACCAAACTATCCCTATAATCTTATTTCCTTTAACCTTCGCGATTTTCAAAGAACATTTCCTTAAATATTTATCATCCTTGCTACCATAGAACCCACTGGACCATGCAGTGCTGGTTACTACTGTACTGGAGGGTCAAGCACACCGAACCAAACGGTCACCCAGCCGGGCTACTACTCTCCGGTCGGCTCCACCCAGCCGTTCCCCTGCTCTCAAGGAACCTACATGCCCTTTGACCGGGCGGGAGAATGCTTGACCTGCGAGGCAGGGTATTACTGTGAAGAGGAAGCGATGACCAATATGACCACTTGTCCGGCAGGTAAGCAGTTACTGTAATAAATATATTGTTAGGCTGTTAGCCGAACATCATGTTCATTTCAATAAATCATTTGTAATGATGGGAACATGTTCATAAGCCGTGCAGTGTAATAATGCCATTTTCATTCTGTTGTAGCGTCATGCAGGAATTACTATATTTGAACTTGCAATGTCCATTTGTTGTCCATTTTCAATATAATGCAAGACATCAGAGTAGAACTCAAAACCTATCCGAGACTGATCCAAGCAAACTGACTCAATTTACATTGGAAATCATGCCAGACCAACTTTAACCCTTTTTGTTCATGTAGGACATACTCATAAGCTACTCATGAGGGACCTTAATTCCACAAGACTTGCTCTCAACCAAGGTCACCTCACCTTTCTATTGTAACGCCATATTCTGTCACATTTGTAATGTGTGTTATGAAAGAAAGATTAATAAAACTTGAACTTGAACTTGAACTTGAACCGTTCCCCTCCTTCTTTCCCTTTCCTCTCCAGGCTCCTACTGCCCAGAGGGGTCTATCATCTACTCCTTGTGCACCACTGGAACATACTCTAACCTGACCTACCAGGTACACATAGACAACTGCACCATATGCCCTGTGGGTTACTACTGCAGTGATAACGGTGACATCCAACCCACAGGGAAGTGTGCTGCGGGCCATATCTGTTACCTCGGAGGTCTCTACGCTACACCCGTCTTCAACAATGACTCTACAGATGGTAAGATTGAGATTTCTTTTTCTTTTCAGAAGATGATTTTCATACTCGGTGTTAAAGAGAAGGTTGAGTTCTGGGAAGAGATGAAAAACAATCTGTGAGCGTTATCATTGTATTATGCAAGTGTGGAAGAACATCAGATATGAAATGTTCTCTGAAAAACATGGCTCTTCAAATGCCTTAATATTCTAAATATGGCATGTAACATCATAAAAATCAGGAAAGATTTTTATGCCACATGTTTGTGTAGTCCCGTATACTTCTTTATGTGTACAGTGCTTGTAACTCTACCAAGACTGGGCCAAAGTTCTTATCTTTTTGATGACTCCACAACCTTGCAGTTCACACCAATACTTATATGCTACATGATCAACCTTTTCTGATCGATTCCACAACGTTTCTTTCACAATGCAATCGCATGACCAGAACTGGTCTATACATTTAAAGCTTATCTGCCGTAGTTTATAGGAGGGATTAGACTTCCCTGCAAGGTCACTGGACAGGTGGTTATCTCATCAACTCAGCTCTCAGTTAACATAAGAAAAAGAGGATCATGGGGTCACCGATTAGGCATTGTTTGTTATATAGAGGGCGCAAGTAGCTGCAAGTAGTGCAGTGGGCCTTTAAAGATTGTCTCCACTGGTAATTACAACCAAGTTCGTGAAAGAATACAGCATCTTTTTTTTAAAGGCCTAACGGAGGAATGTCCACCAGGATGTCTCTGAACGAACTTTTGTAGTATTGAAACTGGCAATGGATGTATTTGATGCTTGTCTTTCTATAAACAAGTCGCTTTCCACCCCTATTTCATGAATGAGCTGATCCTATCCCTCCATATTCTCCATGCTATTTTTAGGTCAAATCATTGTGACATGGGGGGACCAGTGTCAAACGGGCCACTTCTGTCCCCTTGGAACTACGCTCATGGAAGAATGTCCTCCAGGGACGTACCTGAACTACAGAGGGGCAGAGTCGGAGGATGAATGTGTGTCTTGTAATCCTGGGAAGTACTGCAAGACAGCCGGTCAATCAGCAGAAACAGGTAATGTGGCTTATCTTCTTTGATTGCTTGAAAAATTTAAGGTACAACCTTAATTTTGTTGTACAGGATATTGTCTACTTTATAGCAAACAACACTGGTGAACATCTGAAGGTTAGGCTCTATTTTCTAAAAATTATGTAATCTTACTGAAACGTTTGTTAATTGACATATATATATATTATAATGGATTGAAATTATTGTGCTCTAAGCAAATTTAATGTTATTATTATTGTTATCATATCAAATTGAAATTGCAAAGAATAGAGAATTGTTTTTAGTGAATGTGCAGATGTTAACTTTTGACTCTTCCCAATTTACAATTATCATGGTAATCAACATACAAAGACTGCCCAAGGGAGACAAAAAAGTGATCTTTATAGGCAGGTGGTCTTTATGGACAGGTTCCTATAGTACACGTGTCGATGAGAAACCCTTTTCAAGGGAAACAAAACAAATGTGGTCTTTGTAGACAGGTGCGGAGCTGCCAAGTAGTACGTTTTTAACGTATTAATACGTTTTTTTTTGGGAAAATACGTCTGTACGTTTTGCTGTGCCAAAATACGTTTTTTGAAAGTTTCGTGTATGGCTGTGCGAACGTGGCTAGCGGCTGGTTGTGAGATCCAGCGTATGCATAGTTTTGCTATTGCTTTGTGTCGGCGATTCCTGCAGCGCGCACGCATGTACATTGCACACAATACAGGGGATGTACACCGGCCACTCAAAGACGAGTGCATTTCCCCAGGCCATCCATACACACGCTAATGACACATATCATCAGTGCACTGCAATACACACACAGTGTCAGTACAAAAAAGTCCCGATCTTACTCCCAAAAATCCATCCCAAAAGCCAAATTTTGCTGTCAAAAATGCGGAATCGAAGCCATATTTCTAAGGCTCACGTGGGGCTTAGCCCAGTTTTAAGAAACAGCTTCACCAAAAAAGCGCTAAAATCAAGAAATCAGCGATTTTGTTACCAGTTTTTTTGCCTATTGCAAGCCCTTTGAATGTGATGGTATCTTCAAAAAGCCAAATGAAAAATAAACACGGACCTGCTGATGCATTGACTTTATGTACAAAGTTGATTGCAACTCTAGACTTGCCTTGTGCTGCAACTTAGGCATAGAACATCATCGTGTGTTGCGCTGCAACACACAATGATTCTTTTAGTTTTAAATAATGGACTTTTGTAATAAAATAGCTAAATATATTTAACAAATCTTTTTTTTTTTTAAATCATTTTTTTAATGATTTTTTTTTTTTTTTTTTTTTAAACTGACAGGTCGGCAGCTCTCAATGATTGAAAGCGTTTTTATTCATAGAAACATGATTGCAGTAGCATTTTATAGGGAAAATAACAAAAAACGTAAAACAGGCAAAATATGGTTTTTCACCTAAAAATATGTTTTTTCAAGCTGAATAATATGTTTTTTTAATGTGACAGGTTGGCAGCTCTGCAGGTGGTCAGTAAAGCAGGTTTGACTGTACTTCCTTTTCCAGAAGAAAAAAAATATATCATTCATATAAAATGCTATTTCTTCCTTTGACAGGCGATTGTTATCCTGGTCACTATTGCCTCGGTGGGGCTATACGAGGTAACCCTTTCGACAACGTAACCGGTCAGGTCTGTCCGGAGCGCTATTACTGTCCGGAAGGATCCTCTACTCCTATAGTTTGTGAGGAAGGGACGTACGCCAACACGACCGGTCTGGCGGTGTGCATCAACTGCCCTGCAGGAATGTACTGCGTGCCGGACAACGACCCTGTCCCGTGCCCTCAAGGTAACACTGTCATTACATGTACATCAATGTATCATGTTATCTTTTACGAACATAATATATAATGTACAGTGTATACTAACATTTTCGTTTATAAAGTGCCTTTTCATAGGAAACAAAGTGCATTAAAAGAAAATACTTACAAAGGAAAAGAATATCATACAAAGCTTGCATTGATGACAAACAGACGAATATGAATTTTGTTATAGAAAAGATATTTTTTCTTTTCTCCGTCTTTTACTCTCTGCTCTCATCTTTTCTTTGTTGTTTCCCTCACCTGAGCTTACACATCTTCTCTTAGTCGCCTTCCACTGAACAGTGTAACCTGTATATAAAGACTGCTCAAGAGAAACCTTTAGCATAGGCTTGAATGAAGAACAAAATATGCAATGGAAACCAAAAAAGTGGTATTTATAGACAGGTGGTCACTAAAGCAGGTTTGAATGACGTGTCTTTGTGCCCTTCAGTTTTCTCTTCTTCTTGCATTTGTTTCAACCTTATTTCTGTAATCTTGCAGTTCAATATCTGTACATGTGCAGGTATGGATGGATGGATGTAATTTACATGAACATTTACATGTTTATGTTATTCATAAATATAGGTTTGTGTTTGTAATGCATGCATGCTAATTATATGTTATTCATATTTCATTTGTTTCAAGCCAGTGGAGGCCAATTATTCTAGAATATTTCTTAACAATACAATATATGTGATTCCCTGGCCTGTTTCACAAAACTTGTTATCAATATAAAAAAATCAGAATACTTGTTATAAGCTACTGAAATCCTGCCATTTGATTTGCTGAGAGCAAATTTGTCATAGAGTTTTAGTATTTGTTATTGATAACAAGTTACATGCAACAGGGCCCTGACTCTTTTCTAAAACGGCCATGTGAATCCAATTAAAACGACTGCCGGAGAATTTATCATGTCTCCCTCGCAAAACACTCATTTGTCCTTTAACCCTTCCTTATTTGTTATTAATCAGGTTATTACTGTTTGGGTGAAGACGATTCTGGGAACGATCCAAGAGCCTGCCTGAAGGGCTACTTCGGCAACCGAGAGGGACTGATAGCGGAATCAGAATGCACGGAATGCTTGGCAGGTAAGTGTCGTAGTCGAGTGGTTTAAGCACTTGGCTTGAAATTCAAAGGTCGTGGTTCAATTCCCGATATGTCGCTAATGTCCTTTGGCAAGGCATTAATCTACATTTGCCACACTTTACCCAGGTGAGGTAAATGGGTAGGAATTAATTCCTTGAAATGCTAGAGCGCTGTAATGGCAGCTAGGCTAAAGCTGGGGTAATAATCAATGAGTCTCAGAATGGAATTTCTAGATAGACCGCGCTATAGAAATCCCTATAATTATTATTACTAATTGATGAGGAAATGATTATGATGGGACTGGTAGTCATGGCAATGGAGAACATTCTGACAAAAAGAGAAAGGCCGTCATTAGGCAAATTTCCATATATGTACAAGTTTATATTCATTACAAAGCGACAGCTGTATGTTATGAGTGCTTCGAAGAGACAAGAAAAGTGTTTTTCAAAGTGGTCCCTTATTTTCAGCTTACTTTGATGCAGGTTTCAGTGAGATTTTCTTTTGTTTGGTTCAAGACAATATTTCTATGCAGGTAATCACTGAAACAGGTTTGAGTGACTGTATGATGTATCAGCTTTAAACAAATTCTTGTGTAATGAGTTATTTCATTTCAATTTTTAAATTTCAATTCAAGTTTATTGCAAGTATATGTACAGAAATTGCACTTAAGATAAAGGTGGAATCAACTTGCATATATTTTTTCATGTCATCAAAGTCTTTGTCACTACAGCCAATCCATTTGGATGAATGCCCATTTTATTATTTCCACATTTTTCTCTCTAGGGCACTACTGTGAGGTTGATGGTCTAGCCAACGTGACTGGTCCCACCGCTGCTGGCTTCTACTCCAAGCAGCTTGCCTACCAAGCCGGTCCCTTTGATATCACCACCAGTACAGACTACAGTGTATGTCCGGTGGGCTACTACTGCCCTGAGGGAAGCGGCTTCGCTACACCTTGTCCTAAGGGAAGATTTGGGTGAGTTCCATGGCACATCTGGCTTTGGTGATCCAAAATTTGCTACTGCAACTTTTGCTCCTTGCTTTCCTCAGTCAAAACAAGACATATTTGTCTGTTTTCTTCTTAACTTGAACTTGAAACCAAAGCCTTTGTTTAAGCTCATTCAAAACTCAAGTTAAATAAAGGAACTTTGACCTACAGTAGGTCTAAGAGTGCCCTCGTTTATTTTTTAAAACAGGATTTTAATTTAGGGCCAAATCAGTCACATATTGTTCTTCAAATTAGCAACAATAAGGTTTTTGTTATCACTCCAGAATAAAATTCTGAAATTCTGAGAATTAAATGCAATGTTTCTGAAAACAATATACATGAAAAGGTGACAGTTTGCAGAGCAATTTATCAATGAGTATGCGTTGTACAGTGATTGCATCTGTGAATCCTTTCCAATCAAATCAAACCAAATCGAAACGATTCTTTGTTCACAGATCAACCACACAGCTAGAGGCAGAGACAGACTGTACTCTCTGTACAGCTGGTGAATACTGTCCTAACACCACGATGACGGTCACGGCAGGACAGTGTGCACCAGGGTGGTACTGCTACGAAGGATCTACTAAGAGTATGCCTACCGATCCATTGGAAGGAGGTGAATGCCCCACTGGTAAGGAATTATTTCATGCCCAAATCGGTCACCTTTTGTTCTTAATTGGCAACATTGGTATTTTTATTTTATAGTGCTATTTTTATCAAGAAAAGTTGTGAAAGTTTTTTTGTGAGAAAAATATACCAGTATAGCACGTATGTCAACAGATCAGAAAATGCCAATTTGTTTGGAAAAAACAGTGATTTTTAGCCTATCATGATGTTGCCAATTTAATGATTTAAAAAAAAATGCAATATGGTTAAAAAAAAAGAAGAAGATGGACACGATGTATGCAGACAATATGGTTTTACTATTTACTATTAAACAAACCTATGACTGTATGTACAGGTTTTTTTTGTTTTTTTTTTTGTATTGATTTGTTTCTAATGTGTTGTGAAGTACAAGAAGGTGTAGTTGTGTAATTGATTGTCACCTTGATGTGACAATACGTAAACATATGACATTCAGTCCACTCCACACCCATGATTCCCCTCTACTTCCAGGTCACTTCTGCGTCGCTGGATCGGATGCACCAGCACCCTGCATCGCTGGTCGGTACAACAACGAGACGGGCCGCTTCAACTGCCGAAGCTGTCCCATCGGGTTCTACTGTACCCAGAACACGACCGTACCGGAGGAGTGTAACCCTGGGTACTACTGCCCTCTAGAGACGGCGACGTGGGATGAGCATCCATGCGCTGAAGGGACGTTTAATAACCTGACCGGGAGATCGGAGGAGAGTGACTGCATCCTTTGTCTTCCAGGGTAAGCCGATTTTAAAATATGTTCTGCTCACAAATGAATGTTATTATTTTATTTATTTGGTGTATAAAGATTAACCTGCAACTCAAGCTGAGATGGTCACTCTACACAGTTATACCATGTTTTCAAAGTTATTTTATGTTACATAACAGATTGTCAATAACTTACATACTATGATTAAAAAATACAAAATAAATAATAGGATACAAACCTACTGATTATAATTATGGTTAAGGTACATATTGCACATTTTCACGCTGTTATTTCAAAGTTATAGATGAAACATGATACAATATTCCTCTTTGATCTATTTCCTGCACTAAATAAATTCCTATCTTTAATTCTGATTAAATACTTTAAATACATGTCCTTGTACTTGAAGTGTATCCCAAACATAACCCTTCACTTAATCCAAACCCCAATGGACACCCTAACCTAAAGCTTTAGATCTTTGATGAAAGAAGCCCAGAGCAATGGTCGCTTGGGGAATGTATGTATTTATAATCATTATTATGCCTCTGTCACCAAAGGTAGTACTGGAGGCATTATGTTTTCGGGTTGTTATTATGTTTTATATCTTTTCTCTTGTTTTAGCACGTACTGTGAGATCCCTGGCCTCTCTGCCCCCACTGCCGAATGCGACGAGGGGTGGTACTGTATCAACGGCTCCCAGTTCTCCCAACCGACCGACGTCTCCCAGGGAGGGCGCTGCCCGGTCGGTCACTACTGCCCTCAGGGTTCCGTCTACCCGACCTCCTGTCTCCCCGGCATGTACTGTGACGTGGTGGAGCTACCCTACCCAGCTGGGAACTGCAGCGCGGGGCATTACTGTACAGGAGGCGCAGAGACGGCAAGCCCAGAGGCAGTTTCCTCAGGTAAAGATGAAAGATCAAACTCTCTTGTGTTTATGAAAAGTGTGAAATAAATGTGAAACGGGAAAGTACACCAATTTTTGCAAGTCAGTATTTCAAAGTCTTGATATTATTTCTCGTTCACATGTTAATGTGAAGGGAACTGTTTCAAGATAGTGGGAAGAATATTGTATACTGTATATCAAGGCTATCATATTCTATACTGATATATAATTGTTAACTTGTTTAGGAGTAGATACTTATTTGTCACTTTAAAAGTGTGAATCCTCAAAAAGTGCAAGTTCATTTTGAAGCCTTTGTGTCTGTTTCTTGTACATGTATTGTGGAACGAATTACATTTTTTAATTTACTGTTTCTCTCTTGTCCTCTATTGTTCAGGTGATATTTGTCCGAGTGGTCATTATTGTCCCGAGGGAAGCTCAGAAGCGCAGGAATGTCCACCAGGAGCGTTCCTCAATACGACACAAAATGAAGGTAAGACCAGGCTCCTTAAGATCTGACATATGAATAATTTTGTTCAAAACATGATTCCTCTTCTTAGTCTCTTCTGTTAAACAGTTCTCATTTCTAATATGACTGGCTTAAATTATGTAAAACTTGTTGAACTGTGCAAAAAAAAAAATCAAAAAATTATTGCAAAAATTATAATTGTTTTGCAACCACTTAAAATTTCATTTAGGTATAATAACCAACTCGTCATGAAGAAGTTTGTTTATGACATTTGCCAACCCTTAACTCCTGACAAATACAAAATGTATATATATTTTAAAAGGAGAAACTTAGGCATTAATGAAACCTATAAGAATAAGTTCATCAATGAATGCTGACACAATGATTTGCTCCTTCTGTTTACCAGCCCTGTCAGACTGCCTGGACTGCCCTGCTGGCATGTACTGCTCTGGCTATGCAAACAGCCACCCAACGGCCGAGTGTGAGGCAGGCTACTTCTGCCCATCCGGTCAGAACATCTCCACGCCTTACGAGTACCGCTGCCCCCAGGGCCACTACTGTCCTGTCGGTAGCCCGGAGGCGATCCGTTGCGCCTCTGGAACGTACCAGGACGAGGAGGTGCAGGATGGGTGCAAGACATGCCCTGATGGCTTCTACTGTGATAACCGTCTGGAACCGGTGGTCCTCTACCAGAATTCTACTTGCCCTGAAGGTAGGTGGTGATGGTTATTTAGTAGGGCTGTGCACAACAGTGTAATGAGGTACCCGAGTACACTCCCAGGCTCACAGGCGAATACTCGAATATTCGGACGCCATGTTTTTTTATAATTTTTTGAATTTTTTTGATTTTTTTTGATTTTTTTTGATTTTTTTGATTTTTTTTGAATTTTTGGATTTTTGGATTTTTTTCCTTTTTTTTTCTTTTTTTGCCACTACCATACCACTCGGCAGTTTCTCAGGTCCCTCGCTGAAAACGCATGCAACTTTACTTTGAGTTGCAGTTGAAGGCGCCGATTTAATAAGAATAATAACAGTAAACAATGCTGTTTTAAAAACCAAAGATGGCAGAATAATCCATTTTCCTCCAAGTCCAAACAGAAATCTGGACATTTGGTCCCAGTTTCTGAAAGGTGAGTTTGACAGTGCTTGAGTTGGGAAACATTTTTACCGACGGTACCATGCCAGCGGACGCCGCTCTCCCTGGCACGGGTAAGCGTGGGCCTGGACATTTTTTTTTTTTGCGGCCGAATATTCGGGTACAAGAAATCGTACCTGAGTAGTTGTCAACCGTGCGGGTACTCGAGCATTCGACTACCCGTCGCAGCCTTATTATTTAGGGATGCAAGTTTTCCCCCCTTTTGGCTGAGGTTCAGACTCTTACACCTACAGTGTATCTATCTTTTGAAGAGTCTATTGATCAATGTTCAGTAATACACTGATGAAATAAATATGAGAAAGCTGTTTGAGTTATATGAATTTATAAAGGGTTTGGAACATTTTTAGGGTGATGGTTATTTAGGGATGCAAGTTTTCCCCCTTTTGGTCGAGTTCAGACTCTGACTCCTACCTGCTTCAGACTTTCTGATGAGCTATGGTGTGCTAAAAATCAACATGCATGGTACTCGGATTAGGCTAATCGAATAAAACAAAGTTGTTTTTATCTCTAGGCTGTATTGAAGGATGTACATGTTCTTGTTTAAATTGTCCATGTATTTTGTCCACCTTCCATTTTCATTCTTTCTTTGTAAGATGCTATCATAGCAATGTTGAGTTGTACACTGATGAAATAAATATGAGATAACGGTTTAAGTGGCATGAATGTTTGTACTCTTTTATTTCAAGGGTTATTAAGGGTTATGGTACATTTCTATGTTACTATTTTCTACACTACAAGTTAGTCTGGGTTTAATTCAGGACTTAAGTTCCATCCTGTATGCATTTATGGATACCAGCCTTTCATTTTGATTAAATGTTACTGTACTTTCCATACTGTCTCCTCCTCTATTTAGGATCGTACTGCCCGGCTGGTACGCGCTATCACAATGAGTTCAAGTGCCCTCTGGGTACCTTCAGCAACGTGACTGGTCTAAACATGAGTTCTCAGTGTAGTCCTTGTATGGGAGGGTTCTATTGTGGAGAGTTGGGTCTGACTGAAGCAACAACACCTTGTGCTGCGGGGTAAGTACAACAAACTTTACAGAGTCTGATCGATTTCCTGAAAAAACATTTTTGTGGGAAAGGTTCCCTTTACCCCGTACTTTGACTGGTCTTAACATGAGTTCTCAGTGCAGTCCATGTACGGGAGGGTTCTATCGTGGAGAGTTGGGTCTGATTGAAGCAATGACACCTTGTGCTGCAGGGTAAATACTGTATACTTTTTGCGTCTCCAATGAAGTTGTCATTTTCATAGTTGCTGTAATCAGTAAGTTTTGAGTCATGATTTAAATTGATCTAGAATGCTAACCTCACAAGCTGCCAGACTAGTCTTTTCCAAGGAAGTTAGGTGACTCCAAGGCCACTGAAGAATTGAGAATCTATAGCTCTGAAACAAAACTACAGTGACACCTGTATATAAAGACCACTCAAGGTTGACAAGAAAAGTTGTCTTTATGGCAGGTGGTCTTTATGTACTGATTCCTTTAGTACAGTTAAGAAAAGATTGTTGAGGGAAACAAAAAATACAGTCTGGTGGCTAAAGCACAGCTTCACTGTATAAAGGTTCAAAACAACATTTTGAATAATCCCTTCATTTCCCTTTGCAGCTACTTCTGTCGACAGTACGCAGAGATCAGTACGCCCAACCAGACCACCTACGCCAACGTGTGTCCCGCTGGTTCCTTCTGTCCCGAGGGAACCACTGAACCTGACCCCTGCCCTCCTGGCACCTACTCCGATATGCTGCAGATGGAGAGTGAAGATCAGTGTCAGAACTGCACCAAGGGTAAGAGTCCATCTTAGAATCCATCTTAGTTTAAACCTGTATAAAAGGTTCACTTAAGAGAGACATGATAAAGAAATGTCTTTATAGGCAGTGGTTTTTAAACTGTTCAAAGGGAACCAAAGAACCTAAAATGTGCCCCTGACACCTACTCCGATATGCTTCAGATGGAGAGCGAAGATCAGTGCCAGAACTGCACCAAGGGTAAGAGTCCATTGTAGTTTAAACCTGTTTATACTGTGTATACATTTAAGAGAGATATGGAAAAGTCTTTATAGGAAATAATTTCAGTTTCAGTTTGTTTATTCACGTCATTTTCCTAAAAAACACAGCAAAAGCAAGTAAACATACAAGTATATAGATATACATGTACTAAGGAAGAGAATAGTCAGTTAATACAATAGCTTCAAATGAAATAGGAGAACTAAGGAAAAGCCCATGGTGGCCTTGTTTAAAAAAGTTCCCCTGAATATTATAATTTATATTACTGAGAATAAATTAGTTAAAGATATCACAAAAATTGACCTCCTGGTAACAAAACCACTGCTCTACCACTGAGCCATTGCAACTCCTCCTTGGCAGAGGATATTATGAAAATAATGAATCACACATCCGATACTGTAAGTGATAATCCCATGTATGCTTATCCTTGTTACCCTGCAGGTTGGCATTGTCCGGTTAATGGTCTGACCGAGCCGTTCGGTGAATGCTACGAGAGTTACTACTGTCCTTCAGGATCATCTAGTCCAGACCAGGTGGCATGTCCAGCCGGCTATTACTGCATGAATGGAACCTTTGACCCCACACCATGTCCTAAAGGTAAGCTTTATATAAACTCTTTCAAGACAAGATTTTTTTTAGGGCAAGATTGATCACACATTGTTCTTTGAATTGGCAACAATAATGTTTTTGCTTTTATGACTACAGTGATAGAATGAAATGCAACGTCTCTGAAAACAATATACACCTTGTCCTAAAGGTATGGTTGTAACCCTTTCAGGGCAGGATTTTATTTTAGGGTTAGATTGATCACATATTGTTCTTCAAATTGGCAACAATAATGTTTTTGCTTTTATCATTACAGTGATAGAATGAAATGCAATGTCTTTGAGAACTATAAACAACAAGTTTTAATAATGCTCAGTTTGATAAAAAAACAAACAATGATTTCTAATCTCTCAACATGTTGCCAATTTAAGGATTTATGTCATCTTTTCTACTTGTTTATCTGGTATATTTAAAAGGGCAATCGAACCTTTGGAATAGTTCATTTGCATGAAAGCAGCAAAAGAAGATAAACAGAATGGCAACATTTTGAAATACATTGCACCAATAATAATTTAGTGATGAATGTTTGAAATATAAGATCAATTAGTCTATCTTTTAGTGGTTTTTTTATAGCCGGTGTGAATATGTTTCTGTGTTTTGTTTGTGTTTCAGGTCGGTACTCCAATGATACAATGAAGGCCTCGGCTACAGACTGTTATCTGTGTTCAGGAGGGTTCTACTGCGAGACGGAGGGACTCACCGAGCCAACAGGAGAGTGTGGAGAAGGTTAGTGTCTTTGAGGCAAAGTCCAACCAAAACTTGGACATTTCTTGTGATTAATAACCATTAAGCCTCGTTCAGTTATGATTTGTAGAGGTGTTGTGGTCTAGTGGATAAGTCACCAGACTGTAGATCACAAGGTACGGTGTTCAAATCCAAGCCCAGCACTAATGCCCTTTGCCAAAACATTAATCTTCATTTGACACTGTCCTCCCAGGTGTTTAATGGGTACCAGCAGTACAGAATTCCTTGATTCTGTGAGCACCGATATGGTAGCCTAGTGGTGCCAGGGTAATATTGGAGCGCCTTGAGCACCTTACGTGGTGGATATGTACACAATGTAAATGTCCAATATTGTAAAATTCCTATTATCATTATTATGATAGGCAGTACAGTCAAACCTGTCTACAGCAACGTCCCAAAGGAAACCCAAAAAGGGTCACTATAGACAGGTGGTCTTTGTAGACAGGTTCCTTTAGTACATGTTTCAATGAGAAACCATTTTCAAGGGAAACAAAAAATGTGGTCTTTGTAGATAGGTTGTCACTAAAGCAGGTTTGACTGTGTAAGATTGCAGTCGTCTGCTTTGAACAATTTTTCACATGGGGTCATATCTGTGATCATTGCAGGTTATTTCTGTCCACCTGGAACCATCCATCGAGAGCCCAACACCACCTACTGTCCGATCGGTCACTACTGTCCTGAGGGAGTGTCCGGCCCGATACCCTGCGCCAACAATACCTATGTGAACTACACCCATGCTGCGTCCTGCAACCCGTGTCCTGCTGGATACCACTGCCAGGATGTAGGTGTCCAAGAGATCTGCCCTCTAGGATACTACTGCCCCGAAGGAACAGGTAAATATATAGTCTCTTGAGTAAAATATAGGGTGTAGATCTTTTAAACTTGTAAATCTTGTGGTGCTGGCTTTCATTACCTATGTGAACTACACCCACGTGGCGTCCTGCTGGGTACCACTGCCAGGATGTAGGTGTCCAAGAGATCTGCTCTCTAGGATACTACTGCCCCGAAGGAACAGGTAAATCTATAGTCTCTGGAGAAAATATAGGATGTATATCTTTTAACCTTGTAGCTCTTGTGCTGCTGGCAACTTCTCCCCGTAAGGTCTCCAACTTCAGACGATTTCAAGACATATTTTCAATTGGTTCCATTTTAAGTTTCAGTAGTCAACAGGTGAACCAACAGAGGAATGAGATATAGTCACTTGGAACACATTATACCCTGTAATTACTGTTCTTTTAGCTTTTACTGGCTGTAGGGATCTAGGAAATTTGTCCTGCAGGGAACTACTGTCCAGAAGGCACAGGTAAAGTATGCAACTTGAGAGAATCTTTTTTTCTTTCAAGACATATGTTTGATGGTTCCATTTCAAGTTATAGTAGTCAACTTGGAATTAGACCTGGTCACTTGGAAGAGACCCTGTAATTGCTCTTACTGTTAAACTTTTCTCTGTTTCACTTTGTAGGTTATGACATCATGTCTTGCCCGCGTGGTACGTACAGTGATCAGGAAGGTCTCTATGAAGTCGCCCAGTGCTTGCCCTGTTCCGCCGGATACTACTGTGACCAGGAGCACCTTGATGCCCCCACCGCAGAGTGCGACCCAGGATACTTCTGCGTGTATGGCGTGGACCGTCTCCAGCCGGACGGGAACAACGACACGTGCCCCGCATCAAGCAACGCATCATGCATGTACTACGACGCCCATCAGACCGGATACGGGGGCGTGTGTCCTGTCGGACACTATTGCCCTCAAGGAACCACCTTGCCGATACCGTGTCTGAACGGGTCGTATGCGGCTAGCCAGGGACTTGCAGAGTGCGTCACTTGTGAAGCAGGTATTAATCCTTTTCATTTCATTTTGAGTTTGAAAAAAAAACCTTCTTATTACTAGTCTTGTTCACTTGCTTCTGAGTTTGACACAAGCTATCCGATATGGAGCATCAGGTGAATTGATCACTTGATAAATCTTCCAAGTAAAACTTCTTTTCTTCTGATTCAGTGTGTTCAGGCTATCAAGTTCTTGTCTTCTGTTTGGAGCCAGAAGGGGATCCACTCCTATCATTCTACACAGAGTTAATGCCCTTCTGGTTCCAAACAGACTATGTCAGGTTTTGAACTATACCATTTTAACTCTTTCCTTTAAATCATGTACATGTATCAACAATGCAACTTTATCTTCTGCTTACTTGATCCTGTTGCCTTTTGCCGCAATATAGTAATTCCTACATGAACATAATTTGTCAAGAAAACAGTTTAAAACGATTTATGTTGTGTTTATCTTTCCAAGGCTATTACTGTCCTGAGGGATCGTCCAGCTACGAGGTCAACCCATGTCCATCCGGTCACTACTGCCCACCGGGCACTCACTATGGAGAGCAGTATCAATGCCTGGCAGGAACGTTCAACAATCAAACCATAAGCAAGAATGAATCTGCTTGTATACCATGTACAGGTAAGCTATACACACATACACTCAAACCTTTAAACCTCTGTATAAAGACCACCTCTCTATAGTGGTCAATTGTCATGTACTATGGAGAGCAGTATCAATTCCTGGCTGGTACATTCAATAATCAAACCATGAGTAAGAATGAATCTGCTTGTATACCATGTACAGGTAAGCTATACACATACAGTCCTCTAAATCTTTGTATAAAGACCACCTGTTTATATTGGTCAGTGCTTTATATACATTGTCACCTATAAGGAAGATAAGATTTGTAGAACTTTTCTCTAAAGGTTACCTTTCCATGAAGACCAAATTCCTCCTGATAAAGAGTCAATCATAGACTTCTGTACCAAAGAAAAGTACCTTAATCCTAAAAATATGAGATTATTTTGATGTTCTCTCAGCCAGAAAAGGTTGATTTTTAAAGCCACTGTGTTTTTCAAACTTCTGCTTGAAATTACTTTATTACCAGCGTACACATACTTAACTGATCTCTGAAAGTGATAAACTTTTGTTTATAAGTGGCCCAAACATTGTGGAGCGGTGTGTGCAGAGCTTTGTAACCGCAAGGAAATGGGGCTATATCAAATGTCTTTTGGATTGGAAAATTGTATAAAATTTGGTATTGAAAGATGCGTAGGAGACAAGACAGTGTCACTATAAAGTCATGAAAGCTTGCAAAGAAACAAATCATCCTCAGCAATCTAAACTACGTTGTACCACTCTTTTTTTTGCCCTTCCAGCTGGCTACTACTGCCCCAGCCCTGCCATGACATGGCCCATGGGTGAATGTGAAGGGGGCTACTACTGCCCAGGGGGAGACGACGACCCCACGCCGTCCACCTACTGCACCATGGGGTACTACTGCCCCCAGGGGTCGGTCTTACCCCTCCCCTGCCCCGGTGGCGAGTACTGCGCTGAGGACATGATGAGTAACACCTCGGGTCTCTGCGCCGCCGGATACTACTGCTACTCTAAAGCAATCACACCGAGGCCTAACGATGGGAATGTGACAGGTAAATAGAAGCGATTTATAAAGGGGCACCTGTTTAGGAAATATATTGGTGTTGAAACCAAAGAAAACGAAGACGTCTTATTTCTGTGATGCCGTGTACTACTGCTAATCTGAAGCTATTAAAGTGCTTACTTATGGAATTTTACATGTAAATACATGTAGAAATGATTAAAAGAGTGGAACATTTTTAATTACTGGAAATATCGGGCCGTAGAGACCAAAGAAAATAACCGTATTGGGTCTCTGCTATGCTCGGTTCTACTGCTTTTCTAAGGTCAAAGCCAAATCAGTCAGAGATTTATGCATGCAAAGGTTTCCTAGTTATATCATATAAATATGTTTGTTTTGCACCAGCAAAACAAGCATAGTGATATGGAAGCTTGTTTATAAACATATTCACCGACAAGCAAAATGCATTTGAGGTCAGATTTAACACAGTGTGTATGAAGAAATACGGATGAGAGTGTATGAGGCTTAAGAACTGATTTATATATGTCATCACAATAACAGGAGTGATTCATTCAAAAGCAAATGATTTTCTAAACCTTCCGTTATCCATCCTCTCCTTACCCTAGGTGATGAGTGCCCTATGGGTGCATACTGTCCCATGGGCAGTGACTCCCCAATCCTCTGCGATGCCGGCACATTCCTTAACAGCACCCTCAATGACATGGAATCTGACTGCTTAGACTGTATACCCGGATCATACTGCGCGGGCAGTGGTAACGTGGTACCGACAGACGAGTGCTGGCCAGGGTACTACTGCCCAGCTGGACAGCGAGAGGCTACACCGGCCGAGTATAACTGCACGCTAGGTGGGTATAAGCAAATAATTATTGTTACAGTCAAACCTGTCTATAGCAACCGCCCCAGGGAAACACAAAAAGTGGTCTTTGTAGACAAGTTCTTTTAGTACATTTTTTTGATGAGAAACCATTTTCAAGGGAAACAAAAAATGTGGTCTTTGTAGACAGGTGGTCACTAAAGCAGGTTTGACTGGCTTATTATTATTATTATTCTTATTAGGAAATGATAGTGGCTGTTCCACTGATTCACCAAAAAGGCGCCATGAATGAATTTCTAAGGTCTAAATGAAGCAGTCAAATAGCGTGAAATGTATGTTGTTGTTAACATGGGGTTTATGCAAGTGCTTTTGTTAAACTAGGGGTACAAAAACTACATATTATGGGGCCGAAGTACTGAATTGTAAGTCTCTTCCTGCAGACGACAATAAATATTGTAATAGTGCTCATTTATTTCATTTTATCAAAGAGAAACATAGGCATTTTGTTGGCTGAATATTATTGAGTTGTTCAATTAACAAGCCGAGCCATCCTTGTAGACGATTATGCTATTACGAAACAATCAGTCAAAGGATTACATTACATGTATTTTTGATTTTGATCATCTGACTTTTTAAAAACAAGTCGTGTCATTTATTAGAAGCAATGCACTTGAAATATTTTGCAAGATTTGTCATTCCTTATTTCAAAATTATGAGCATAAAAACAACTTTGTGTTCCTCCTGACAGGTCATTATTGCCAACGAGGGAGCCCTTCACCCATCCGCTGCATTTCTGGTGAATACCAGGACGAGGTCGGCCAATCATCATGCAAGGATTGCCCTGCTGGTTTCTTCTGCGACAGCACCATGGAACCTGTCGTGCTCTACAATGACTCTTACTGTCCGCAAGGTAAAGCATGGGGGAGGGTGCCCTTTCTTGATATGAGCATTTATTAATCCTTATATTCTGAGTGCCTTGGTAAATTTAAAGGGGAAGTCCACCCTGATATTAAGTTGGTTTGATTAGAAGTGGAAAATGAGACAGGGATGCCAGTTTTCAGGCAATAGCATGAATTCAGGCTCTGGCGAGCTATTTTCAGACCATAGTTAAGGCTTTTTTTCCCTTTCTTTCTAGGTAATTTTCAGGCCCTCTAATCAATTTTAACTGGTATCCCTAATGAGAGGAACATGTCAGTCATAGTTTGAGCAAATTCCAATTAAAGTTAAGAATGATATGAATTTTTGAAGTTATTATCATTCAAACACAAATTGGCAACTCTGACGTTTCTCTCACATTTACTCTGTACTAAAAAAATAGAAAGTTCTTATTTTCCTGAAGAAAAGTTTCATTCATACATGGAATAATTCTTATATTATGATGATTGTAATACCTAGTTATGAGTTAAAGTTCTTTGGAAGTAGAATAATAATTAATTGGTAGTGGTCTTGCACCCTTGACTGTCTACACTATTTTCCCCCACTCTACTTTAGGTTTCTACTGCCCTCTGAACACGGAGTATGCTACACAGTATCCCTGCCTTCGAGGAACCTTCAACAACCTGACTCACAAGACAGAGATAGATGATTGCCAGCCATGCTCTGGAGGCTACTACTGTGATCAAGAAGGGCTCGAGGAACCGGTCGCTCCTTGTACAGCAGGTATGTTACGAGGGAGGGAGATAGTGATAGTGTGGAAGGCCGATAAGGATGTTTGTTGATGGGTAAGCTGGTGGTGGGTTGGTGGGCAGGGGTGATGAACACTAACAGGAGTGTTAGTTGGTGAGGGAAAGACAGATCTGTTGGATAGATGATTGCCAGGCATGCTCCAGAGGCTACTACTGTTCTAGGGAAAGTGAATGGCTTATATTTTTATGGGAGGATTTCTATGCTGCCTCCATGTTACAGAAAGGTTCTTGTCCTAGTTTTGAACTACAAGTAGAGACATTGATAAAAGATGTATGTTATGCATATGATATATATATATATATATATACATGTACATGTTGCTGTGTTTATTACACTTGAAGGAATGATAGAAAGACAGTAAGCGAGGAATAAAAAAGAAAAAGAATATGGATAATGCTGTAGATCGTCCAACATTGTGTTGAGTCTCATGAAGAGTTATAAATGTACATTTGATTAGCATGGTGGAATTGTATTACAAAAGAAGCCAATGTTAATACTTACTGTTAATATTATCGTTATCACCAAATTTCAGGATTTTACTGTGAGACAGGATCTAACTCCTCCACACCGACCTTCGATGATGACAACAACGAATGTCCAGTCGGTCACTACTGTGTCCAAGGCTCAGCCCAGCCTCAGGCTTGTCCTTCAGGCACCTACAATCCATCGGTCAGACGTGAGGCGGTCAGCGAATGTCTGAACTGCACTGGTGGACGCTACTGTCCGGACTACGGAATGAACGCCACTGGACCTTGGTGTGGTGCTGGTGAGTTAAAGAGCCAGTTTATTCCTTGTCCAGAAAAGGTACATGTACTGTGAACTACCACCCCTTGAAACTATCGCTTCTACAACAATTACTGCCCAAAGAACTTTGTTTTATCCTCAGGTAAATCAAGTTTAGTGTTTAATATATTTAAATGAAGAAAGAAAAAAATGTGGTCTATATAGATTGTGTTCTTTCTATAAAGCTGGTCACTAAAGCAGACTTGATCTTTTTTTTTGTGGTTTATATTGTGAGTCTGGAGTAAATGTGGCTAAGTTTGATCAGCTCTCTGCTGGAAGTTTATACTTTTAAATGCCCTCTTTTTTACAGGTTATGTGGTACAAGGCCCTGTTTCATAAAAAATTGTTATCAATAACAAGATACATGTACAATAATTGTTCGAAGCTACTAAAATCCTAGCAGTTGACTGGCTGTGAGCAGGTTTGTAATAGATCTGTAGCAGTTGTTATTGATAACCAGTCTTATGGAATAGGACCCAGGTTTCCACAATAAGAACTGCTCTTGGGAAGCCAAATCAGAAGTCCTAACATAAAAATGGGCTTTAGAGGCAGGTGGGCTTTTGATTCAGGTGGCCACCAAATAATGTTTTACCTGACTTCTTTAGGTTTCTACTGTGAGTCTGGCGCGGATGTGGCTACCTTTATGCAGTGCCCACCTGGAAGCTACTGCCCTGAGGGCTCTACTCTGCCTAGTCTTTGTGATCCAGGCTCTTGGTCAGATCAGCCAGGTCTCACTGCACAGGATGAATGCTTCAACTGCACAGGTAAGTCATATTTCCAATGTTTAACTCTGTTTACTGGAGACTAGTTTATTGAAAACTACACCTACAGGTGTGTGTATATATGATGTTAATGTTACTTTCTGCTTAAATAGCATTTCGGCATGACTGTAAAAGAGAATGGAATAAGATTAGTCCTGGCCATGAAGATAAGCCAGGAGAATAGTCCCTGAGCCACAATATTTCTTGGAGAAATAAACTCTCTTGGAAATGGAGAAGCGTTTTATGTAGCTTTTCCGTTCTCCTCCCAGTTAGTTCATGGTTGCCCTTTTGGTCTGTTACCTTTTAAATTTCCTTTCAACATATCTTTCAAGAGACTCTAAATGTCTTTTAATGTGGTCAAAGTATTTTGCCTCTCTTTCTTTAACCATTCCTATTAGGATGTTTTGGTTAGAGGTAAAGGCCGGTAGTGGTAAAATTGCGGTTCAAGGGTTTTGGGTGCAAAATATCCATTCAATATTGTTTAAATATTGCCTTCAGAGGTTTAGATGGCAATACTTCAACCTAAATTTGCAAAAAGGCAGAAATATATGCCTAAATGTTCAATGTTGAAGGTGCATTCGCGATATCTATCCAACATGATAATTTACCAAATATATCAACATCAAAATATCTATTAAACCTCTTTCTCTAATCCTTTCCTATCGCACAGCTGGTTTCTTCTGTCCCTCCAGCGGACAGACGGCAGCCACGGACGAATGTTGGGGCGGGTGGTACTGCCCCATCGGTCAGAGTCAGCCCAACCCTGCGGACTACCTGTGCCCCATTGGAGTCCACTGCCCCAACGGCAGTGATACCTACCTCTCGTGCCCCAGCGGGTCCTATGCCAACTATTCAGGAGCATCGGAATGCCATGTTTGCCCTGAGGGGTACTACTGCACCCCTGTTGGTCCTGCCAACGCCTCCCTGAATGCCCAGTCATGCCCTCCAGGTTACTACTGTCCTGAAGGTAAGGGGCAAATATGTGAATGATATCTTGGTTTATGGTCTAAACTTAACTAGGCAAATTGTTCTATTCATTTCAAGTAAAAATAAAGTACATATTAACAAATAGATACTGTACATACAATACATCACGATAACAAAAAAGGAAATTATTTGTATTTTAAATAAAGGTCTTAGACTTGGAAAGAATAATTTAAAAAAAAAGGAATATGGAAGAACTTCAAGAAAAGCCCTATGGCCTTTCAAATACCATTCAATTAGTTTAATATGCATGATTTTGTATAAATGCTTTAAATCCAGAAATGTCTGTAATGTGAAAGGTGGGAGAAGACTTCACAACTGCTGTGGCTCATAACATTAGGAACCAGAGCAAAATAACAATGAGTTCCTATAGGAAATCTAGTTATTCAGATGGTCATATCTCAGCTAATACTTAACATATTCAATTGGTTTTTGACATTTGGAGATTATTTTTTATGCTCTTTCAGAAAATGAAGAAAAACAATTGAGAAATTAAAAAAAAAAAGATTTTTGATGACGTCACACTTCACCACTCTATATCTCTTTGATTGTGTTTAGGTACCGGTCTGGACTGGCAGCCATGCCCTGCTGGTACCTACAGTGCAGCTGAGGGTCTGACAAGACAGGGAGAATGTCTGCCCTGTGATGGGGGTCAATACTGCATGGGATCTCATCTCACAGAACCTACAGGAAACTGCTCTGCAGGTAAGTGAAGAATAGCTAAGAACCATCTTCATGTCAGCGGCTTTAGTTTAAAGCCCCTCTAAAGTGTGGGGAGCCCCAAATTCCTTGCAGTAATGTGCTTAAATGACATCCTCCTTCACATTATGATACAATTCAAGTGACACTTTGCCATCAGATGTTGGGGGCTCTCGAAGCTTCAGAGGAGCTTTAACCCTTACTGTACTTGGGGGGGGGGGGGGGGACATTTTTGGAGATCGCGCCGCAACCGCTTGGAATTTTGAATTGTCGTGTCATGACTTTTTTCCCTCAAGTCTTACGCACATTTTGATACGATTTTCGTCGAAATCGGATATATACCTGTAAGGTGTTACATAACAATTAGTATGCGCATGTCATCAAAAAGTGCTATAATTGCATATATTCATGTACAAGCAGAAATGTGAAGATATGAATTGATATCAAATTGCTTTTATATGTTTCTCAGAGTAACTTGATGTATTCCAGAACAAAAGAATACATTAGAAATAAAACAATAGATATAATAAGCAATGAAAAACAATAAAATACATAAGAAAATAAATAGTTGAAAATCGCATCAAATTTGCATAAATTATCATTAGTAATTACATCAAATAACTATTTTGTGTTAGAAAAGAAGTTTCATATGAATAATGAGTTTCAACATTCAAAAAGTGGAGTCTGACAATTTTTGTAATGATTCTAGTTCCCTAAATATAGTTCCAGATTTGATACTCATGAATGCGTAATTTGCGTATTCATAATTTATGCAAATTAACCTATGCATTTTCAAATATCATAAAAAATAATGAAACCTCATGAATTTGAGATGAAGGAAACATTTATTCAATACATTTTCAAGATTCTTTACAAGTCTACGTACAAATATGTAGAGTTTTCTGTAAAATGCTTAAAATTAGCATTTTGCATAGTTAATTAGGCTATAACGACAAAAATTTGCATATTAGGAAAAAACTAATTATACCATCTTGTTCTTTACGTAAATATCTACAAATATGCAAATTTTCGTGTTCATCGGACATTCGACGGCCGAGATCATAGGGGGGGGGGGCCTCCGAGGCCCCCCCCCCCCCCCCCAGTCAGAGGGTGCTCAAAATAGCCCAGTACAGTAAGGGTTAACCTGACTTTGACTAATGTACTATAGCCTAATGATCTCTATGTTACGTTGAAATCTGTACATAAAGATGATAAATGATTCACAGCATTTACATGGCACCATATTTCCATTTAAAAAACAATAAACTTATCATTCAATTTGCTTCTATCTCTCTCCCTCTCTCCCTCTCTCCCTCTCTCTTTCTCTCTCTCTCTCTCTCTCTCTCAGGTTACTACTGTACGTCCAGCATTGATAGACCAGACCCAGGGGCAGACAACGAGACTTTAGTCAACTCAACATGCGCTTGCCCTGAACAGACCTATTACACTGGTAAGTCCTTTCTCTCCAGGGGAGTGTTTCACCAAGATCCTAAGTTGAACTTATCTCTAAGTTGGACTTATCAATTATGGAAACCTGTTAGCATCTATGCAAATATTTTGTAAAACTTATTTTAAAAGGCATTAAATGTTGATTCAAATCATTCATATTTTCTATTATCAGTGAGATTTCATGTTCTTGATGTGGAATTTATAAAAAGTCTAACATACTTGAATTTTCGCTTTTGAATATACATTATTTTAAGGCTACAAATGGCTCTCCATAGTTTTTAAGTCCAACTTAGAGTTAGGTTCGACTTAGGATCTTTTTGGAACACCCCCCCTGGGCGGGTATTCAATTCATTATGTCAGGGAAATGAATATTTTACTCATTGTTTCGGCTTAGATAAAAAACTTGTATTAAGCCTTGGCTAAATATTTTACCCTAAATTTAAGGCAGCTCCCTAGCAGACTTCAGCAAATTATTTAGAGGCCTTGATTGACAGGTATATGTTTTTCTAACACAGTATCAAAACCTTGGCAAAATTCAATGAGTGAGCATTTAATGCAATGCGTTAATTGCACATAATTTTAAATAGCCTAACATGATAATAAAGCTGATTGACCTGTCCATTTCCCTCTTGACCAGGCGAAGGAGGAATCTGTCCCATCGGTCACTACTGTCCTGAGGGGTCATCTCTGCCGATCTCCTGTGAGGCCGGAACCTACAACAGCCTCACACAGCAGGCTGAGTGTATGGTGTGTCCAGAGGGTTACTACTGCATGGCCAATGCTACAGAGTTCTTTAGTACAGATTGTCTGCTAGGTAAGTCAGTCTAGACCTTGAGCAATCCTCAGACAAACCTTGTGATGATAACTAATCATATTATACATTGAGAACAGTAATGTCTCACACAGCAGGCTGGGGGTATGGTGTTATCAGAAGGTCACTACTGCATGGCCAATAAATAAATAAATAAATATCTGAGTTTTATCAATGTCACTGTTTTCATCCGCATGGCTAACCAAAATCAAAAACTTGTTCATGAATTTGGGTCACTGTGTAGACATCTGACAAAAGTTACAAAAACAGAGGAAAACAAAAATTTTGAAGATGTCCACAACATCTGCATTATTCTACTCTCATTATTTTCCTTCAGGTCAATACTGTCCGAACGGAACCACCCATGCCTATGAATTCCGCTGCCCTCCTGGCACCTACCAGCCCCAGTACAATGCAAAGTCTATGGACGAGTGTCTGTCCTGCCCTGGTGGTCGCTACTGCGCCGGGTACGGTAACAGTAACTGGACGGGAGAGTGTGATGAAGGATGGTACTGCACCGAGAGCGCCTACACCCCGAATGGGACTGATAATGGAGGAGAGTGTCAACCAGGATTCTACTGTCCAATGGGTAAGTCTCCTGCATTTTGGATTTCAGGTTCCTTTGTCTTCCTGGATTGCACTTGTACGACTTACTTAAAGCCCCACTGTCCTACTTGTAGCTACTTGCTCCCTCTATATAGAAAACAATGCCTAATTGGTGACCATTGGTCCCCCATGATCCTCTTTATCATATGTTAATTGAGAGATGAGTTGAGAAAGCCACCTGTCATTGACCAAGCTGTGTGGTCTAATCCATCCCGGCCAAACTAATACAACTGGCCTTTAATGGCTCAGGACAAGGTGCCCCCTTATGCTCTTCTGAGTAGTCCGCCTCTATTCTTTTCTATTCTGAGCCTGGTCTTCAGCAGCTTTACCCTGGCATAATAGCGGTCTTGATCCTTCTAACGTTAAACAAATATAAGACATTATGTCCAGTAATCCATTAAGTCCATTAAAGCTTTCATAGGAGAGGGTCTTCGATAATTGTCAGCAATAAGAGATCACTCAGTACAATGCCTATATTGCCTTTCTTAAACTGAACTGCCTCTTACATTGTTAAATCCATGCCTCTAGGATCTGATGCCCCTGTCCCATGCACGCCTGGCTACTACTGTGACATCGCCAGCCTCCCCACGCCCACCGACATGTGCGCCCCTGGATTCTACTGCACCCTGGGTGCAACCACGCCCGAGCCCCTGGACGGATCGACGGGTGACGAGTGCCCTGAAGGCTTCTATTGCGGGGAGGGGTCGCCCTATCCTCTGGCATGCCCTCTAGGGACATACAGCCCGTCCCTGAGGAACGAGAATGTCACTGACTGTCTGGATTGCACCCATGGACAGTACTGCGGAGACCACAATCTGACAGCGCCCTCAGGTGAGCAGAAAGAGATAGGATTTAAAGTGGAATGTTATTCCTTCATTGTTGCTATTTTGTCCTTATTTTCTTGTATCATGAAAATACTAACAAGTCATGTACATTTACATGTATCTCTGTATAACGTTCTAAAAACACTGATCATGAAATTAATTTATGATGTTTAAAAACAGGAGGAAGTAAACCAGCAATTACAAACGAGAGAGAGAGAGAGAGGAAGAAAGTTACCTAGCAGTCAGAGGGAAAGAAAAGGGGATAGATGTACATGTATAGTATATTTCTTGTACATATTTCTGCCAAATGTGAACATTAAATGAGAAAATGTCTATTTCTGAATGTGTTTTCCTCAGGTAACTGCAGTCAAGGCTTCTACTGTACACCCGGTCAGAATGTTGCAGATGCAGCCCCTTGCCCTGTCGGCTTCTACTGCCCTGAGATGACCTTTGACCCTATCCTGTGTCCCAGCGGAACATACCAGACCGAGGAAGGACAGTGGACGTGTGATACATGCCCAGCTGGATACTACTGTGACAAGTAAGGAATGATTGCAATTATAATGAGAGAAACAGAGAGAGAGAGAGAGAAAGAGAGAGACAGACAGAGGCGAGGGAGAGAGAGAGAGAGAGAGATAAAGATAGAGAGACAGAGCGAGAGAGAGAGAGATACACAGAAACAGAGGAAGACGGAGAGAGAAAGACAGATGTAAAGAAGGAGAGAGAGAGAGAGAGATAGTTGAGTTCAGGGGCAGAGACAGATAAATAGAGATAAAGAGATTGATACAGGCAGAGTAAGAGGGAGAGACAGACTGACAGCTAGAAGGGAGAGAGGGACACTATGAGGATGGAAATAAAAAAGGAATGAAAGAAATGTAATTTTTGTGCACATGTTCACTTACACCTGAACATATGGAGAACCAATAGGAAAACTGTAATCATCTACTGGCCTTGTCTCCCTCAGTTCTAATGGTGTTGTCACTGCAAACATCACTTGCCCAGCCGGTTATTACTGTCCGGCAGGTACCACCAGGGATGATGAGTTCCCTTGCCCCACGGGTACCTACGGCAATGAGACAGGATATGCCTATGAATCACAGTGTACCGCTTGCACAGGTGAGTTCTTCTTTCACCCAGAGTAAAGTAAAACCTTCTGAAGGCTTGTTATCATGCAATAATAGACCTTTTTTGTATCACCTTGATGAAAATTATTTCATTCACCTGTTGCGAATGAATGTATCTCAGTAGTCAAAATTCAAATTTCATACATTAGTTTTTGCCAGGTAGGACAAACCTTAACACCACCTAACACCTACCTAACAACTCGTAACATATGCAATTTGCACACATTTTGTTACATTATGAAAATGGCCTTTTCAAATGAAAGCAATAAAAGTGATGCGCTGATGTCCTTTGGCAAGACATAAATCTACATTCGCTTCTCTCAGATGTTAAATGGGTACTGGTACTAGGGAGAAATTCTGTGAATGCTGTGAGCAACAAAATGGTATTCAAACATTCACCAGCTGCAGTCGTAACATTGGAACACCTTGAGCAACTCGCATCATGGCCTATGAGGGTTATAAAGATATCCAATTTTAGTGTTGTCAATATTGTACAATACAATAATTGTTATTGATTTTCAATATGTTTATACAGAATAATACAACAATCCTTAAGATCATTACAATTTGCAATGCTAACACCACTTTATGCTCAACAGAACAGTCTCACTACAACCTACCATTGTTATTCTTTTCTAGGTGGCTATTATTGTAAAGAGGTAGGAATCACCTATCCCAATGGTTTATACAATGCTGAATATTACTCTCACTATGAACATGACAGACAATGAAAGCGGACAAAATATACAGTTCCTCAGGTAAACAAAGGGACATCCCTTCACTGCTATTATGTAAAAATGTGTAGAACAGGTGTCACATGCATATTCACCTGTTCTACACATTTTTACATAATAGCAGTGAAGGATGTTCCTTTGTCTACCTGAGGAACTGTATATTTTGTCCGCTTTCATTGTCTGTCATGTTCATAGTGTCTAGACAGTATTCAAATACCTCTTTATGATCTACATGTACATTACAGCACCATTACAATGCATTATTTTCCATTCTTTACTAGGTGGCTATTACTGTGAGGAGGTAGGACTCACCTCACCTAGTGGTCCTTGCAATGCTGGGTTTTACTGCAGGCAGTATTCTAATACCTCTACACCACAACTTGGATACGATGCTGATGTCTGCCCAGCAGGTGAGTCAATACACATATGAAGAGTTTAATTCCAAGAGGAGCAAAAATCCATTTTTGTAACTTCAGAGAAAAAAGGAAATGATTACCAGATTTTGTTCAGTCGTCTATGGAAGAGTGATATCATAGGGTGCAGCAAACCTGTAGGCCAATCAAGAAACACCCCTTAGTCTCTTGGAGAGTCTTGGGGTGATGGAAAAGTAAGATAATGGCTTTACCAATTGGGTGAATTGGTGGGAAAAGCAGAGCATTATATAAAGCCTGTTGGTCATAAAACTGAAGGCTAATCCTGGTGATTGAAATATAATTCCACATGATAGCCTACTTCCATGCATCTTTAATAATAATAATAATAATAGCTAGTTCTTACATGTATATAGCGCTTTTCAGGACCGAAGGCCCTCTCAAAGCGCTTTACAGGTCATAGGATTCAGGCTGTCCCGCACACGAAGTATGCACATTCTCCACTCCCTGGGGAGCATTCCAGCCAGGCGTCTTTTTTACAAGCGCACACTTGCTAATCTAACCACATAAGCTTTCGCATCCTACCGGGTACCCATTTAACACCTGGGTGGAGAGTGGCAGAAGGGCATTAAATGTGTTAACAACCTCCTGGCTCTCAATAGAAGAGGTGATACAGTCAAAACAGTTTTATCAACCACCTGTATAGAAAGATCACATTTTTCATTTCCCAAGAGAAAATTGTTTCTCATTGGCCTAAACCTGTAGTAAAGGCACCTGTACATAAAGTCGCTGTTTTCACGAAGTGACGGTAGTGAAAAAAAATTGCATTCACTTTACGATTTTCTTCACTACCGTCACTTCGTGAAAATAGGGACGATAAATACCACCTGCCTACAATGGTAATTTTTCTTGTCTCTCTTTAGTGGTCTTTCTTTAGTTGTCTTTCTATACATGCGTCACTGTATTATACAGGAGAAATCTTGGCCAACTGCTATAAGCAGGGAGGTAAAGTAAGCCGAGTTTGGAGTCTGGTCGTTGATGAATGGTCATGAAATACCAGTTTTGAAGAAAAAAATATAATATTCGGTAGAAATTTGTTTGTGTAATAATGAATTAAGAGAATATAGATGGAGGCATATTAGAGACACCATCGCATTTTCTTTGTTCGTACTTATTTATTCTTTTCCTTTACTAATATCTTTTGATTATATCTTGCAGGTTTCTACTGCCCTGAAGGCACAGCCGAGCCATACCAATGCCCTGCAGGGACGTTCAGTAATCAGATGGGACTGCACAATACTACTCAGTGTACGCAGTGTCTAGCTGGATTCTACTGTGAGAGCGTCAACCTCACCGACACCGAAGGTACGTGTGGTTTATTGAAACTTGCACAGCTGCCAACCCTTCTTATTTTGGTGGAATTATTTTTGGCCTTCTTACAGTACTAATGTCATGAGCCCAAGATTCCTCTCTATTCTGAAAAATTCTGTGTATTAAGTATTCAAAGTAGACTGTATTAACAATTTTGCCTTGAGAGATTTTTAATGTATGCTTTGAAATGTTTGCAGGTATGTATTTGGTATTATTGTTGGTCTTGTCTGTCTATCTTTCTATCTATTTATCTGCAAGTACACATGTATCTATATATGTTCCATAACTGATGGGTGACATTGTAGTGGATCTTAAGACATGAGTTATCCAGAACTTGGTATTTGTTATGCAAAACATAATACAACTAAACACAAACAAGTTTGGACAACGATACACTGAGTACAGTTGTTGAAATTGCTCCTTGATCAGATCCCAACTGTTACTTAATTTGTAACTTGGACCTACACTGTAATACTATACTTCAAACCTACTAAAAACCCAAACCATACACATATGAACAGGTACCTTGATAATATAAATCTCAGAGAAAATGACATGGAGCAAAGGTGGAGTCACTGATAATACAACTGTAATATGGTACTGTGTATATTATGTTTTCTTCACTCACTCTTTTCTGCATATGTATACATTTTCTAAGTTCTTCCTCATTCATTTTTTCTGCCTTTCTTCGTCTAGGACTATGTCAAGAGGGCTACTACTGCCCCCTAGGGTCATCATCACGCACCGAGATGTCCTGCACCGAGGGTCACTATTGCCCTGAGGGGTCAGCCACGCCCACTGGTTGCCCAGAGGGGACCTTTAACCCTTACCAAGTTCAGATTGAGGAAGATGACTGTACGCCTTGTACGCCAGGCAGCTACTGTGAGACACAAGGTTAGTGTGGAGAAGATAAGGTGGCTCAGTGGTCTCGTAACTGGGAGGTCCTGGGTTCAAAACCAAGTCAATTCATTTGTGCCCTTTGGTGAGGCATCAATCATCATCACCAAGTCCCTCAGAGAGGGTCCCCTGGGTACTTGCTTACAAACGTATACATGCTTTTTTAATAGTCATGTGAAGCATTCTTCAACATCATCACATATATTACTGGTTTCATAACCTTGAGCCTTAGACCTGATTTGTATTGTTTCCATTGCTTGTCTTGTTTGTGTACATACTGTATCCTTTCAATCTCTTCTACCAAGCACATGAAAAATGTAATCTTGTACCGTAAATGGCTATTTATTCTCTTCTGTAGGTCTTGTGGAACCAACTGGACCATGTGAGCCAGGCTACTACTGCCCAGCCGGTCAGAACTCGTCCAGACCATACGAGTACCCGTGTACGGTCAGTCACTACTGCCCTCTCAACTCCACCGAGCCGCTGCTGTGTGAGAACGGGACGTATATGAACCAGACCCATGCTTCAGAATGCTTCACTTGCCCGGCAGGATCGTGAGTATTGTCTTGAAATTCAATTGGATGATGTGTGGTGATGATTTAGTGATGAATTATTTATGATGGTTTTGTCGCTGATGATGATGATGATGATACTTTGTGTACCCTAAAATGCTCATGGTAAAATTGATTGAGCTGCTATGCTGATTGTCTTAAATCTTAGAAAAAGGGTGTAACTGTGTAATTGTGGCAACTTTGACGGTGGTGATGAGGATGATCATGATGATTAAGACAATGATGACAATTATGATGATAGCTAAAATTGCCACCCCCTGTTTTTTTGTGATTCCCAGCAGCTATTTACAGCTTGTTAGTTTTTGTTAGCTTTGTTCCTTTAGCTTTCGTTCATATTGTCCGATTTCAGCTGAGTGTTTATGCGTGTGATTTTTATTCTGATGAGTGCAAGATGAAGAGTTTTAGTTTGTCTGTATCCATAGCTATTTTCTGATTTGATAGTATTAGTCACCTCTTGATGATAAGAATGATGATGTCTGTGATGAGGATGATGATGATGGAGGTGATGACGATGGTGACGGTGACAATCATAACGATCTCCCAATAACCTGCACCTCTGACCTTGCCGATTACAGGTACTGCGTGTTAGGAGACCTCATTGCCATGTGTCCAGAGGGGTACTACTGCCCCTCTGGGACCGGTATCGACTGGCAGCCGTGCCCCTGTGGGACCTATAATAATGACACCGGTCTCTCTTCATTGTATTATGTTTTGCATGAGAAATAAAATCATTTGAACATACTTCCTTAACCTTGTCCATTACAGGTACTGCGTCCTAGGAGACCTCATTGCCATGTGTCCAGAGGGGTACTACTGCCCCTCTGGGACCGGTATCAACTGGCAGCCGTGCCCCCGTGGGACCTATAACAATGATACCGGTCTCTCTGAGGAGCTTGAGTGTAGGCAGTGCCCTGGTGGTTATTACTGCGGGGAGATCGCTCAGACTGATTACCTTACACAGTGTGATCCAGGTTAGTCAGTGCATCTTGGAGATGTCATCTCTCAAGAGCCAAAAGGATAATACCTCATATTGTTTTACAATTTTGAAGTTAATTTCATGTGTACATGTAGGTTCTAGGATTTTTAAGTTTGTCCCAAATTGCAAGGATAATGTTAACAATTACCACAATTCCTGCATTGCTTTTGTAATTGTTCCAATTTTTACAGTTATTTTGAGACGGATCATTGGCATGAAACCTTGATTTGATTGGCTATTGAGTGACGTTGCCATGGTATTTATTATTTTACCCTCAATGGTAGGTTTTATGCAACTGTCCCCCAGATACTATGTGTATATAGCAAATACTCTAAAGACGATAGGAATCCCAATGCCGAGTACATTACACTACCAGTAATTATCAGTATTCATGTACACTGTACAGTCAATTCTGTCTCAGTGGCCACATTCCTATAGAGACAATCTGTAATGGTTACCTAAAATTATCTTCCCTCTAGTAAGAAATTCATGTATGTGATGGAGAATCTGCCTTGAAAGGCCACCTGTCTATCTCTGCCACTTGTTCCTCTTTCCCTCTGATGGCCTTAGTCTCTTGAAATAAAATACCTGTACCAGTACAAATATAATGAAACCAAATTCATTGTAAAATGCTCATGTACAAAAGTACCAATACAGTGCAAAAACCAATTATGTCTTTAATGTTGCCAATGCTTTGTTTCCAGGGTTTTACTGTGAATATGGCGTAGACAGAGCCGATCCTAATGGCAATAACAACTCTACCGTGGTGAATGCAAGTTGTGCCGTCCTTGGTGAGCATACCGGTATCGGTGGCATCTGCCCTGAAGGATCATACTGCCCTCTAGGTTCAAATCAACCAATCGAATGCGAGGCTGGGTCGTACGCCAATACTACGGGACTCGAAGCGTGTTGGGATTGCCCTGCTGGCTACTACTGTCTTGAAGGTAATATCATGAACTGCTAATCATGAAATAGTAATAACGCTATTGATTATTTTGGTAATTTCATCATTTACATGTCATTTGCTCTAGCTCGTTGCATAAACGTTATAAGATGGGGATGTACTGAATATATACTTTCATGGAATCTGAAATTTACAGAGCAAATATTTGGAGTGATTGGTCTACTTGTAGCTACTTGCTCTCTCTATATAGAAAACCATGCCTAAGTGGTGCCCGTTGGTCCCCAATGATCCTCTTATTCTTATGTTAATTGAGAGCTGAGTTGTTGAGATAGCCACCTGTCAATGACCACGCTGGGTAGTCTGATCCGTCCTGGCCAAACTAGTACAGACGGGCTTTAAAGTATGACTTGTATTTTTCGTTTTTGTGTCTTGCAGGTGCGGTCACCTACGAGGACACACCCTGTCCAGAGGGTCACTACTGCCCGATCGGGACAGCTTCCATTTATGAGAACCCCTGCCCTGATGGGACATACTACAACACCACACATGCCACGGAGATGAGTGACTGCATCGCCTGCCCGGGAGGGGACTACTGTGAGATCGATGGACTTGGGTACCCGACAGGACCGTGCTCTCCCGGTAAGAGAGGAGGTGTTTCATGGTGGTGATGGTGGTGATGGTAGTGATAGTGATGATGGTAATGATGATGATGATTGTGATAGTGATGGTGGTGATGTCAGTGCTGATTGCTGGTAATGGCGATTGTAATAAGGAAAGTAACAATTGTGGTGTTGATAATGGTGATGATGATGGTGGTGATGATGATGATGATTACGATGGTAGATAGGGGGGATGATGGCTGTGGTGATGGGAATAATCTTGATTTCGATAATGGTCTTTGTGATGGTGGTGATGATGATGATGATTATCATTGCAGAGATGATAGTGATGATGATGATGGACTTTGCTATGGTTTATGGTGAAAATACTCCACAAAAACTGTTATTCCTCCCTTTTTCTTCTTTCCTTTGATACTTGTATGCTACCTTTTTCATGCATTTCATTTGAATCACCATGATTGAAATGTTTTACTATCATCATCATTTTTTTTCTCTCTCAAATAAATATTTCTGACAATTCCCAGGATGGTACTGCTCTGGCAACTCTTCATCCTCCATGACGATGACCCACGGAGGAGAATGCCAACCCGGTACCTTCTGTCCTGAGGCATCCTACGCCCCCACACCCTGCACCCCCGGGACGTACTGCCAGACTCCTGGGCTTGATGCACCTACAGGGAACTGCTCAGAAGGTCAGTGGTTTACAGTTTGGTGGTTTGGGTCCAACAGTAGGGAGAAGAAGAAGTAGAAGAAGAAGTAGAAGAGGAAGAGGAAGAGGAAGAGGAAGTGTAAGAGGAAGAGGAAGAGGAAGAGGAAGAGGAGGAGGAGGAGGAGGAGGATGATGATGAGGAAGAGGAAGAGGAAGAGGATGAGGATGAGGATGAAGAAGAAGATGGAGAAGAAGAGAAAGAATTGTTTGAATTTGTGAATGATGTTGGTCTCTGATGACTGCAAGATGCCTTGTGCTTTTATAAAGAAATCTTCAAAATTTTGAGATAGAGAGAAAGTAAGAATAAAACCATGTGGGTCAAACAGACTAAATTTGATTGTCTTTGTGTGTGTGTTGAGATGAAGTTATATTCCTTGCAAATAATCCTACTCGATCTCCATCCTGTAGGGTACTACTGTTCCCTCGGAGCTTCGGACCCCGCCCCTACGGACAACACCACCGGTGCCATCTGCCCAGTGGGTCACTACTGCCCCGAGGGTAGCCCTGCCCCTATCTCCTGCCCCACCGGCTACTACCTGAACTCTGAGGAGAACAATGCCCTTGAGGACTGCTTGCCCTGTCCTCTGGGTGAGTTCTGTCCTGGTATTGGAAGGGAGACCTCAGCAGGGGATTGCGATGCTGGCTTCTACTGCCCAGGTGGACAGAATGTTTCTGCACCTGCAGAATACGTGTAAGTACATTTTTTACTTGTGTGAAAATTAGAAGTTTGGTGCTTTTTTTGGTGATAGCTTATCTTTCTTAGGACTCCTGTTTTTGAATATAGAACATTTCTAGAACACAGATGTGTATGCATAACACTTGTTTGTGCCCAACTTTGTACAATTTACTGCTACTTGCTTTCCTAGTGCTTTATATAGTTAATTTTTTGTACTATACAGTATATAACCTCTAAAGTAATTTTGGATGGGGTCTTAGTGAATTACAGACAAAGGCACTCAAGTAGAACAAACACCAATTAGTTATTTCATGTTTCTTTGAACCTGCAGCTGCCCTGAAGGCTACTTCTGTGAGGTAGGAAGCTTTGAGCCTCAGATATGCGAGAACGGAACCTTCCAGAACGAGATTGGCCAGAGCTCCTGCAAGCAATGTCCAGCTGGCTACTACTGCGACAACACCCTGGACCCAGTGGTCCTCAACATCACCGGTCTTTGTCCATCTGGTCACTACTGTCCAGCAGGAACGAGATACGCGGTCGAGTTCCCTTGCCTGATCGGAACGTTCAACAATGAGACAGGTGAGTGCTTTACAGATTCTGTACATCTGTGCAAGAGTCTCTTACAAATTCATTGCCTAATTTGGTGTCATGGACCAAGGACCAGGGACCCGTTTCACAAAGCCTTTTTTCAATGACAAATGACAAAAATCAGTGACAAATTCGCTGATAACCAATCAGAAGCAAGGATTTCAATAGCTTATAACAAAGATTGTCATTTGTCATTGATGACAAGTTTTGTGCAACGGGTCCCTGAATGTTGCCAGCAGCAGTCATTGAGGGCTTCTTTTTATTCAGAGCTGTACGCTAACGGTTAAGGCTGCAGTTCGGTTCCAAGTTCAGTTTAGGGCAGACTATGACATCTTTCCTCACTTTGAAGCATTATTGGTAACATATTCTAGTTATTGACCTTATATTTCTTTTTTCATCTCACAATTACATACTTTTCTTTGAGAGCCTAATAACATTTATTTGTCTCCTTTTAGTAAACCATTTTATCAAAGTATCTAGCTGATGAAAGTTGCATAAACAAGCAGATTTTATACTGGGGGCATCAAGCTCGTAGGATAGCACAAAGTACAACTAATTTTCATTTGATTTTCATTTTCTCACTGCTAGGTTTGACAGAGGAGAGTCTTTGTAGCCCGTGTCTGGGCGGGTACTACTGCCCCACCCCAGGAATGGTCTACCCAGAGGACGAGTGTGATGCAGGGTTCTTCTGCAAGCAGTATGCCAACATCTCAGCACCTGATCAAGGTATAGGATGACGACAATGACCAGTGTGATAGTCACCGTGGTAATGGGATGATGACAATGATGGTGGTGGTGATGAGGATGATGAGGATAATGAGAATGATAATGATGATAATGATGATGATGATGATGGTGATAGTGGTGATAATGATGATGATGATGATGGTGGTGGTGGTGGTGATGATGATGGTTGAGATGATGGTTATGATGATGGTTAGAATATGATGGTATAATACACAGTGATCACCATTGAAATGATAATGGTGAAGATGCTAGTGATTGTTGTTACACTGGTTATGATAATGATGTTCAAGATCAGCTCTAAACACCTAATGCTCCTCTCACCTTCTTACCCCTAACCCCATCCACCCACAACAGGTGACGATGCCAACGAGTGCACCCCCGGCCACTACTGCCCCCAGGGAACCACAGACCCTGTTCCCTGCCCCAAGGGCTCCTTCAGCAATGAGTACGGCTTACAGGCAGAGGGAGACTGTGAACTGTGCACACCAGGGCACTACTGCTCAGAGATAGGACAGACCAACACGTCAGGATTGTGCAATGAAGGGTAGGTTTGGGGAATTATCCTGTTGAATACCAAACCAAAGATAACTCTGACCGAAGTCAATGGAAATACATGTTATACAAAGATTGATAGAGAGTAAAATATAAACTGTTATGTGCACAGTAGAAGGGGACACCCACATTTTAAAAGTCCTGACCAGTCTTTAACTATATCTACACACTACTTTCCAGTCCTTATATTAAATTCCTTTTTGATACATGCGTGTACCATTTCATTTATCATAAACATACATGTATACAGTGATGTTTCAAAGGTTACAAAATAAATAAAATCATGCATTCATGTATATACATTATCTTTAAAAATCATAACATCTGCGATACTCTGAAAATTTGAAAATGTTAGTTTTCTAGTTTGCAGCCTTTAAGTTTTTGATGAAATTTCTTGCGACATATAGATATTCTTTTCAGATTCATTTATTTTAGTAGCAAAATACAGCTAACAGAAAAATCCCAGTGTTGCCAATTTGAAGAAGAAACCTGATAATTTTAGCCTGTAAACATTCCCATTGTAATTCATTCTCAACTCCTTGCATCCATTCTATGTTTAGATTCTACTGTGAGCTTGGGTCTTGGGATGCCACCAATGTCTCGTGCCCAGTGGGTCACTACTGCCCTCTAGGTTCACCATCACCGGAGCCGTGCCCCCAGGGAACCTACACCAACACCATGGAGAGATGGAATGTTAGCCAGTGCCAGGACTGTAATGAGGGATGGTACTGTAATGATACAGGTGAGCAGGAACTTAATTACGGTTTATTGTCGTCTGGTCTACAACCATTTTGTCTACTACCCAACTGGTCTATTCTCATTTAGTTTAATTTCCAGTCGGCGTGAACCTGAAATTGACAATGTGTTGACAAGGACATACATGTTATTCCTGTTTTTCTATACAAATTAGCAATTTGTTCAGGCAACAGTTTGGTAGGAAGCATGTGTATGCTTTTAAGTAATAAGCCAGGGGACCTATGGCTTTAAGTCCTCTCCAAGGGACTTTGTTATGAGGATTAATGCCTTACCAAATGGCACTTACACATAGACTTGGTCTTGAACCCAAGACCTTACGGTTACAAGACCACTGCTCTAACACTGAGCCATCCTGCCTCCATTATGGGTGGAAAATGCATGGTACAGACCATTAATATCTAGCATTCTCTCTCTGTAACAGGTCTCTCTGCTCCGGTAGGCGAGTGTGACGCAGGTTTCTACTGCCCACCGGGTCAGAGCGTACCAAACCCCACCGACTACCCCTGTAGCATTGGGCTTCACTGCCCCGTTGGTAGTGCTCTACCGGTACCTTGCGCCCCTGGTACATATACCAACCTCACCCAGGCTCCTGAGTGCCTGGAGTGTCCTGCTGGGTTCTATTGTGTACCGGAGGAGGTCATTGAAGGTGAGTGGGAGCCACCTGTCTTTTGTTTTATTTTATGGTTACTTGATAGAGTGTTTAACTTGTTTAATAGTAAGCCCAAGATAACTTTGGCTGGGGTCCTTGGAGAAAAGCCTTCTCTCAAAATCACTCGACTGAATATTTTATGATAATGTTATTTGAATTTTCACTGTGTAATGCTCTTGACAACGATCAGAGGACATCAGGAAGATTGGTTAGAGCACATAATGAAAACACAATAGATCAATTTCATTACCAGAGTCACTAATGGAGTTCAGAAGGCAAGAGGGACATCTTTTACAGATTTTATCATGTGTTTGCAAAATGGGAAGAAGTAGGGTACAGAGAAAGGAAACAGTTGACCCCATATTGATTATTTGGAGTGAAACTCTTTTGGAGTAAATGATATTAGCAACTAAACCTCATTTTGCTAATGAAAACGTTTGAAGAACTATAAAAGTTTGTTGGTTAAATAAATACAAGGCCAGCATGAGCATGCTTAAAAAGAAGGTTGATTTCTTGTAAAGACAGGAGAATTAACAGAATTAATGAGCTGTACAATTCTTCAGTAATTTAATTTTCAACCCTTATAATGTCTCTTCATCTTGTAGGAAATTCCTCAGCTGGGTACAGCGATTGCCCCCAGGGGTATTACTGCCCCCCTGGAACCGGAGCTAACTGGACTGCTTGCCCACCAGGAACTTATGGGGCAAGCAAAGGACTGGAATATGAGGAGGACTGCTCTGACTGCCCAGGTGAGTGGTGTGGTGGTGGTGATGATCATGGATGTGATAGTTATGGTGATGGTGTTATTGGTGATGAATATGACAATGATGATGATGGTGGTTGTCATGATGTTGATGTTGTGGGTGAGGACGACGACGAGGAAGAGAAGGAGGACAAGGATGAGGAGGAAGAGGAAGAGGGGGAGGTGGAGGGAGGAGGGAGAGGAGGAAGAGGAGGAAGATGAGGAGGAGGAGGAGGAGACGGGGGAGGAGGAGGAGGATGAAGAAGAAGAAGAAGAGGAAGAGGAGGAGGAGGAGGACAAGGAGGCGATGACGGAAGTGTCATCATGTTACTGGTGGTGGAGATAATACTACTGACAAGAGGAGCAGAGTTATTACAATTAAAAACAATTACCATTTTAAACTCTGTTTCCTACCAGGTGGTCAATACTGCGATGGTGTCAACCTCACCCTCCCATCTGGTCCATGTGAGGAAGGATATTTCTGCACATATAAAGTGGATAGGCCAACCCCAACAGCATTCCCCAATGACGGATGTTCCTACGCAGGTAAAGCAGTACTCTCATTCTTACACACCTATGCAGCAGTTACACATGTATTTTAGAATTGATTTTCTGCTCTCAGATACTCAGTTGCAATTTTCTTGTTTTTGTTGATATCGGGTACAGTGTGCTGTGTATGCTGCAGCATAATATGCCTTTTACCTCAATGAGATCAGTTGCGAAAATTGATAGATTCTCCAAGATATTATGCATATGTTTGTGTGCTTGTATTTGATATCAATAAGAAAGATTTACTTTTACTTCTAACAAATCATCTGTTGAAAGCCAGAAAGGTGGTAAGTTAACAACTTTTTGGTGCTAAGAACTCATTATTTGTGTTAATTAAGGATATGTGCTGATGTGTTTGTTTATCTTTAATCTTGGAGTTGACTTTAACATTAAGATAGAAAATAAACATGACATACAAACTGCAAATGTCATGTCATCATGTTATTTAAAAACAACTGTTTTAGGAGTGAAAAGTTCATTTATTCCTCTGTAAAAAATTGAACCTGAATATATCTAATTTTCTGTTTACATTTTCTCATCAAGGTAACCATACAGGTTACGGGGGCGTCTGTCCGCTAGGTCACTACTGTCCCGAGGGGTCACCACGCCCTCTAGGGTGCGCAGAGGGAATGTATCAGGACGAGGAGGGCAAGGAGTCGTGCAAGGAGTGCCTTGCTGGGTACTACTGCCTCGCCAATGCTACAACATACGAGTGAGTCAATACAAAAATATATAAAGTGAGATAAAATTAACCTATGATTGTGGTCACTTTTATGTAAAGGCTATTTACAATGTACACACAAGTTTGTAGCTGTCACAACTATATTTTCTCTGGTGAAAGAGAAATTTGTGTTGTGGAAAGTATCTAGAAAGGCATTTTGTCTAGAGTTTTAATTTGCACATACAAAATGTGTGTTGTAGAATCTGTGTAGAAGGGTCACTTGTCTACTGTTTCTATTTTCAATTGTGGCTTTTATAAGCCAGGTTTGACTCTATGGCCCGAATTCACGAAGGAGGTTTAAATTTAACCCATGGTTTAAACCGTCATTTACATAACCCATGGTTTAGAATTAGCACAAAATCAACACAAAACAGTCAAGAGGTCCAATATTAGACGCCCGCAAGGCAAGGCACGCTTATTTTGCGGTAATTTCTAAACAATGGGTTACATGTATGTAAATGAAGGTTTAAACCATTGGTTAAATGTAAACCTCCTTTGTAAATTCGGGCCTATAAGATTGAGAAAGAATCTTAAATAAGACAAAATATGATACAGTCAACAGTTGGATAAGAAACTCCATAGTGTTGATTTATAATTGACTGGAGGACCTGCATGTACACGTACATGTAAGTAATATTAATTGAGATTAATCAAATCCCTTGATTAGATATTGATATGAATATGAATATTCATCCCATCTCATGGACTGACATATTTGGTTACCCACTTTGATTTTCAGGGATACCATATGTCCGTCTGGCTACTACTGCCCACCCGGTACAACGTATGACATCATGGAACCCTGCGTTGAAGGAACCTTCAACAATCTCACCGGTATGTTTGTCAACCTTTTCAAAATCACTTTGACTCACTTGTAACTCTCTTGATGTAAATAGTGTTTAGCATAAAGTGAAAGGACTAAATCAAGTTTGTCTTATGGAGCATTCACTTGAGAAGAAATCCATATAAAATGAGACATGCCATTTTAAGAATGACTTAATCGCCACGGGGGCATACACATTGATAAGATTGTTGTGTAAGTATTATGATTTCAAACCCCACAGTATACACCAATACTTCCAAAGTATATGCTACATGATCTTCCTTTTTCAATGGCTTCCACAGAATTTCTTTCACAATGTAATCACATTACCAGGGCACTGTCATTATAACAGCTGCGATTAATTTCAACTTAGGAGACTATAAACTTGAATTTTGATTGGAGGACTTAAAACTATCCTATCCTTATGACCTTGTTCAACAATTGATTTACTACTATTCAGGTGCCCACAATGATTCCTGGTGTACTGCGTGCCTACCTGGTATGTACTGCGCTGGCCTTGGTAACCCTGAACCCACCGACCTCTGTGATGAAGGCTGGTATTGCATCAGTGGTTCCTATGAACCTCAGCCATCTGACTCAGTTCTAGGAGGAGAGTGCCAGGCTGGTAAGTCTGTCATGATGATGATGGTGGTGGCGGTGATGATGAGGATAGTGGTTGTGATGAAGATGATTGTAGTGAGGATGATGGTGATAAAGAAGAAGAAGAAGATGATAAAAATGATGATGATGGTGGTGCTGATGATGATGTTCCTGGCTGGTATTGCATTAGTGGTTCCTATGAATTTTGGACCCTGCCCTAGGAGGAGAGTGCCAGGCTGGTAAGTCTAATATGGTGAGGATGATAGTGGAGGTGGTGATGATGATGGAAGGAGTGGTAGTGGTGGTGATTATAATGATTATGATCATGTTGATAACGATAAAGATTCAAATGATGATGAGGAGGAGGATAACTGCTAATGATTGCAATGATGAGAAGGATAATATATTAAACTATCAGGATGAGCAGCAGACAACTTTTACAGCATCAGCACATTAAAGATGCTATCGAGCCAATTTTACAAGTTTACTCTTTGAACATGATGTTTCTTTGCGATTATACTCATCCTGTGCCTATATAATAATCTATCTGTTTAACAAATTATATACAGTCAAACCTGCTGTAGTGACCACCTGTCTACAAAGGCCACATTTGTTGTTTACCTTGAAAATGGTTTTTCATTGAATCATGTACTGAAGGAACCTGTCTACAACAAGCACATTTTTGTTTCCCTTGGGCGGTCGTTGTAGACAGGTTTGACTGTTTTACATTCACATCATTTAATCTGACATTATTATTTTTTTAGGTGAATACTGCCCTCAAGGTGGATCATCTCCCATGACCTGTGACCCTGGATGGTACTGCCACACCTCTGGTCTGCCAGCACCCTACGCTATGTGTTCAGCTGGTTACTACTGCACCAATGGCTCTATCACAGCTACTCCTACAGGAAGTGGAGGTAAGATGATGATGATGGTGGTGGTAGTGGTGGTGGTGATGATGAGGATGATGATGATGATGATGGTGGTAGTGGTGGTGGTGATGATAGGGATGATATGGATTGATTAGGGGTGTCGTAGTTTAGTGGATACCTCACCGGACTGTGAATCACATGGTGTGCGGTTCGAGTCCCGTCAGGGCACTTCTGTCCTTTGGCAAGACATTAATCTATATTTGCCACTCTCCACCCATGTGAAGTAATTGGGTACCTGGTAGGAAGAAATTCCTTGAATGCCGGGGTAATAGTATGATCCTTAAGCGCAGTGGAATATATTCATGTAGTAACTGAGCTATATAAATGTACTTATTATTATTATGATGATGATGATGATCATGATGATGATCGTAATGGTGAGGATTGATGATGATGATGGTGATGCTGATGATGACAACCATGACGATGGTGGTGATGATGATGTTTATGAAAATGATAATGTTGGTTATAATTTTGACGATGATTGTGAAGATGACTGTGATTTTTGGTGGATGTGAAAACATTATTAATATGTATAAACTGTACAGTACATGTATATCTATGTATTTTACTCTATTTGATTAGTTTAATTGCTTAACAATGTTAAATCTGAGATGCATGACCCTACATGTTATCAGTGTCTGTGATATGGTGTAATATTGAAGCCCTAAAGTATTTGCGCTTCAAAATGATCATGAAGTGCCTCAAAAAAGTAAAAATCTTTGAGTAACCGGTTTTACCATTTCCCCCAATAGACTGTAGTGTTATAACAACTTTTATGAAAACAAAAAATGAAATATCAATTTTCAATTATAAATATCTTGATAATCAGACAGGGGATCGGCTTTTAAAAGTCACAGGCTTCCTGACTGAACTAAAGGTTTATAATCATGATTGCAGCATGAGCTAAATACAGGATTTTGTTTAGAATCTGAGGCAAAGATACCCAATCCTTTTAACAACTCTCTATCCATTGTCCACCCCAGGTGACCGATGCAGTCCTGGCTACCACTGTGTTGAGGGTAGCTCAGTAGAGGAAGCATGTCCCCCAGGCACCTACCAGCCGAGCCTCATGGCACAGAACATCACCTACTGTCTAGACTGTCTGGCTGGAAAGTACTGCAACGAGAGCGGTCTGTCTCAGCCTGAAGGAAACTGCACCAGAGGTAAGGATAATGACAATAGCAAACATCTGTAGAAATTAATTGTGATGAGAGGAGGAGGATCTTGCTGGAAGGAATGGTAGAGGGTAAACGAGAAAGGGGTAGACAGCGAATCACTTGGTTTGATGATGTCAAGAAATGGATTGATCTTAACTACGGAGAGGTTAGAACAAGGGTTCATGACAGAAAGCTATGGAAGTGCATAGCCGCCAACCCCTTCCGAAGGGACGGCACTAGATGATGTTGATGATATTAATTATGATTATAATAATGACAGTAATGATAATTATGATAATGAAAATTAAAGATGATGGTAATGATGATGAAGTGCATGAATGTAAAATGGCAACAGAGACTTGAGTGTTCCACAGCGAAGCACTGTAAAGTGCAATAATTGATTTCATTGGCTAGTGTACGCCATTTGTTCTCTTACTTTTAATTTATAAGGTGTAAGCATTATCTTATTAAAGAGAAACGTTTTTAAAGATGTCTTTAACTTATCCATGGTATCCGTATATCTAATATGGAAAGCAACAATTTTTTATTCATGATTATCATCATTGTTTATTTTTCAGGATTCTACTGTCCCGGCGGTCAGACCATCCCGACACCCAACGAGTATCGCTGTCGCCGTGGTTACTACTGCGAGGAGAACTCCGCAGAGGAGCAGTCGTGTCAGGCCGGTACGTACCAGGATGAACCCGAGCAGTGGGGATGTAATGACTGTCCTGCTGGCTTCTACTGTGATGATACCGATGGACCTATTGTTAACTACACGGCATATGTCTGCCCTGAAGGTAATTATGCTTCCTCTGATCACTTCTTCTTTAGTGTCCATCATCTGTGCTCCAATGTTCAGCCAGGCTTTTGTACACTGAAAAGCCTTCTAATTTGCTGACACTAGGTCTTCCGGGCAGCATTGATCATCTGGGAGTGGGCATCTGGATAAGTGTGACATAGATTGCATGGATGTTCCACACTTGCATTTGATCACTGAAGAGGCTGGAATTTGCGTGCAGGATTCTTGAGATTATGTTCTGAAAAATTATTGGGAAATGGTTTACGCCCCTCTCCCCTCCCACTTTCATGCTACTTGTATAAAGTGGAACAGAGAAAGGAGTCAGATGCAAGGTGAAATGAGAATTTTATAAGTGAATGAGAAAGAAAATAGTCTAAAAGGAGGGAGAGGGAAAATAGAATTGTAAATGACTGATGAGCACAAAGTAAGAGTAGGGGGTAAAGAGAGAAAAAAAAAGCAAATCTTATTGACTTCAAACAGGTACATTACTGTCTACTGACTGATAGCCGATTCGGGCTTCTCTGCTTGGGTTTAAAATATTCTGTAATTTCAAAAGTGATATTGATTATGACTATTTTGGACTTTGACCAGTAGAATTTTCAAATCTTCATGTTTTGGTACATCTAATCCCATCACAATACTGTCATGACCAGGACTTAAAAGTATGCGGTGGTCTTAAATAAGGCAGGGAGAATTAATTGTGGTTGCAATTTTATCCCCGGGAACATGAATCAAATCAAATTCTGTCAACCTTATTCCAAATTTTCTTCCTTCCTCCTAAGGCCACTACTGCCCTGTAGCTACCAGAGCAGCCACGTACTACAAGTGTGCCATCGGTACCTTCAACAACATCACAGCTATCTCCAACCAATCAGAATGCTCCGACTGCCTCGGAGGCTACTACTGCGGGGAGCCTGGGCTCACGTACCCTCGGACGCTCTGCGCGGCGGGATACTACTGTCGTCGGGCGGCCCGCATCGCGACACCGAACCAGGGTGACGATGCGGACGAGTGTCCCGTCGGGCATTACTGTCCTGAGGGAACCGAAGAACCGATTGGATGTCCACTGGGTACCTTCAGTAATAACACAGGGTTGATGAATGTCACAGAATGTGAATACTGCACACCAGGTAAGCATTACACGGCTAGTGCCCTGTCTATTACTCTAGAGCTGCATGTTGTTTTACACCAGGAGCAGTATTTCGAAATTATATCATGTTTAATTTTTGTAAGAGTTATATGAAAATGTTGATTGTCACAGCAGATTGGAATTAGAAACTTAGTGGTACTCATACAGGTGTCTCTGTAAACTCTACGTGTATACTGCCAATCAGTTACTTGTAATTTGAATTAACATCTTTTCATCTTTTAAACTTAAGGATAATTTACATTCCAGACTACCATCGCAGGAATTTTGGCACAAAAAAATAGAAAAAACAAAATTATGGAGACTAAACTCTTTAACTAGGAAGTAATATTGAAAATATAAATGTACGGAAGGTGGTCACCTGCTTTTGTAATGAAGGCAGTATTATCATTTACTTACTACCCGATTTATCATGAAAACAATATTATTCTGTACCAATTGTACCACACCTTTCCCCCGACCAGGCTCATACTGTGACGTCACAGCATTGACCGCCCCTGTTGACCTCTGCACGGCTGGCTTCTACTGTGTCCAAGGCTCAGACAACCAGGAACAGTTTATCTGCCCTGCTGGACGCTACTGCCCCGAGGGCACTTCGGCCGCCTTCAAGTGCCCCTCCGGGACGTTCTCCAACGACACAAGGCTTGTGGAAGAGGCAGAGTGTCGTAACTGCACTGCAGGGTATTACTGCCAACAGATGGGACTGTCAGAGGAAGAAGCACTGTGCACTGCAGGATACTACTGCCCAGAAGGTATGTGAAGTTTGAGAATATCTCACTTTTTATGTGCAGTAAATCATGTTGAAAAGGGTATCTTAAATCCCCACTGCACTACTTATACCTACTTGCGCCCTCAATATAGCAAACAATGCCTTATCAGTGCCTGTTGGTCCCTCATGATCCCCATTTTCTTATGTTAATTGAGAGCTGATTTGATGAGATAACCACCTGTCAGTGACCTTGCAGGGAGGTTTAATCCCCCTGGCCAAGGGAAACAGACAAATGACTGTGTATACATGGCAAGAGGCATTTAACCCCCCTTCCCAAACAAACAATTCTTCTTAATAGCGGGAAACAATATAGGTAATTACTATAAACACAAGTGCTCCTTGAGCATTTAATTTTGAGTGGACTTGACGCCTTACAAATCTCATAAAATAGTATTACTAATTTCTTCTTTGACATCCTTTAGATCTTATTACTGTATGATTTACATTGTATTATCCTTCTTCCTTATATAGGGTCTTCCATCCCTGCCCCCATCGAGTGCCCCATCGGTCTTCATTGTCCTACCGGGTCAGCTGAACCTAAAGCCTGCGCATCTGGCTCTTACACCAACCGAACCACTCAACGATCATGCCTGACCTGTCCTCAAGGGTGAGTCAGGGACTTTTAGATTTGCACGTCGACAGAGTGGACTGCTTTTAAGGCATTGGCAGTACCTTAAAAGGATGTGACACTTAGCAGTCCACTATGTCGATGTGCAAATCTAAAAGTCCCTATTACATGGATCTTGACTAAGAAGGTGGTTTAGGAAGAGGCTGAAGGATTGCCAACCATTCTTCAAATTGGCAATGCTAACTGATTTCTGCTGCTGTTGGTGTGTCTTTTACAAGATGTCACATACTCCCTGAATCTTCACTAGTGTACTTGTGTCATCAGTCTTTTGTAAACTAAAGATATGCATGCATCAACATTTTCTGATATTGTAGGGCAGAAAATGTCCAATTTGAGAGAAAGTATTTAAATTACCCTTAACTGCATTTACAGTATAGAAATTGCTTACTCAAAGATTTAATGCATATTTTCACCAAATGTTGTCATTCAAAAATAGCTATTGTGTGACTATAAACTTTAAGATAACTTTAAAACTAGAAACTTTAGCTTTTGAGGAGTTAAACCTGTGTGTCTTGTTAGCAAGTACTGCAACTGGAACTCAAACTGCAAACCATGCGGTTTACAGTCTAGTGACTTATGCACCAGACAATGAAACCTACTTGAATATTGAATCAATAATGATTTTTAAACTATGTAATATTATTTTTTTTAGATTCTACTGTCTACCTGAGAATGAGACAATTGGTCATCCTGATCTAGAAGCCGGTTATGCAGACTGCCCAGCTGGCTACTACTGTCCGGCTGGAACCGGTTTGGACTGGATGGCCTGCCCAGCTGGAACCTACAGTGATCAGACCAACCTCTACATGGTGAGGAGAACAAGAGAGAGAGAGAGAGATCGAGAAAAAGAGCGATGTAATTCTACATATTGAGAGAGATGTGGAGAAATTGATATAGAGCAAGTTGTAAAGAGGGGAAAACAGCGAGATAGGGTGCGATCAAAAACGATAAAGCGATGGCATTATCTTGAGGGGAAAAACATGGAAGAAGAGAGAAAGAGATACAGAGAGACGAAGAGAGAGAGAGAAAGTGCATGTACATGTAGTAGAGAGAAATGTTAAAGGGAGAATAGGGGAGTACAGGTATACATACCATTTTTCGAACATGGACGGAAATGAGTAAAGCATGCTTCAAAATTGTTATGACACCATTTGGTAACCCTCTAACCTCTATGGCTTATCCTCCAGATCGAGCAGTGCGAAGACTGCCCCTCAGGGTACTACTGTCCTGACCAACACGCCACTAACGTCACCGACCTCTGCCACGAGGGCTACTGGTGCAGCTCCGGAGTGGACAGGGGTAACCCTCACACCCTCGGGACCAACGAGACCTACAACGAGACCTGCCCCCTGCTAGGAGGGTACACCGGGGTAGGAGGGGTGTGTCCCAGGGGGCACAGGTGTCCGGAGGGGGTGGGTGCACCCATTGGATGTGAGGAGGGGATGTACCAGGATAACGAGGGAGAGGGGGTATGCAAGTATTGCCCAGAAGGTGAGACCGTTTGCTGTTAACCAATCAATTCACTGATGACTGAATGTACTGTATCCTCATGTGATTATTATACTTTACCATGTACGTTGCATCCAAGGAAAACGTTCTGTACTGCCTAGCATTTCAAAATATTGTTTTTCATTTTTGTGGTACCTCGTTGGAATCGCATGTTTGCATTGTATCATTTATTTGATCTTAAAATCAATTAAAAATGAATTTTATTTGGAGATGAACTTTTTGAAAATAAATATTCCTGCTAGACAGCTGCATCACAATTAAAATATCATACAAATTTTCACTGCAATTAGCACTGCAATTAGCATGCTTCTACAAATTCCTGATCAAATGTAACAGTTGCTTTTTTCAACCAATTTTAATGAACTTTTTATTCTTTACTTGTTTCACCCAGGCTTCTTCTGCCCCGCCAATTCCACCGACTACGAGTCCAACATCTGTCCGGCAGGCTACTACTGTCCTGACAGCACTGAGCACGGTCAGCAGTTCCCCTGCTGGCCCGGAACGTTCAACAATGCTACCGGTCAAACATCCAACTCCTCGTGCTTGTCCTGCCTGGGAGGCATGTACTGTATGGGATACCATAATGAGTGGCCTACTAGCAACTGCAGGTGAGGATAAGACTTACAATTGTGGCTTCTCATTGGGACACCTTTGATAAGTTGCCAGTTTTCAGAGAGACAAAGAGAGATGAATAGTACTAGAAATTCAGAGAGAGCAGTAAATAGAGTCCTACCTAAAGCTGCTCATCAGAATAAACTACAAGAATGAACAGAAAGCTGAAATTAGACATTATAAACAATACTAATTTAAAGTAGGGACTGTAAGTGTTTGGTTATCTGGATGAATTTAATTTCTCACTTGATCCTGGAGATGAACTGGGACTGATTCTTTATTTTCCTGCTTTACTTTTTACCTCAGGAATATATTCAAAATGCTCCCTGCAAGCTCGATCGAATAACATGATCCAAGATAATTACATACAAACTTTCCCTTCTCTTTTCTTACAGTGATGGCTGGTACTGTACTTCTGGAGCTTTCGGTCCGATGCCCAGTGACCCGTCCATTGGTGGTCAGTGCCAGGCCGGTCAGTACTGTCCGGCTGGCTCTGAGCTACCTATCGATTGCGACCCAGGAATGTACTGCCAACGGGCTGGACTTGCCCTGCCGCAGATGGAATGTCATCCAGGTATGTAAAAAATGATTGATGATGGTGATGGTGAGAGTGATTGGGGGGGAGGGGGGGGGGGGGGGGGGGGTGATGAGGATCATAAAGATATTGATTATGATAGTGATAATGGTAGCAATATGTTATGTTTGTTATGATGATTGTGGTGGTGATGATGATCTAGATGTAACAGGGGGAAGAGGAGGAGGAGGAAGAAGAGGAGGAGGAAAAAATGGTGGTTGTGGAGAAAGTGGTGCTAGTGATAATGATGATGATGACATTAATGACTGTACATGTATCATCATTATTCCATTCCAACCACACAGGCTCTTACTGCATCAACGCAGCATCTCGAGGTGACCCTACTGATAACATCACAGGCAATGTCTGCCCTATGGGTCACTTCTGCCCACAAGGCAGCTATACTCCCACACCATGTGACATGGGATACTATCTAGACGCTGAAGGGCAGTCTCAACTGTCCAACTGCAAGAACTGCACTCCAGGTAAAACTCACCAGAATTTAATGTAACTGAAATGCTTGTTTCGATATGACGCAGCAAAACTGTGGCCACTTGTATATGATGACGTACAGTGTAATACTTTCACATTTCCTATCAGACACACGGATAAGAAGAAAAAAAGGCACAGTAACTGTGTAGTGTGCAGTTGCCTTCCATTTTAAAATACTTGTTAAAAGAATGCAATGGTTTAGTAGTGGTTTAGCATATCATATCTGAGCGAGTGTAAATTGTATTACATTTGAAAGAATAATTCCCTCTGTATTTCTGTATTTTCCCACAACAGAAAAAAAAAATTAATGTGGTCAAGATGCTTGGAATGGCTCGGAAAGTGAAAAAAATTGAGATTGATGAAAGTTTCAAAATACATATCTATTGTAGATAATGAGATTGTAAAATATTGACTCACTATCTATTAGTGGAAAGCATGTATCAAAGGGATGTTGTTTTTATGAGAACATATTTTTAACAGTTGTTACAAGTTATCTACTATCCCATACTAAATTTGTCACTATGTAGACAAAACTACAAATTACATCCATACAAGTGCTAGGTTTGAGAACCGTAAAATTAATCTTTAATGTCTCATGTGGTTTAGGAGAAGATGATGTTTTTATATCATCTAACAATGAACAAAATTAATATTTTGTATAAAGAGAGGTCCCTTTTAATTTCATGTACATGCATGATAATAGAGTTTGACTAAAATAATGCATGTATATTTTGCATCATGTATGAACAATGAACAAATTATCATTTTGTAAGAGTGTTCCATTATTTCACATGTACTTGTATGAGGTGCCGTGGTCGAGTGGTAACGTCGCCGGACTGTCGATCACAAGGTCCGCGGTTCGAAGTCCCGCTGCGGCACTAATGTCCTTTGGCAAGACATTGATCTACATTTGCCACACTCAACCCAGGTGATGTAAATGGGTACCTGGCAGGAATTAATTCTTTGAAATGCTAGAGCGCCGTAATGGCAGCACAGCTTAAGCCGGGGTAATAGTCTCCAAGTTTGGAAGCGCTTAGTGATTGTAATAAGCGCTATATAAAAACTGAGTATTATTAATATTATTATGATAATATAAATCAAATGCCCTTGTATATTTTCTCTAAGGTATGTTCTGTGGTGAGCAAGGCCTGCCGTCTCCCAGTGGCGAGTGTGAACAGGGTTACTACTGTCCAGAAGGCCAGTCAGTGGCCAATGCATCCTCATTCGCTTGCCCGGAAGGCTACTTCTGCGAGACCGGTAGTCCTGCCCCCGAGCCTTGCCCCTCCGGCACCTACCAAGACACCCCGGCCCAATGGACCTGCAAGACGTGTCCAGAAGGATTCTATTGTAACGCCACGATCGGGCCGGTGGTCTGGCACGGGTCCTACGTGTGTCCAAGTGGGTATTACTGCCCGGAAGGCACAGAGTACGCAGAGCAGTATCCTTGTCCCTTTGGCACCTTCAATAACCTGACAAGTATGTGGTAGTGATGTATGTCTAGTATTGTACAGAGTAGATATTACTGTCTTTGGAACTTATTGAAATTTTAGTTTCATTTTGCCTGTCCAAATGTTGTGTTCAAATCAAGGAATTTCTCATATCCAAAAACTTCAGTGATTATGATAATAGTTGTTTTTGTTCTACTGCATACTGTCAGTTATTCAGTCTCCATGGACTTAAAAACTATCAAAATGCTTTAATTGACTGGCCAGTGAATTACATTCATACAGTAAATGTACATAATTAACAACTAAATTATTCAGACCCTTATCAAGTTTGTAATTTTTTTTAAATATGAAAAATGAATTTGTTCCATTTTATTTTTCTTGAGAATGTGCCTTGTTAAAGCTTACATTTAAAGGTATTTCAAACAAAACCTAATTCAACCAGTCCACCTTTTATTCCTGAGTTATAGAGAAGACACAAAACATCAAATATACAAGGGGTATGAATATGTCAGTGGTTAACTATACATGTAAGGTTATATTTACCATGTAAGGGAACTTGTTACCAACATCAGTGCATTCATTTGTATACATGTATGTGTACATGTACATTTCTTGTGCCTTTTCCTTTATACTTTTTATAGTCATCAGTCATATCAAAATATTAGAAACCTGCTTGTCTGTTAAAAACCTCAAAAGCCCATTGATGACTTTCGAGATTGAAAGTAGCACTAAACAAAAAACAAATTGTATAATTGTTGTTCATGCAGGCATTGTAGCAGAAGACGAGTGTACACCTTGTACAGGAGGCTATGCATGCAACCAGATCGGCCTGGCCTACCCACCCGTCATGTGTGCTGCAGGCTACTACTGCAGGAAGGGATCCAACATCACTACTCCGACGTATGGTGAGTATCTTGGTCAAATTGGCAGCTCCGATATCATCATTTGTTCTCTACTTTCTTTCAATCCAGTTTCAGTTGCAACATTTGTCAAGCACCAATATGTATAGTTTGCTAATGAAATGCTCTGATGAGAATGAAGAATACCATACATGCAGTTCAAGATTCAGTACCTACACTGTAAGACTGAAGGAGCGGCTAGTTGTATGCAACTTTCAAAATATCTCATGCATTTGTATCTAAAAGGCAAATACATGACAGAATTATTCCTAATCACAACAAAATAATGAGGAATATGAAATTAAATGCAATATCTTTTTAACAAGGGAAACGTTGACTGGACAAATAAGGAGATTTTCCTCCTTTTGAAAAAAAATTAGGAAGATGGATGAATTGATTTACATACATGAAAGCACAACAGAATATATGTGTAAAGGTAATCTGTAACAACAATAGAATTTAAAAAAAGGAAAAAAAGAAATTTTAAAATGATGTGAAGCCAATGCTTTATTCCTATGATATAAAATTCAATTCAATTCAAGGTATTTTATTCACTCATTGTAGCCAAAGGCTAAATTACAAATGAATTTACAAAATTCAAAACGTTAAAAACATCATACAAATTAAAAGGAATCATACACAATATTGTAAAAATAAATATTAAAGCAAATGAAAGTAACTATACATGTATAATGCTAACATTATAAAAATATTGCTTACAAACAAAGACAATTTTGGAATTTAAAATTTAAATATAAATATTATTATCCACTTTCCATCAAAATTTAAAGCTTTGTGTAAAGTGACTTGAGTGGTATCTGATGGTAAAAAAGATAAAAAATGATTATTTTTCATTAAGTTTAATTAAAGGAGTTATGAGTTTTCTATTATACAAGTAAAGGTATAATCAAAAGGAACAAACATGAAAAATCAATACAAATTCACAAGTGATTAAATAGCTATAAGTTCCGAATTATAAGAAGTAGACTGGCAAGTGGTCAATAAAGTATGCATGGGTTGTATCAAATAATTAATTGATTAAAAAGGGTATTATTAAACTTAAAAAACACTAAATTAAATGAGTGTAAACAAATGTTCGGCGTTTCTATTGAAAATATAATAAATGTTTAATATACAGTCATAGCTAGTGAAATTTAATATGTACGAATGTAAATTATACTATTAATCTAATCTAAGCCAGATTCATAAATAGGTAAAAACAAGTTTGTGATAATCAAGGATCATTTCTGGTTTAAAAGTCTCACAAGAAATGGGAGAGCACTTTTCCGATAGCGCTCTGTTCTACATTTCACAGGCCTGTACTGGTCACTGAAACGTAGTGCACGGAGTTCAGATTGCTTAGGGGGCAACCATTGGGGAAAGTTTTTCTCAAGTGATTTGGCAAACTTGACACACAGTTTGACACGTCTTTCCGACAAAGTGGTAAGTTTTGTAGTTATTAGTGCATTCTCATACGTTTGGTACTCTCTGCCTAGAATGATGCGAAGGGCCCTTTTCTGTATACTTTCTATCTGGTTGGAGTCCGCTAAGGTCAGGGAAGAATGCCAAACTGGGGCGCAATATTCGGTAATGGGTCTGATGTACGACTGGAATACGGTAAGTAAATCTTCTGCGGGAAGTCCAAACTTTTTGAGGGTTCTGAGCATGTACATTCTTTAAGCATGATATATTATATGACTTATGCATTATTTTTTTTTCTTTAACAGATGAGTTCAATAACGAGTGTCCAGCAGGATCCTACTGTCTGGAGGGAACGGATAGCCCCATAGCTTGCCCCGAAGGCTACTTCAGTCCTAACATCAAACTCCAGTCTGAAGCAGAGTGCTTAAACTGCACTGAGGGATACTACTGTAATGAGACAGGTAGGTTTGACGGAGGAGGAGGAGGAGGAGGGGAGGGAGGGAGGGAACCGATAGTCCCATTGCTTGCCCTGAGGGCTACTTCAGTCCTAACATCAAACTCCAGTCTGAAGCAGAGTGCTTAAACTGTACTGAGGGGTACTACTGTAATGAAACAGGTAGGTTTGACAGGAGGAGGAGGAGGAGGAGGAGGAAGAGGAAGAGGAAGAAGAAGAAGAAGAAGAGGAGGAAGAAGAGATAGAGGGGGGGGGGGGGAGAGAGAGAGAGGCAGAGATTGTGGTATAATAATGATATTGTATGTATAGAGAGCAACGAAAGAATTATCTATGGAGATGAGAGAAGGGGATTCAGAAAGTGAGAGAGAGAGAAGAGATTGAGATAAAGACAGGTAAGTTCAATTGTCTTATCTTCAGTTACAGTTGCCCTGGGAGTATGAACAATCAGAGAGAATTAAGAAAGATAATAAAGAGAAAAAGAGTTACAAAAAATGTATCTCATAAAGACAGATTTCTAGAGAGACATACTTGTACACTGTATGTAGAGATTCATACAAATGTTCCAAGAGAGATATTGCGAGATAGAGATTTGGAAATGAAGAGAAATGGAGAGACAGAGAGAGAGAAGTCTTGGGAGAAAGGGAGAGAAAAATGGGGAGATAAAGAGAGAGAGAGACGAAAAGTGGGGATAGTGAGAGAATGGGAGAGGGAGAAAGAGACACTGAAATAGGTAATTTTCCAAACGGCTACTACAGTGTAGTTCATTTATTAGTGACATCTCTTTACAGGCATCATAGAGGTCAGTGGTCCTTGCTCTCCGGGCTATTACTGCGAGGAGGGCTCTACTACGCCCCACAGCCTCATCTGCATAGAGGGTCACTACTGTGGCCTTGCGACCTTCGACCCCACGCCGTGCCCCAACGGGACATTCTTCAACGCCACCGGTATATCGACGGAAGAAGAATGTTTCCACTGTTCGCCTGGCTACTACTGCAATGGACTTGGTAAGGATGTCAACGATCTTTCATCTATTCATTTTCATTTCATTCAATAGATTTTATTAATTCGCTTAACTTTTTAGATTTTAAAAAGACATAATAAACAGAGACAACTCGAGTGAACAGCGAATTGCCTGAGAGTTATTGCCCCTTTTCATTATCCTTTAATTGTGAATCAAATACTTCTTCATATTTCTATGTACATGTAGCAATTTAAAAATCTTGGCTCTAACCTATAAAGTCTAAGAATAATTAGACATTTCATAAACTTTAAAAATATGATATCCTACATTGCAGTTACAATTGACATCATACTCAAGTTCACTTGTGAACAACTCAGATCAGTTGCACCTATTTATAAGAAAGGGTCGTCACTCCTGTAGTGCTTCAAGAAAAATACAAAGTAGTTACTTCAGGAAATACATCACCAAGATGAGAACATTACAAAGAATAGTACTTATATGCATTAAACACATCCAAGAGAGGATTGTGAGTACTGTGTCTTACCGTTACTGCAACTCTTCCTTTACATAGGTCTTACGGAGCCTACAGATTCCTGTGCCCCAGGGTACTACTGCCCTCAAGGGTCGTCTTACGCCAAGGCCGTCATCTGTCCCATTGGAATGCAATGTCCTCTTGGTAGTGCTGAACCGCAGGACTGTGTTGCTGGAACTTACACCGATAGCGAGGGACAGGCTGCATGCCAAGTTTGTCCAGAAGGTTGGTATAGTAATAGAACGGCTAGATGTTTAGATCTTCCCTCTTCCCTCTTGCACAGACGCTGACTAGGTAATAGTGGGAAGCTCTCCATTCCTTGGATATGACTGTAAAACCTATCTATTGAAAAGTCACCAACTACATACATGTACATGTAAATACACTGCTCTCTTTGTAAAAGAGTTAGCAGATATATCCCCTAGTGTAGTGGTACTTTTGCACTTTCTGATCAATTTTAAGCCGGTGGTGAGAGGCCCAAGGCACAGATGATGCCCAACTGGTAATCATTATAAAATAAACGTTTTAAGCTATTTGTCTCCTCACAGTTACACTATCTCACGGATGAGGGGAAAAACAAATGGTTTCCTCATAGACCATGTTGCCTGTCATTCTGCTTTATTTTAATTACTGCCTTCCAAGGCGAACAAATCCAAATATTATTAGGAAGTTTATAGCATAGTAGATACAGTCAAACCTGCTAAACGAACCTGCTTTTAAAGACTACCTGTCTACACAGACCACTTTTTGTGTTTCCCTTGGCCAGTCGCTATAGACAGGTTTGACTGTAGTAATCTCTTTATTGTATTTAGCACACTATGATTCAAGGTTTTGTTGTATATCCAATTTGTTTGCAATTTGGAAATGTAGTAGTATCCCCTTTCAAGTTGTTCAATCTTTCATGCCACTCTGTCACAAGTTACTACTGTATTCTTAAGCTGGGGGTTGTAGCTTATGCTGGAAGCACCACTTGGGCTTGCCGTCAGGTTCACTATTTTCCCAATGGTCCTGGAGTCGACTTCCAGAAAGCCATGTCTTGAAAATTTGTTATAATGAACAGTAGAATCATTCTTTAACATTGTTCAATCTTTCATGCCACTCTGTCACAGGTTACTACTGTATCCCAGAGCTTGTAGTAGAAGGTGATGCTGGAAGCACCAGTTGGTCTTGTCCTCAGGGTTACTACTGTCCGAACGGCACTGGTCATGACTGGCAGCCATGTCCTGCAGGAACCTATGGCAAGACAGCAGGACTCACCAACATCCTGGAATGCACACCTTGTGATGCAGGTGAATAAGAATAGTTCTATGGTTCCATCTTTGGTGTTGCAAAGCTTTAATTGCAATATATATATTGACACATGAAAACCCCATGTGAGTATAAAGGGGAAGATTTTGGAGAACCATTGTTTCATTTCATTTTTCTTGAGGCAGGTCCATGAGGATAGGAGGTAGAGTTAATTTGCATGTCATATGAAAGGATTTTTTCCTTTCTGTGGGATGAATTTGTATTCAACATTAAGAACTGGATTTTGGCTCGATTTTGACTCGCTAATGACTCGATTACCCTGAATGACAACAAAAATCATATAATAATAATTATATTTATAATGATAATCGCATTTGTGTATTGCTTAATACTATGTTAATAAGTGCTTTAAATTGTAATTATTAGTTCCCTTGTCATATTAAATTGCTTATCCACACATGAGAGTGCACTCCGCTCCTTGGAGAGTATTCAGGCAAGGGCAATTATACAAGCGTACATTCCAATTCAACCACATAAACATTGGCACCTGGGTGGAGAGTGACAAATGTAGAGATGATGCTACACTAGTGCTGTGCCAGGGTTCAAACTCACAACCTTTACGTTTCTAGTCGAGTGTTTAAACCACTCAACTACAACACCTCTATTCATTGATAAAATCTTTATCATCTTCATAAATACAATGCTTTAATTTCTTCTTCCTCTTGTCTATCAGGTTCATACTGCCAGGGGGTGAATCTGACCTCTCCAACTGACCTCTGTAGCCAAGGTTACTACTGTGTCTCTGGAGCGGACAGACCCAATCCTCTGTACCTCAATGACAGCCAGTGTCCTACAGATACTGTGCATCCAATCATTGGCCATGTCTGTCCAGAGGGGCACTTCTGTGTGGAAGGATCAGACTATCCTGAAGGTAGGTCTTCTTTACAGTTTCGAAAATATTCCAGACTCTGTCCTCCCAAGTACAGTGAATATGACAGTAGATCTTGACTTTGGCCTTGTACGTCCAAAGGCCTAAGGTCACTTCTGTATCAAGGGATTGCAGCACCCTGAAAGTATGTAGGGTTCTTGAGAGCTTTAAGATGTTCAATTATTTGCTCTACCAAGCAACACCGTAGATCATGCCGCCAATTACCCTAGCACTTACAAAATCAACATTTAGAATGAAGAAACAGTACAACAACTGACACTGTGTAAATTCATACTGATGCAGTTAAAGATAATAAACTAATTGTAGTGAAAAGGAATTTGGAATGGGGGTTCACCAAAACTGTTCTTGTGCGTTTAACTGCCTGTGCTTCCTCAAGTGCTCAGCAAAAGTTTGACTCCTCATTGATATGCTTATTGAATAATGCATTGTTCCTTTATTTTTCTGTACTCTCTCTCACTCTCTCTCTATCTCTCTGTCTCCGTTTGTCTCTCTTTCTGTCTCTCTGTCCCCTCTGCCTCCATCTCTCTCTCTCTCTCTGTCTCTCTCTCCTTTGTTTACAAACTCCCAGGTTGTCCTGCTGGTACATACAATGACGAGCCTGGAGCATGGGACTGTATAGACTGTCCCGTAGGATACTACTGCTATGGCAATACCACTGACTACCAAGCTAATGAATGCCCATCTGGTTAGTACAGACTGTTTCTCTCAAGAAACAATTGTCTGCAATTTTTTCTTTGCGAGTGGTATTTGGTTTGTATTGATTCACCAGTAGACTCGTTAAACAATATTTGCTTTGATTGTAATTCATTTATTTATGTACCACTCATTTCGTTTACACTATATAATCTCATTGTGTAAATTATGTCGACCATTGTCTGATTGTTATTTATCACTTTGTGTTTTTAAGTTGTATTTGAAATCCAACCTTCTTGATTGAAATGAATAAATAAATGAATGTCAAATGCAATATTGCTTGATTGTGTAAAACCTTGATCCCATAGCCTTTACCTTTGACTTGAAAAATAATCCTTATGTTGCACCACATTACATGTACAGTGTATGTACAAGGAATAAAATGTTATTATACCCTGTACATTATATTCATCTATGGGAAACCCGTTGATTACTGAATTTTCTCATCTCATAGGCTTATTACAAGAACCACATGGTTCCAGTAGGGATTAGGTTGATATTGAAATTTACATTTACAGTGATATAAGACTCCACTGCAGAGTAGAGTAACAAAAGCTTGTAGGGACAAAAGAACAATTCTTCTTCTGCTTCCCTATGAGTGACCACAACCAACACTTAAAAAGCTCTGGGTTCCATGAATTAATAATGGACTTTTCTTTTTCTGTTTGTCTCTTCAAGGATACTATTGTGAGCTGAACACTCCTGATCCCTACGCCCATCCTTGTCCACCCGGCACCTTCAACAACCTGACTGTACAGCACAGCCAAGCAGCATGCGTGGACTGCTTGCCTGGATGGTACTGCGCTGGCTATGGAAACTCACATCCTACAGACGAGTGTGATGAAGGATGGTACTGTAGTGGTGGAGCTAACGAGACTCAGGTTGGTAGATCAAGAGAAATTGGTGGGGGATTAAAGGGTATTAAGGACCCTATCGGAAGTGAAAAATAGAATTACATCAAAGGAAAGCTTATAAGCTATAGATTACAATAACATCAATTATATGCTATTTTAGTATCTTTCAGAGGGGTACCAGCTCTCTGAAAACTCAACATCTAAAGCTTTGAAAATCAGAATGGATAGGGTATTAAGGGTTAAGGATTGAAGAGAGGGCTAAGGAGGGGGAACAAGTGGAGGGAAATAAAAAGGAGGAGTTTGAAGGAAAGGGATTGAGAGAAGGCGAATTGAAGGGAAGGTAGATTAAGTGGAGAAGGGATTTTAGGGGGAAGGAGTGACTTTATAACCTGACAGACTGGATGACTGTTATTGTACTTGCTATGGGAACTCGTCTCAACCGATGACAAGGGATGGTATTGCAGTGTTGGAAGAGGAGTAAAGGGTATTTAATAACCTCACTGGTTTCTTGGCTGGTTATAGATATCCTTGTGACAAGATATCTTAAGTCATATCTTTTCTCTATCTTTTCAGCCATCTACCAATGGTGGAGAGTGTCAACCAGGCTATTTCTGCCCTCTTGGCTCAGGAGCCCCAGTGCCCTGCACAGCCAGTCAATACTGCGACCTCGCTGGTCTAGCCCTTCCTACCAACTCCTGTGACCCCGGCTACTACTGTCCTTCCGGGTCATCTGACCCTCGCCAGCTGGACTGCACTGTCGGTCATTACTGTCCAGAGGGCAGTAGTCTCCCGACACCGTGCTCCAACGGGACGTATAATCCGTCGTTGAACCAGGATGAGGTCTCAGACTGCCTGCCATGCCAAGGAGGGTATTACTGTAACGAGACTGGTGCTAGTACGACTAGTGGCGAATGTGCTGCAAGTGAGTTCAGTAGAGATAAACTTTTCAGCATGTTTCTGTGGAGGGTTCATGGTCTAGAGGATAGGTCACCGGTCTGTCTTTTGGCCAGATAATATCTCCATTTTTTCCACTCTCCATCCAAGTGAACTAAATGGGTTCCTAGTACGAAGAAATTTACTGAACATTTCAGTGCTTTATTATGGCAGCTTAGCTACATTGGGGGTAATAAATATAATACATGCATGAAGCGCAGTCAAGTGTTTTTGTATAGTAGCTGCGCTATATAAATGGACATACCAGTATTATTACCATTATTTATTTAGCAGTACAAGACAAAATTGTAAGTTTTGTCTTTTCCTCCTAGCCAAGGTAGATTACCAACTTACTGAAAGAAAAAATAATGCATTACCCTGTCTTTACATTTGATTATATTGTTAAGGTTTTTATAAGTTTTGTGTTTGCTTGTGCATGTGTGTGTTTGTGTCAGGATTTTCACAGATGTCTAGCAGTCAGATACATGTATGTAACCCAGTTTGAAAGATGGGTCGGTTTGTACGAAAAGACAGAAAGCTGATCATACCACGGACATCACAGCTACCAACTCACGTCTTACATGGATGAAAGAATTCATCTCATTTCGAGTATTCTTTTATTTCTTCTTCCATGACATAGGATACTATTGTCCACCTGGTCAGGTCACTCCTACTCCAGGAGATTACCTCTGTCCTACCGGTCACTACTGTGTGGCAAACCTAGCCACACCCACCCGCTGCCAGGACGGCACTTATCAGAATGGGATGGGCAAAGATTCCTGCCTCACTTGTGAAGAAGGTTAGTAGACACCGTAAGGAGTTAGTAGAAGTGTGTCATTAGACACAATAATCAATAAATACTATGGCACCATCTTTAAGACAGTTATTTGTGATTGATATCAATAGCAACGATGTACATAAAGAGATAGATAAGATAGATAAGATATTTATTTGTCTTTCTTTCAAATGACACGTAAAGCATAACATTAGATCATTACATATTTACAATGCAAAAAAACAAATTATGGCAATGATAAAAACAAATTAAACTAAAAGAAAAACGAGGAGATAGGAGACTGCAAACTTGCGATTGATTGAAGGAGTTGCGATTCATTCTGATCAATCGCAACTTTTTATAGGACGGGTCCATATGTTACTTTACTTATACTATAGCATAGTTACTTTAAAATTGAATACTACATGTATATAGCAGGTATTTTCATGGCCTGTATTTGAGTCTCTGGTTGAAACCAAAGGGGGACTATTTTGTGGAGGGGCGAAGCCTAAAAAGAAAGTGGTGTATCACCAAGAAAATGGTATTGCTCTGAAGATTTGTAAAGCCATGTTTCATTGATTCCAGCACTCATCAGATCTTATTTCAGCACTGTCATCATTATTGTACACTTAAATTTGTCACTCTCAATTGAGGTGTTGTAACTGGTTAATTGGTAGAAAATAGTTCCTTGAATGCATCCACTGCTTTATAGTAGCTGAGTTAAAGCCAGTAAATACAATTACAATCATATGTGGGTACCTTTAACCTGTGTTATGATAAATATATGTGCAATATAGATATACATGTAGAGCTTTTACGTTATCATAATGATTGATTTTAATAAATTTATTATTCCCATCTTCCAAAGGCTACTTCTGTGATAACACCCTGTACGCTGTGAGTGACCTTTCCAATGCTTCGTGTCCAGCTGGCTACTACTGTCCGGCAGGGACCAAGAGAGCCAATGAGTTCCCCTGCCCGCCCGGGACCTACAACAACCTGACCAATTCGATCAACGAGTCTTCTTGCACCCAGTGTCTGGCTGGGTTCTTCTGTCAGACCCCAGGCTTGAGTGCCCCGGAGGGAGAGTGCTACCCAGGGTAAGTTACACTAGCTCAGTCAATGGCTTGAATTCATGAAGGAGGGTTAAATGGAAATCATGGAACCATATAAGTACGACTCAGAGCGGATAAAATTCATGTATTTCTGTGACATTGATTAGGCTACTCAGTATCAAAATTATCAGTCTGATATATCATATTACAACTTCATTTCATTGATTTACAAACAACTTACATGTTAACATGTACAGTTTTACACAGAGTTACTGCCCTTTTGGCTCCAAACAGACGATGTAATTCTTTTGCATGATTCCAGATGCCTCATTTCATGCTGCTACATTTCACTATGCTAGTTTATGTATTGTCTGTGTCAGGAAACTTTCCCATCATTAATGTTTGTTGCAATGTGGTGATGATTTTTATTTTAAACTAAAAAAAAGTTGCACAGTGATATTCATGTACAGATTGCCTAGCTCCACCAACTGCAATCACTGCACCTCAAAGCTCTCTCTCTCACCAATGTTCTTCTGCAGCTATTACTGCTTAGCAGGGGAGGATAACCCAACACCCAACCCTTGTCCCGAGGGTAACTACTGCCCCTCTGGTAGCTACAAGCCGACCCCCTGCCCAGCAGGGACCATCTCCAGTGGCATAGAGAACATGAACGTGACGGACTGTGCGCCATGTGACCCGGGCAGGTACTGCACAGCCAACAGCTCTAGCAATGGTAAGTTCTAAGTTCTTCATCCAGGGGGGTGTTTCACACAGATCCTAAGTTGAACTTATCTCTAAGTTGGAATTAACATTTATGGAAAGCCAAGAAAATATTTTGTAACTTTTTTTTTTTTGGGGGGGGGGGAGATTTCATGTTCTTGATGGGGATTTTATAAAAAGTCTAAAATACTTTAATTTTCGCTTTTGAATATATCTTATTTTAAGACTACAAATAGCTCTCCATAAGTTTTAAGTCCAACTTAGAGTTAAGTTCGACTTCAAATCTTTGTTAAACCCCAGCCTGATCTATGGCTAGAAGACATTGGGTTCGGAGTTGAAAATATTCATGTAGAAACATGCACATGTACCTGGAAAAAATGACCTACTCATCATACATGTACCTACTAATCTTTGTATTATAAGATACAAATATGTGAAGTGCCCTCCAATGATCTCATGTTACTTTGCTGCAGCATTATTTCTTGTCTTGGCTCACTTTTCTTTGAAGAACAATATGAAGGTTTCTTCTCCCCTTATAAAACGATATACCTTGTTTGATAACCTTTTACTGAAGCCTAATCATGTTTAAACTCTTCTTTAAAAATTACCATGTTCCTCACGTTTTACAATATCTTTTTACCCATCTAATCTGTGTTTCCCATGAAACTTCTTTACTTAATAACTGCTCATTATTTAAAGTGGGACTGCACTTCTTGTAGCTACTTGCGCCCTAAGCGGGGCCCGTTGATTGATCCCCCATGGTCCCCTGTGTGTTATATTAATTGAGAGTTGATTTGATGAGATAACCACCTGCAAGCAGGGAGGTCTAATCCCTCCTGGCCAAACTAGTAATAGTGCAGATAGGCTTTAAGATTGATTTCAGTTATCTCCCAACATTTTTGTAACCAACTCTTCACCTTGTATGAATCTGAATTGCTTTTAGTGTAATCATGGAAGAACTATTATAAAACTTTAAACTTCAAACATGCTGTATACTGTCTTCATTCTTTCCTGTCTTATCAGGTCAGACGCTGCCCTGTGATCCTGGATACATCTGCACCGGGGGCTCCGACACACCAACCCCAGGGGACATCTCCATCGGTTACACCTGTCCTCAGGGCCATTACTGCGAGACGGGCGCAACGAAAGAAAAGAGATGTGACCAGGGAACCTACGCTCCATCGGTCAACCTCGGAGCTTGCGATGTCTGCCCAGAAGGTTAGCAAAAGTCTGGGTTTTGGATTTGTCGAAAATCAGAGAATTTAGACTGCTGTTCTTTCAATATATATTTTTTGTGCACACCTTCACCTCCGTTCTGGATAAAAGTGCAATTTCTAGAATAGGTGTGAAGAGTCTTACAAATTGGCAACTGTGTACTTGCATGGTCTTTACTCTTGAAGATTGTTTTGGAGCTGACTTCTTCGTTTTGTTTCACTTGGAAGTTATGCAAGTGTGATTTAGTTTTAACACCCCCAAAACAGCTAATATTCAATCATTGGCATTTTCATGAGTATTCATTTTGGAAATTACATGTGTAGTATGTGGACTTTTTGTCCTTATGATGTTGTCTCAATTCATGAAATATATTTTGTTTTCCTCCTGCCTCCTAGGATCGAGCTGCCCTGAGACTGGTATGAACTTCACCTTGTCCTGTCCTGAAGGGTATTACTGTTTACCAGAGACCAGAGATAATGGAATGCCATGTCCTCTAGGTAGGTCTGGATGATGGTAGTGATGATGGTGATGGTAATGGTGATGATTATTGATAGTTGCAATAGTGGCGGTAATGATGATTGTAATGATGATGGTGATGATAATGGTGACAGCAATGGTGGTGGTGACAGTGAGGGTGAGGATGTTGATGTTAGTGATGGTGTTGATTGTGATGCTGGTGGTGGTAGTAGTGGGGATGGTGATATTGATGATGATATAGACAACAGTGGTAGTAACACTGGTAGTAGTAATGGTGATGATGGTTTGTAACAGTTGTAGTGATGATAGTGATGCTGATAATGATAATAATAACAATGAATTTATATAGCACTTAATATTAGACATTTCTAAGCACACAAGAAATATATTTAAAATCTAATATTAGTAGAACAAATACAATCATACAATGCAATAGAATGCACATTACGACAAATGCAGTAGGTTTAGACAATTTTGAACTGGTAATTATAATGGTAGTGATGCTAGATGATAGTGATAACAAACATTCACAAGGTTTCTCCATCACTTCATTGTCCAGGTACCTTCAACAATGTCACCGTGATTGTGATGAGGTGGTGGTGATGATAGTGATAATGATGATGAAGACATTAGTGGTAGTAACACTGGTAGTAGTGATGATATTGGTGGTGGTGATAATAATGTTAATGTTATTATATTGCACTTAATATTAGACATCTCTAAGCACTTCACAAAGCACACGAGAAATAGATTTAACTCAAATAAAAGTGGAACAAATACAATCATACAATGTAATAGAATGTAAAATCAGACAAAATAAGTAGGTTTTAGACAATTTTGAACTGATAATTATGATGGTGGTGATGCTAGATAAGGCCTTAAAAAAAGATGTTGTATTGCCCTTTGCGGCCGACCCCAAAATCTTGAAATCTACGGTCGGCTTAAAAAAAAAAAATTGTTTACCATATGAAAAAAAATATATATTCCTGGTACCCTGTATTAAAGCATTCAAAACTGAGAAATATCATCCCAAAGAGGAAGAATATTTCTGACCGACCCATGTTTTTGGCACCTAAAGGGCTATACAACATCTTTTTTTAGGTCTAATAGTGATGACACACATTGACAAGGTTCCTCCATTACTTCATCCTCCAGGTACCTTCAGCAAGGTCACGGGTCTCTTCAATGAAAGCCAATGCCAGGCCTGCTTGGCCGGGATGCACTGCAACGAGACCGGTCTCTCCTGGCCCACTGGGTTCTGTGAAGCTGGTTTCCTCTGCATCTCAGGAGCGATGGAGTCAGCGCCGGACGATGGAACCAATGGACCTTGCCCTACAGGAGCGTACTGTGAAGAAGGTGAGACTAATGGTTTCCTTTTGAAAGAATTAAAGCCCCACTGTCCTACTTGTAGCTACTTGCTCCCTCTATATAGAAAACTTCCCCAATCGGTGCCTGTTGTTCCCCCATGATCCTCTTTTTCTTAAGTAAGTTGAGAGCTGAGTTAATGAGATGGCCACCTTGTCAGTGACCTCGCTGTGTGGTCTAATCCCTTCTGGCCCAGTAGTATTGATGGTATTTAACCTGACTTTTAGCACCAAAATAATCCCCCCATCCTCCTTCCCCTAGATGTTAGCAGAGGTTTCATCATATTTTTCATATTCATCTTCCAACATAAATTTATGCTTGATTTTGGAGGTATGATTTAGAAAATCAAGAATGAACAGGAAGAAATTAATTAAAAACATATTAGATGCATGCAGCAATTAATGCATACTCACCATCTGTGTGTTACAAAAATACTAAGCATTCTACACGTAATAATCTTTTTTCTTGTTGTCTTTGTGTCTAAACAGTCCTTAAAGCCCCACTGCAGTACTTATAGCTACTTGCGCCCTCTATATAGCAAACTATGCCTAATCGATGACCATTGGTCCCCATGATTTTTTTTTTCTTATGTTAATTGAGAGCTGATTTGATGAAATAACCACCTGTCATCGACCTTGCAGGGAGGTCTTATCCCCCCAAACCAAACTAGTGCAGACAGGCTTTAATTAGGTGATACGTAACGAAGTCTACGTATCACCTTTTGATTTCGTCAAGATTTTTCTTTATTAGGTGATACGTACGTAGACGTATCACCTTTTGATTTCGTCAAGATTTTTATTATTTATTTATTTATTATTATTCTTCCTCGAATTTGTTCGCAGGATATCTCAAGACTGAATAAAGCCATTATCATGAAACTTGCCATGATGATAGATCTTAGTCTAACTTAGAACTGCGTGACTTTTTAAAGAGTCAAAATTATCGTGACGTCATCCAGGCGCCATTTTGTGAAAATCAACTAATGATCATATCTTCATAACGGAAAAGTATTTCTCATTCATAATTATCACGATTAAGATAAATATCCGTCCGGTCAAGTTGAGGTCAATAAAAGTGCGCAAATGCGCGCGTGCGCGTTCGTCCGCGCGTTTACGAGCGCGCAAAAATTTAAAATGCTCCAAATCATCCCAAATTTTTTTTGCATACGTTTCAGGCCATATGGAGCATTTGATAAAAAAATTACGCACACGCGCATGCGCGCGCGTTTTCGCGCGTACTGGCATTTTGCAACATAGAAACGCCGATTTTTTTCTGTCATCATATTCGGTACATTTTTCCAAGCATTTTGATAATTTGTTCACCTTTTATTAACGCAATGAGCGTCCGTCAAAGTTGACAGCACGCGCGGATTTGCGTTATCTTTATCCACAATACATGGGCAAAAACATGCCTATATACAATTCATTGTAACTCTTTAGAATAGATAGAAACTCCTAATATTTTTTCATATTTGGATAGATTATGAGTCGGAGATATGATTTCATGTCTCATGTTATCCTCAATTAACTCATGACGTCATCATAATGGCCTCCAAACTCAAAATTTCAATTTGCATATTATGACGTCAGCATATTTTTAGGAAATTGATTGTATCTCTGTAAATATGGATCAATTTTCTTTTTAATTTTGATATGTTCTAGCTGAGACAATTTTCTACAAATGTAGTATTCACAATTTTTATTTTTGACAAAAGTATCATGGTGTATTTTTGCGATTAAAGGAGGCATGTCAATTTTTCGCATTTAGCGTGTATTCTCTATGGGACATGACTTTTTCTCAAAACTGGATTCTACACTCCTGTCTTTCGCGAGCAAAATCTCCGTTGTTTTAGCTTTGTTTTCGCTTAGCTTTGGATATGTTGTAGCTGAGACAATGAGCTATCAAAAGTGTGCCCTTTTATTTTTCTATTAGATGCCGGGATCATGCTCATATTTCACTTGCAAAGTAGGATTTCTGAATTCCATTTCCCGTTTACGTGTAATCGCTATGGGAGATGTTTTGGTATATCGGTAACGCACTTGACTTCCAACCTCGAGATCCCTGGTTCGAGTCCGGGTGTCTCCAACACTTTTTTTTCCACTTTTTTTTTCCCTTTGACCTTCACTGTACCATCTCCTTTGATTATTTAAACACGTAGATTCGCAAATAATGTCATAAATAACCCTTTTTACTTTATTATTACCCTATTTTCACTTAATCCATTACTTTTTGCGTGTAATCCCTATGGGAGATGACTTTTTCTAAAATCTGGAGTCTACATTCCTGTCTTTTGCGAGCAATATCGCCGTTATTTCGGCTTGGATTTTGTTGATTTTTGAGTATGTTGTTGCTGAGACTATATGCTATCAAAACCAACCCTCATTTTTTCAATAAGATGTCATGATCGCGCTCATGATCATGATCATCATTATCATAATGATGATAATCATTTTTCAATTACATTTTTATTTCTTTGAATAAGATAAAATCGTCAAAATGTGTTCTTCATGATGTAAATTAGAGTCAAAGGTGTAACTGGTTACTGCGCAGGGTCAATGGTCATATTTTTTCAATCTATCTTCCCTAGATCCATAATGATCAAGGGGACACAATTTAAACTTGACATATGGATAGATCTTAATGGATGAAGCATTCCATAAAATAATCGTGTAATGCATTCTTTATTATGTAAACCATTAGCATACGTATCACCTAATTCGTCAAAGTGACGAATTAAAGTCTAGTTATTATTTATTTTTATTATTCTTCCTCGAATTTGTTCGCAAGATATCTCAAGAATGAATAAAGCCATTATCATGAAACTTGCCATGATGATAGATCTTAGTCTAACTTAGAACTGCCTGACTTTTCAATGACTCAAGGTTATCGTGACGTCATCTAGGCGCCATTTTGTGAAAATCAACTTATGATCATATCTTCATAACGGAAAGGAAATTCTCATTTATAATTATCAGGATTAAGATCAGTATCCGTCCGGTCAATTTCATGTCAATAAATGCACGCAAAAATGCGCGAACGCGTTTGTGCGCGCGTTAACGCGCGCATACAATTTTAAAATGCTCCAAATCATCCCAAATTTTTTTTACATACGTTTCAGGCCATATGAAGCATTTGATAACAAAATTACGCACACGCGCATGCGCGCGCGTTTTCGCGCGTACTGGCATTTTGCAACATAGAATCGCCGATTGTTTTCTGTCATCATATTTGGTACATTTTTCCAATTATTTTGATAATTTGTTCACCTTTTATTAACGCAATGAGCGTCCGTCAAAGTTGACAGCACGCGCGGATTTGCGTTATCTTTATCCACAATACATGGGCAAAAACATGCCTATATAAAATTAGTTGTAACTCTTTAGAATAGATAGAAACTCCTAATATTTTTTCATATTTAGATAGATTATGAGTCGGAGATATGATTTCATGTCTCATTTGATCCTAAATTAACTCATGACGTCATCATAATGGCCTCCAAACTCAAAATTTCAATTTGCATATTATGACGTCAGCATATTTTTGGAAAATTGATTGTATCTCTGTAAATATCGATTAATTTTCTTTCAAATTTTCATATGTTCTAGCTGAGTCAATTTTCTACAAATACAGTATTTACAATTTTTATTTTTGACAAAATTATCATGGGGTATTTTTGCGATTAAAGGAGGCATGTCAATTTTTCACATTTTGCGTGTATTCTCTATGGGACATGACTTTTTCTCAAAACTGGATTCTACACTCCTGTCTTTCGCGAGCAAAATCTCCGTTGTTTTAGCTTCATTTTCGCTGAGCTTCGGATATGTTGTAGCTGAGACAATGAGCTATCATAATATGTCCTTTATTTTTCGATTAGATGCCGGGATCATGCTCATATTTCACTTGCAAAGTAGGATTTTAGAATTCCATTTCCCGTTTACGTGTAATCGCTATGGGAGATGTTTTGGTATATCGGTAACGCACTTGACTTCCAACCTCGAGATCCCTGGTTCGAGTCCGGGTGTCTCCAACAATTTTTTTCTTCACTTTTTTTTCCTTTTGACCTTCACTGTACCATCTCCTTTGATTATTTAAACACGTAGAATAGCAAATAATGTCATAAACAACCCTTTTTACTTTATTATTACCCTATTTTCAGGTAATCCATTACTTTTTGCGTGTAATCCCTATGGGAGATGACTTTTTCTCAAATCTGGAGTCTACATTCCTGTCTTTTGCGAGCAATATCGCCGTTATTTCTGCTTGGATTTTGTTGATTTTTGAGTATGTTGTCGCTGAGACTTTATGCTATATAAATCAACCCTCATTTTTGTAATAAGATGTCAGGATCGCGCTCATGATCATGATCATGATCATTATCATCATGATCATCATTATCATGATGATAATCATTTATCAATTACATTTTCATTTCTTTGAATAAGATAAAATCGTCAAAATGTGTTCTTCATGATGTAAATTAGAGTCAAAGGTGTAACTGGTTACTGTACAGGGTCAAAGGTCATATATTGTTTCAATCTATCTACCCTAGATCCCTGATCAAGGGGACGCAATTTAAACTTGACATATGGATAGATCATAATAGGAAAAGCATTTTATAAAATAATATATCGTGTAATGCATTATTCGTTATGTAAACCATTATCATACGTATCACCTAATTCGTCGAAGTGACGAATTAAAGTCTAGTTCATTTTGTCTTTGTGTCTAAACAGTCCTTAATACTGTGATTTGTATGTACTACATGTACATGTCCCATCTCATTTAACTCTGTTCCTATCTTTCCTTTCTTCAGGTGTGACATCTGAGGCTTTCTGCCCTCCTGGAACCTTCAACCCGACCCAAGGCGGTAAGAACATCACCGACTGCCTGCCTTGCACCTCAGGCAAGTTCTGCGGAACCAGCGGCTTATCGTCCCCCACGGGCTGGTGTCTCGAGAGGTACTACTGCCCTAGCGACGCTGAGGTGCAGGACGATCGTCCAAGCGAGTTTGAGTGTCCGGCGGGACATTACTGCCTGAATGACACAGCGACACCATATGCCTGTGACCCTGGTATGTGCCTTATTCACATTGTTTCAAATATTGTTTGCCCTTTTTAGGATGGAGCAAGACAATACAATGATCATATGTGTTATCTATTTTGTATTTGTTTTATTTTTTATATTGTTTATAGCTACTATACAAGGGGTTAAACACATATTCCTCCATAGTAAAACCTTAGATTCGTTCATTATCAAGATATATGAAGAAAACATATACTTAAATGTAGTTTATAGAACCGACTGTTTCTTGATTTCTTGAATAAGAATTTAATTGACATTTAAAAAAGCCTTGATACAAAACACCTAAAGATGTGATTAAGATACAATTATATCAGTACCATACAATCTCAGCTCGTCTATTTTTCACTCAATATCAAACATCTCGCACCTTACTTCTAATCTTTAATATGCATTTTTCATTTTGACCTTTAAAAATTATTAAGCATTGATTTCATTGACCTTTGATATTTGACCTTTGACATCTATCATTTGATGTTCTCCACTTTTAGGTACTTACCAACCCAACACAGCGTCCATTGACTGCCTGGTCTGCCCCGAGAAATTCTTCTGTCTTGTGAACTCCAGCCAACCTGAACCCTGCAGCCCCTATTCATACTGCCCTGAGGGTTCAACCGCACCTGTCAACTGCCCCAATGGCACGTACACCATGGATAACGTGACTGGTCTGGCGTCAGCAGATGAATGCCAGCTCTGCCCTACAGGTGAGTTGTCCATTCTACTGTAGTATCATTTCCTTGGCTGAAGGGAGCAGACCCTTTTTTTTTTGAGGGGGGGGGGGGGGAGGGGGAGGGGTATCAAATTTCCAAACTCTCTAGTTTTGATTGCTGAAATGCGTGGTTGATATCCTAGATAACTGTTCATTGTTATTCTCCAGCGACATCTCTTTGGAATGCTCTTCCACTGAGGATCTGATCAGCAGAATTCCTATCAACATTTAAAATAATCTAAAGTCATACAAGTTTGCATGTTATTTTAGTTAATTATATGTTGAATGTACATCTATGCATATTTGTTCTCATTTCTCTATGCAACTCATTCTAATTGTATCCCTCTGCGCCTCAGAGTAGTTTACTAAATCGATTGCGCGTATTACAAATGCTGTATTTATTATTATTATCATGTACATGTATCACTAATTGATTTGGATGATATATGGACAGAAATATGTTGCACATCTAGCTTCTCTTTTGAGCTTGCAGCCAGAAAATTAATTGCTTTCTGAATATCTTTCCTCTTACTCAGGCTCCTACTGTCTTGGCGGTCGTATAGCCGGCCCATGTTCAGCAGGGTATCTGTGTTACAGTGGATCAGACACACCCACACCTGATGGAAGCGATCCCACCGTAGGAGAAATCTGCCCCTTTGGCTTCTACTGTGAAGAAGGTAAACATTCTATCAATCTCTTTATTTGAATCGAGTCTTTATACAATTTTCATCAATCAACATTCAGTATCAAAATGAGCCAGTTTTGATATTTGATTATGTGTTTAATTAGGAATAAAACACTTTTTAGGGTACAAAGTACACGATGGAGGTTACCTATGCTGCTTTGTTTGTCAAGAAGAAGAAAAAAGTAATAGCTTTGTGAATTCTTGAATGGGACTTGCCACCCATGACATAGAGTGGGGTATTGTATCATATTGAAAAACAAAACTATTACCACATTCAAGTTTTTATTCCAAATTGCTAACAGGCCATTGTAGTCAGGAAAATTATGATTGACTACCTTTAGATAGGAATTATTATTGCAAGGAGTATTACTGCATCTTATATTTATTTCATTTGTCAGTTTCATTTGGCATTATGTGGAATGTTTATGACACTATGTATGTATGTGCAGGATCTGAGGGGTTTCTATCATAAGGGTAAAGTGCCCCTACAGTTACAATTAGTCTCAGTCATATTTTTGTCATTGGTTAGTTCCATTTGCCTATCTCTGAAATGTTAATGTCACCACAGGTGCAGCAAACGTGTCCGCGTGTGAGCCTGGTAAGGTCATAGCTAAGGAAGGAGCAATGAGCGTCCTTGAGTGTCAGCAGTGTCCTGCTGGGTATATCTGCTCAGTAGATAACGTCCTGCCACAACCTTGTACACCAGGTAAGTCTGATTTTATTTCCCTTTTAATTTGAAACGGAATGAACATAAAATTTGATATTATTAAGTTTAATTAGTTGAGATGTCTTGCTTGAGTTGATTAGACACTTCACTAGGTAGTGAATATTCATGTACTTGAGCAAGTGTGATAGATATTCTCCTCCAATCCCCCTGAAAGCCCAGAAAAATGAAGCTACAGGTTATTCAAATTCTTGCAGCTGTGGTTTTACATCACACTGCGCTGAACTTTACTGAACAATTTCATGTTTTATTCTTTGTGTCATTAATATCATATTTTAGTTTTTTTGTATATATCTTGTAAGGAAAGAGGTTTTAAGTTTCGTACTAGGAAGAAAAGAAAATAACTGTTCTTAATCCAAACTTATATATATATATATATACAAAGCATTGCCATGTTTGGGTGGAATTCTGCACTTCAGGGAGATAAAATCAATATTGATGTACATGTACATGTACAGTGTGAGTACCACACACAGTCTACTGAAATGAATATTTGTTGTTGCTTGTGAATATTCTCAAAATTCAATGATACTCATTACATCTTAAAATGATAGTTACTCAAACGAAATTGTTGTATATTTTCAGGATATTACTGTGAGTTTGATGAGGACAGAACGCCTTGTCCAAACACCACCTATTCATCAGAGTCTGGAGCCACTAACAGCAGTACATGCAAGCCATGCGTAGCTGGCTACTGGTGCAATGAACCAGGTAAGACAGAGGGACTAACTTGGGCTTCGATTCCGAGGGAATTCAACACCATTTGGGTTTTTACCCAATAACAGGTGTTGCCAATCACTAGGATTAGCTTTCAGTTTTCTGAACAACAGGCCTTTTGTAAAAGCTCTGTATTTTTAAACTATAAACCCATATGGCAAAGTCATTATCTTACATTTCCCTCTCCTGAAGACTCTCCAAGAGAGTAAGGGGTATTTCATACATTTTGGAAAAAAAATTAACATTTTAGTCATTTTGTGTGTTGGAACAACACTTTGTCGCAGTGAACACGCCGATTCAGGCACTTTGAAATTCCAATACGTGTAGTGGTTACATCTCTTTTTGTAATTCTTATTTTTTTTCCGTGTTTATTTTCATCAGACTGCTCCTCTGTTGTTTCTGCTTTCTGTTATACCCCTGAGGTTGAACTTCCTTATGAGTACTTCTGAAACTTTTGTGATTTTTTGGGCAATCATGTTATGATATTTCTTTCTTGTTGGTATGAATCACATGTATGCTTTACACTCCACATGTACATCAATATTGTTATGAATTTTCTTCCTTTTTTCTTCTTCAAATTTAGCTTTGACCAACTACACCAAAGTGCCTTGTCCGCTTGGTCACTACTGTCCGATAGCAACATATGAGCCCATCTCCTGCCCAGCAGGGACATACAGGAGTGAAGTCAGTGCTGCAGGTGGGTTTTTGCAATCATTCCTTGAAAATCTTTGGTATTAGTCCGGTTCAATCATACATTTACATGAATGTCTGAATGCATTCGCTTACATGAATGTCTGAATGCATTCGCTTACATGAATGCCTGAATGCTTTCACTTACATGAATGTCTAAATACATTCGCTTGCATGATGTCTGAATGCATTCATTTACATGAATGCCTGAATGCATTCGCTTACACGAATGTCTGAATGCATTTGCTTACATGAATGTCTGAATGCATTCGCTTACATGAATGTCTGAATGCATTCATTTACACGATTGCCTGAATTCATTCATTTACATGATGTCTGAATGCATTCATTTACATTAATGTCTGAATGCATTCATGATGTCAATGGGAATTTCATCTACACTGTTGTTGTAAAGAAATATTTGGCTTGCACCCAGGAGATAAACATTGCATGCTCGATATTGTAATTTCCTAAAGAAACAAGTCAGGAAAAAATCTTCAAACCAGCAGGATTTGAACCTGCCATCTACTGCTTGCCAAGCAGTGACTCTACCACTAGGCCATTAACTGGTCCATGCCACAGTCACGACGAACTGGAAACAAATAACTCATTCTGACTTATTAATATTAATCAATCTACCATAAGGACAATAGCTTTGTTTTTAACTTCTAGATTTAGCGCGCAATGTTTGTCTACTAGATGCAAGCCAAACATTTCTGTACCACAATTGAACTTCTCCCAGGAAGCCTTACAGTACATTCAAATTCCATCTATCTTTTCTTCTAAAATACTGTTTGCAGTACTAGCACCATTCTGGCTATCAGCACAATAAACTATGTATTGTTTACATCTATCCAGTAAAAAATAGTAAAAAGTAATTCAGTAGTACACACTCATTGTTCTTCTAATTTGAATACTTACCTGATGCCACTCTCAGGCTAAAGCTTGGTTGCTGTCTAGGTAGACTCAATGGTAGACTGACTTCAAAGTTTTCCCAAAGAATAATGTTAAGATCACTATAGCTCGCTCGTTTGGTTTAAATACAGAAATAAGGTCATGATTTGTTGTAACTGAGCTATCACGTTAAGATCCACAATAATTACACGACTCTCCATTTATAACATCATTCTTGGCTTTGTTTTCTCCTTTGCAGATGAGATGGACTGTACCATTTGCCCTCCAGGGTACTACTGCCCCAATGACACGGCTAATATCTTTGAGATTGAGTGTGATGAGGGACAATTCTGCCCCGAAGGCTCCTGGACACAAAGAGATTGCCAACCAGGTACATGTCCTTTCGTAAAGATTGATCACAACTTGAGTTTGGTCTGCTTAAGATGGGTACATGTGCATTTACTTGAACTTCATTGCAAGTTGAGATACATGACGGTCACAAGTTTCAGGAGTTAAAAGGAATTTCAAGTGCAAGCTTCATAACACCAGGAACCTACGTTATTATTTTCTCCTGATTCGTGGTTCATTTATTAGTATACTTTTACCAATCAAATTTTCTTCCTCTTGCATCTACTTCCCATGAGTGTATCCACAAGCAAGTTGGATAGGTGCAAGTGACTTGTTGTTATTTTAAAATATATTCTATAATGCCTTATACATGTTTATAAACTGGAGATGTGGAAATACATACAACTCAATTAAATTTAATTCATCTTTGTCTTTACCTCCCAGGTTATTACTGCAACCGTTCTAAGACCCAGGAGAAGTGTCCAGCTGGCTACTACTGTCCAGTGCAGTCACCGTACCCCATCCAATGTCCAGACGGTCACTACTGCGGAGAAGAGTGTGGCTACTTGAACGATACATCACCCTGCCCTGGTGAGTCAGTATTCCTTACTCAAATTGGCAACACTTGGAAAGTTTAACCTGTCAAACAGAGTTTGAAGACATATCTATTCTGAAACCATATGAATTCAGTAAACAGTCACTTGTATATAATCTAACATTAATGCTGACCCAGGGGTGGCATCTGATAGTGCTGTGGAAAAGGCAGAAATGTAGTAATAACTTTCTACCCACACATTTATGTCGGTATTCCTTACTCAAATTGGCAACACTTGGAATGTTTAACCTGTCAAACAGAGTTTGAAGACATGTTTATTCTGAAACCATATGAATCAATGAACTGTCACTGCCTGGTAACTTTAATGTAATCTAACTTGAATGCTCTCCCAGGGATGGCATCTGAAAGTACTGTTTATCCTGTGGAAAAGGCACCATATAAATTGCAAAAACTGTTCATTGTCATTCCAAGACAATTTTATGCAATCCTAATCTGACTGCAGAAGAAAACTCTGCCTTAAATTAACTACCCAAATACGAAACCTTGGTCATAAGCTGAATTGTAATCTACCTGCTAGAATAGAAACTAGATACTCTCTGAGAAGCAGAAAAGATCTCTGCCCACCTAAGTGTAAGACTAAAAGATACAGAAATAGCTTCATCTCTTGGTTGTTTCTTTTTTATACAATTACACTTGTTTTAGTTTACAGAAGTAAAATATAGTACTAATGTTTTACCCACACATTTTTGTATTTTATCTAAAACTGTCTGTGGGTTACGCAACTGCATGAAACTTGGTGACATTTATATTTAAAATCTTGAATCATGTAGATGTTTTTTGAAGTTATTCACCTTTAGTGATGGTAATTGAAGAAAAATTATTAATCTGATTAGTAATGTCCGTTGTCCGTTGTCCTGTAAAATCCTGATAATTATCTGATAATAGGCTGTTCATAGATTATTCAGTTTGTACAGTCTTTCAGTATGGTTTCTGATATTTTTCTTCCTTTTTAAGTATATACAACGTTATGTAAGTATTCCCTAAATGAAGAGGGAAAGCTCATAAGTGATCATTCACCAATTATTTGAAATATTTATGTATCGTTTTTAATGATTAATTTTTCTGCACAATACAATTTGATTCAGTTACAATTACAATTATTTAAAAGACTTTGATACAATATTTTACTCAACATTAAAAATAAATGTGTCACATTCGGTTATGCACTGTTGGCAAGTTGACCACAAGATGGAACTGTGCAATAAACAGTACGCTAGGTACAAATTTCATCATTCTGTATCGCTTCCTTGAAGAAGGCTTTTGTTAGATAATCTCTGCATGATTTCCCTTTTCTATGATGTGCATATTCTTTTATTTTTTTGATGTTCTTTATGTTTGTTTTTTGTCCAACATGTCTTTTCTAAGCCCTGCATCTACCAATGATTTGGTTTTGTCCTTGGCTATTATGTCTTCTTTGTTGCGTAAGGTTGCTCAATAAAGTGTTTTTAAAAAAATGGGAAAAAATACCTGACATGATGAAACACATTCTTCTACCCCTTTCTACTACTCTTTCCTTTGGTTTATTTTTTACCAAAATTACTTTTGAAACCCTTCCCAATTTCAAGTGCAGTTTCCAGGTGTATTTTGATCTGATTTTGTTTTCCTTCTATATTTGATATTTTTTCTTGGATGAAACTCACAGGATGAACCACAGTCTGCTCCTACATTTTCCTTTAAATGATAAACACAAAGTATTGTTTGCCAAAATAAGTTTTGGAAACAAAATGATTATATTTTCAATTGGAGTTTTCAGCTGTATTTCAATTTGAACATTTTTTGTAAGGTAATAAGTATATTGCACTGCATTCTTCACATATGTTCTAGTTCTCCAAAATAGAATTTCTCACCGTTTCTCACAATTCCTCTCCCTCTATTGTTTTTCTATCAAATACTTAAACAAAAAATTTCTTTAGAATCTTCCTTTCTTTCATCTCACCTGTGTTTTTAATTTAAATTTTTCAGATCATTCTATATTTGTTCTCCAAATCTTCTGTAAATATTTAGAATGTTATTAGATGCAGTTAATAATAAGAATATAAATTGTCAGTTGTTATCATTCTTTTCATAGTGAATCCAAGCTATGAGTGAAATAAATAAATGAAGAACTATATGATATTTAAAGGGCAATTTAAGTTAATTTGTTTGAGAGTGCAAAAACAAGATACACAGAACACCATTTTTTAACATAACAGGGATTTCTCTTGATGTATGGATGGTAACTACGTAATTTGAGTAGTTTTGTATCAAATAGTTACAGGCATTAATTGCCAATGACCTGCTGCTTGATGCAGTAGTGTGTGTCTGGATTAAGCAGAAGGGCGCAAAGCGGTTACGCCCTTTTACGAGCTGCAAATATAAATCTATCAGTAGATACTAAACAAAATATTTTTTCTCTTTCATCAGGTTCGATCACACCCGTCATCTGCCCTCTGGGTTACCGTGAGAAGGAAGGCTCAAGGCGCAGCACCTTCGAGAACACCTGCGAGATCTGCCCGGCCGGTTACTACGGCAACATGCCAGACCGTGCCAACTGCACCATCTGCGCGGCGGGCGTGGTGTGCTTAGAGGGCGCAACCACCGACTACCCTCTGGACAACACCACCATGCACGGCGTTAACTACACCAACTCCTTCCCGTGCCCCGTGGGGTACTACTGCCCGGAGGGTTCCTCGGCGGCGACAGCATGTCCTGTAGGGACGTTCAGGAGCACGGAGTATGCCGTTGCAATGTCGGATTGTCTGACCTGCGGTGTTGATCACTTTAATCATTTGACTGGTCAGCAGGGATGCTTCCATTGTGGGAGTCAAGCAACGACGGAAGGAGCGGTTGGGTCGTCGGAGTGTACTTGCAACGGCGCTAATCAGGAATTCCAGGTATTTATTTTAGTGGGTTAATGTGTAAAAGTCTTTAACCCCTAAGGTACCACCATGTTTCCAAACATTCATCTAAATGAAACGATCTAAAGGAAGTTTGCATCTTGCAACTGTCGCTTTGAAATATTAGCCAAGCTAATTGTTGTATAAATATTGATGAAATACATGTACAAGACATAATTGTACTTAAGATTGGCACTTTTTTCAAATGTAAAACTAAAGTTTGATAGGTTACTCTTCTCTATTTTTATCCCTTACAAAAGATTCTATTTGATAATTACTTGTTCACTGTATGCCACTGAAATGTACTAAATTACTTGAAAGTATCCCTGTAAAACGTTATATTTGTCCATTTCAGTTCACTGACCGTAAGTGTATCTGCCAGCACGGTTACACCCTGAAAGCCGACGGGAACACAGAGGCGTGCACCAAGAGTGTCTATGAGCAGTGCGATGAGGGCACCTACAGGAACCAACAGGGACAGTGCTGGACAGAAGAGCAGTGGCAAGATTACTGCAGAAATGAGGTAAGGTTGGATGTTTGTTGATTGTGGTCTTTGCCATGAAGACGGGTCAGGAAATGCTCGGAAAGAAAATTTCACTTTAGGCAACTTTACTTACTGGATATGGCACAGTCGCCACTTACAGTTTAGTACTCATGAGTCCCAACATGAGTCCCAACATGCACACCAGAAGTTTAAAAATGCTAACACAAGTAACAGGGCATGCATACAGACCTTCATGTTCGTTTCTTCAGTTAAACCTTACCCTGGGTCTAACATGTTTAACAAAGGGAAACCTAGACCTTAAGACTAGCTCCTTTTGTTAACTCAATTTCGAATAAAAGTTCAAGCCGAGCATCTGGTTCAGATTTTAGTAGAATACAGACCCAAGAGTTTAATCTGGATAGTGTTTAGCCCTGGATAAGAGATTAGAAGAGGGATGGATGTCGGAAACAAGGAACACAGCAGTTTTCCATCATTATGACAATCTCTTTGAATATTTTGTTCCTACAGCAATGCCAGACACCTGATGATTACATTGATTTCATCAAGGGGAACCCTAACGACTGCCAGTGCATAACAGAAGACTTAGAGGAGGTTTGTAACCGAGAATGCCAAGTTGCCCAGGAGAATCGCATCACTCTCGTCTGCTCCGACCCAGCATACATCAAAATCACAGATGCTAACGGAAACGAGGTATTAACGTCTCTGTTATGTTAGGTCTTGTAGAGCAATAAAGAATACATTTTCATTCTTGTGTACTTATTTTAGATAAAAACTGACTTGTGTGTACAATTCATCATGTTCCATTTTGATATGCAAACCTGTACGTGTAGGATCTGGTAGTACTGAATAATCAAGGTGGAATTTATCAGTTATCTCTACATGAACATTTGTTCCCCAGCTTAATTACATGAATTTTATCATTACTGGATTTTGTGGTGCTGTTAATTTTCTGCTTTGTTACTCCTTTAATGAACATTAAAATATCATAACTCCAAACTTTTGCATGTAGTTTTTTTCCTCAAAATTATTCAGTTAGAACATTGACTTTTCTTTTTTAGTTAGTGATGTTTCTTCAAGCATAAACAGTTAGTAGTTAACTCTTCATGACAGATTTGGATTTTGCAGAATTTTGCTTACTTGGCAATGTAATTGTTTTCACTTCAAATGAAGAAATATAAAAGCAGCAAGAGAAAAGTAGATGTTGTGCATTCCTGGAATATTACTATTTAGTACATGTATTTCATTCTTTCTTTGTTTAATTTCTTGATTTACTTTCTCCCCAGACCATGTTTGCAGCCGATTCCCTGTCCAAGATCATCAACTCACGTAATGCGCTGACCACTGACCAATGTACCTCTCTGGACGGTCACACCCAGAAGATCAACCTCATCATTTCTTACGGTCAGTAGAAAGTGAAGATAATATTAATATGCCGTTCTTGTAAAGCGCACATCACATTATAATATGACGTCTCTATGCGCTTCCAAAGGCCTTTAGGTATTATTACTCAGGTTTTAGCTCCGGCAACTGTAGCGCTCACTGCATTTGAGGAATAAATCCTACCAGGTACCCTATTTACTACACCTGGGTGGAGTGTGGCAAATGTCTTGCCAAAGAATGTTATTGCTGCGGTAGGGATTCAAACAGAAGTAACATCACATTACAAAGGAGTAGATGGAGATGGAAGTCCTTGATCGCCAATGTCTGGAACAGACAAGGCATCTGGCAAGCAGGTACATACATGTCCAGGGTTGGTTGGTCCAGGGTTAAAGCAAGGTACTGATTATATATACAGTATGTAAGACAGTGACCACATCGGAGCAATCGTCAGTGGAGGATGCGGCCTTCAACCATGAATAAGACCTCTGACCGTTGATTTATCATGGAATGTTTCTAGAATCTGGATTCAACGGAGCATACGATCCTAATCCCGACGACCTCACTGCTCTCCTCATGGACAACTCCAAAGACGGACCCGTTGCTCGTCGACGACGAAGACGATCGGTCGACTGGGGGGTCAACGGAACAAGGTTTGATGGGCGTCGCCGCCTGATGGCAACTGTGGAGGATCCATCGGGTGGGACGTATACCGGTATCACTAACCCAACGGTGTGCCTGAAATACGGAGAGACCATGCTGTTTACAGTGGATAATAACAATTATCCAGTTTATGACAGGTATGTTTTGTGCTCCATGCTTTTGACTACTGTCTTGGATTGTACTTGATAAAATGCCTGAGCAAGAAATTTGAGATATATATGCTGTCTTTAGAAATGTCTAAAGATCGAGCAGCGAATTTGTATTCGCTTTTTTGTACAGATTTTACCATGTATTGCCAGTTACACTGCCGCTGCAAATATGGCCATGGAAAGGCCTTGCAAATCGCCTGTTAAGGGTACAGATTTCTTACTTCCAAATATTGGCAGGTATGGGTGATGGCTAAAGCATTGTTTAACTGTATTTGCGTCTTTTCTTGTCGCAGGGAAAACCTGTACAACACCAATGAGAAGTTTGACTATGGTGGCTTCAGAGAGCTGGCTGAGCAGCAGAGTCAGGTCCAGACGACCACGACCCTCTTCGCCTACCAGTTTGTGGATCCAGGAGTCTATGTCTTCACACTCAGTAACAACACAGCCAAGAAGATGGTAAGATAAGCTACCATAAAGTCACAGATAATACAAGTCATGCCTTTAAGTTTACTCTTAAAACTATAATCAGAAACTTTCACTCGTTTGAATGTATTAGTAATTTTACAGATTGCATAGATTTGCAAAAGTTCTGCAAAAGTGTTTGAATGATAACATCAGGTTTGAGCAAACAAGGCAATTTGGTTCCACACATGTAAGATAAATTATTTTACAAATATAGAGTTAATTAGTGCAATGGCTATTAGAAGACTGTTCAGGTAAATGGTATACCCCCTTTATATTGCATCTAATAATTATCTCTTCCTTCTGTCTAAACTCAGTTCAAGCGTGTGATGGTCGAGAAAGCCCAGTTTTCTGAAGGACTGTTCTTCCCCTCCAACTCTCGAAAAATTATCTAGAAACTGTGAATCCTTTCATATAAACACTGTATTCCATGTTGAATCTACATCCTTTGACATCTATTCATATAATGATCACCCCTTTCATATTGCATGTAACATTTTTTCTCTCTCTTTAACACAGTACATCCGTGTGATGGCTGAGAATGCCCAATGTTCTGAAGAAGGACCGTTCTTCCCCTCCACCCCTCGATACATCATCCAGAATGGTATTGCCCTGGAGTCTGGCATCCTTCTCGCTCCAGACTGGATCACAATTGGTCTCGTCCTGGGCCTCTCCGTAGTTCTATCCATCCTGCTTATTATCGCACTGGTAAGCCCAAGACCCCTTTCATACTTGTATTTAATCCCTCCTAGGCGTGATTAGACCACACTATGCATTGAATTGTAGATAACATTATCAAAAATGGCAAATAGTGCAAGTTATTTCTTGACTAGTCCTACATTTTCTTAGATTTTCTTGATTTTATTCATACCTATGTGTAGTCAGTAAGCAGCCCACCAAATATGTACTAGTTAATATTAGAAATGGTGTATGTCAATTTCACAATCTGTGAGATTTCTGGACTTGAGACCCTTTTATACTCACAATTTCTTTGGTCTATTTTGTAAGCCTAAGTAGGTCAGGGATCTGAAAACTCATGGCTCTGGTAACTCCAAGTCTGTTTTACCCGTTTCATAATTAGGTTCACACAGAAATTTATTTTCATTCTCTGTTTTTCCTGTCCTTCTTCGATTTGTCTCTCTAGATGCTGTTCCGCAAGTACGGCTGGAACAAGCAGCGTTACGTCCGGCCCAAGTTCCGCAACCTGACGGCCCAGAATAACCTGGATGATCTTGCATCCAAGGGCTCTACTGTCCACCATACCAAGAAGTACCATCGGGCCTTGGAGGGGCAGAACATGGAGGCAGAGGAGGGAGACGTTGTACCGGGTAAGAGGAGGGGGAAGAGAAGATAGATAGTCAAATTTATTTCATTCAAAAACATTTAAAAAAAATAAAAATACAATATCGCATAGATATGAAGTCAAAATAACATACATTGCAAAGATAATCATACAATATAATATACATCATAAAGGTAATCTGGACAAAATATAGGGAAAAGTGAGTATTTACGAGAATGAGGAGACAGCTAGAAAGGAAATGTAAGAGAATGTAAGAGGGAGGAGGGATGGACTGAGAAAAAGATGAGAAAGAGGAAGTAGGGTAGAGTTTTGAAAATTAAGGAGAAGGAGGAATAGATAATGAATAGAAAAATCACCAAAATAAAATAGAAGCTGAAGTGAAATTTATTGAATAATTATAACTTGTGTTTGTGTTTATCAGCTTGATTCATGACAAAACGACTTCCCAATAGTAATACCCACGTCATTGGCCTCTGCCCTGGTCCCTCCTAGGGCACTTTTCAAATGCAGTATGTCACAACTTAGTAGATGGTCTTCAGTCTGAGGGCCCTTCCCGGCTACACCCACAATCTGCTGAGTAGTGTCAATGTATCCCCATGTCAACATATCTGTCTTGCCTTGTGCTCATGTCGAATACCTTGATAAATTTCTTCCTTTTTTGTTTTTTTAGTTGAGGCCATTGAGGTCAAGAGGGATGACTTCTGGGACTACGACAAGCAGGTCGACCTTGAAGGATTCACGACCACCGACTTCTACGACCACCTCTCACGACAATCCCGCCATGTGACCAGTGAGCTTGGACGACAGAAAGATGAGGTAATTCAAAGAATGCATTACAGCAAGGTTAATGTAGCATATTAAGAAGGAGTCAACTGGATTATCAAACACACAATGTGAGAAATCATATTGATTAACTCTAAGCCAGGGCCTTTATGGTTTCCTTTCAAACTGGACCCAAGTGCCTATAACAGGTCGGGTTCCATTACCTTGACATATACTTCTACTTGGGGAACATAAGTATAGATTTTGTATTTACTTTGAACTTACCTGAAATTTGCCTCGTAGAGGTCATCACACAGTTCCTTCTGCAATATGTTGGCATTATTGTTGGAATCCTTTTTTTGAACATCTGTTGAGCTTTTTAAAACAAAGTGAATTTCCCAGAGTGTTTTCCTTTTCAAACATAAATGTTACGTGTGATCATGTTCGCATGTCCATACACTGTACACGTTTGGGAAGAAATACTCATCAATAGAGAGTCTTAAAGGAAAGAATAATAATATCGATTCAAGCCTAATCAACACCTGTGTTGAGGATGGCAAATCTAGACTAATGTCTTACCAAAAGACATTAGTGCCGTGTCAGGAATCATACCCACAAACTTTGCATTTCCAGTCAAGTGTTTAATAAAGCGAGACTGCACTACTTGTAGCTACGTGCGCCCTCTATACAGCCAACAATGCCTAAGTGGTACCCGTTGATATCCCATGGTCTCCTTTTTCTTATATTAATTGAGAGCTGATTTGATGAGATAACCACCTGCCAGTGACCACGCAGGGAGGTCTAATCCCTCCTGGCCAAATTAGTGCAGATAGGCTTTAAAACTTCTTAACTACCAATATAACTAATTTGTTTTGTTTTGTTTTGTCTTTGACAGGCCAAGGGTCTCTATCAGCAGCTAGCAAACCAGGCTCAGTCACTCAAGGGATTATGGGTAGCGAAGCTGAACCTGAAGGGCAAGGCTGCCCTTGCTACAGAGGCTGATCTGGCTGCTTATGACTCCAAGAAAGAAGAGGTAAACAGACACACAGACAAACAAACAAAGAGATACACAGACAAACAAACAGAGATAAGACAGAAAAACATACATAAGAATAAACAAAAAGACAGATAAAAAAAATAGAAGAACAAACAGACAAATACACTGCAGATTAACACACAAGTACGCTGACAAATCAACAGACTTGACAAATTACAAAACAGTTACATTCTGTATGCTCTATATGTATTTTCTATTATATGAATCATTCTTTATTTCTGTAATTGTCTCTGCAAGTTTCATTTTCTTATACAAAGTACCATAAAGAGCGATTCTGTTTGTATTGGATGGATATGTCACACATATTTTATTATTTTATTTGTCCAACTAAGGATTGTTGTATGATTATGATATTTTGAAACCACACAGAAACAAAAGCCTCTTTCTTGTTTTTCTCCAGTTTGGGATGAATAACAGATGAAGTAGATATGCTGTTTTAGAGCCTTCATGAAATCTCTGTATAGCAGATTTAAGTACTTGTAAGCTTGTGCAGTCTTATCTGAGTCCTGGCTTATTTTCTATATTTCTGTTTTGTTATTTTACTTCTGTAGCTTGAGTTAGAGCTGGAACGTCGCCGTGAGCTTGGAATGAGGATGGAAACCTATCTGAAGAGGCAAGCAGACATCCTGACTGATGATGAAAGATACAGAGAAGAACACCAGGTAATAGATGGATAGAAGAACAGAGAGTGAGAGAAAAGGGAGGTGTGTGGGTGTGGGTGGGAGGGAGAGAGAGAGGATGAGGATGGAAACCTATCTGAAGAGACAGGCAGACATCTTGACGGATGATGAAAGATACAGAGAAGAACACCAGGTAATGGATGGATAGAAGAACAGAGAGTGAGAGAAAAGGGAGGTGTGTGGGTGTGGGTGGGTGGGAGGAAGAGAGAGAGAGGATGGAAACTTATCTGAAGAGGCAGACAGACATCTTGACGGATGATGAAAGATACAGAGAAGAACACCAGGTAATAGATGGATAGAAGAACAGAGTGAGAGAAAAGGGAGGTGTGTGGGTGTGGGTGGGTGGGAGGGAGGGAGAGAGGAATGAGGATGGAAATCTATCTGAAGGGACAGGCAGACATCTTGACGGATGATGAAAGATACAGAGAAGAACACTAGGTAATATATAGACAGAAGATTGGGGAAGGAGAGCTAATAATAGAGATACATTGTACAGTGGTAGAGGAAGTTACAGAGAGAGAGAAAGGAAGGGTGGAAAGGAAAAGATAGAGAGGCCGAGTGGAATCAAGATGAAGAACTTCATTTATCTAAAGAGAAAAAGTTAACAGAGGAAAAAAAATGAGGACAACTGGAAAAATACAAAATAATGCACCAAATGGGAGGGGATAAAGATTGCAACCTATACTCTTTATAATTCAAATCATATTTGTTTTGAATTCTCCATTTCGTTTATTGTGATTATCATTTCTTTGTTATCTAGGTGTCTTTCTTGTCTGGTCTGAGTGAAGCAACCCGTCTGATGAATGAATATTCTGAGAAGCTCTCTGCAGGTGATGAATCCCTGGAGAGAGAGTTTGATACCTCTATGCAAAACTAGTAAGTACCCTAGCAAAGTCACAACACATTACATGACCTGTGTACTGGAGCGTTGTTGGATGGCTGTCATGTCTTTCAGCGCCTTTGATTAGGCAGCTAGATATGGGCGCTTTATAAATACCTGGATTGGATTGGATTGGATTGGATGTGTTTCACGGCTGTTTCTAGAAGATTTTGCTCATGGTAACAGTTGGCGCCATCAGGTCATTACATTAATCATATTGCATTACATTAAATTTGATGTTGAGGCATTGAATTTGTCAGTTGTGATGTCGTGGTCTATTTGATACGTTGTTCGATTATGGGTCACTTGGTTCCCTGTTCAGTATTTCTGCGGCACTAATGTCCTTTGGCAAGACATTTATATTTAGGCGCCACTCTCCACCCAGGTGTTAAATATGAACTGGTAAGACACAATTCTTTCTATGCTGTACGCACCAAAATCAGTAGCCTAGTAGAGCCAGGAAAATATTGGAGCACCTTTAACACCTTGCATTGTGGATATGTGTGCTATAAAAATATCCAATACTCTTGTTTTTAATCATTTTTATTATCATAACATTCAAATTCATATTTATTCAAATTCAAAATTCCAATATTGATCCACGTTTCTGTTTCAATTGTCAGACTTTAAAACCCGATATAACAATAACAAACAGCAAACCCAACATCAAGCAATACATACATATATATTGATTTTTATATAGCGCCTTTACAAAAACATGCTCAAAGCACTTTAAATCAGTAAATAAAACAGAATAATTATTTTGCTTTCCAGGTGCATACACTGTAAATTTGTTGTGTAAAGCTGTGTAAGGTAATTAAAAAAAGTTGTGCACACATGAACCAAGCGATTCATTTCTTTTCATGTTTTTCTTTTCACAGCACAATCCGCCGTGTTGGTGCCCTCCTTAGTCGCATGTCACAGGAGGTATCAGGGGAGTGCCAGAGGATAGGAGCCTGGGGGGTGCTTGGTCAAGGTTCAGGGGGGCTGTTAGTCGCCCCTGGGACTCAAAATACCCCTCTACCTAGAGAGGAGCTCTTTGGTAAGCTGTGATAACTTTCATAACTTTTTAATTGAAATGATACTAAACCTCAAGGTATATTGAATTCAAGTGGCTTAAAAATGGTTATTTTGTATGAAGTATATGATTCCTTGTTGTGTTTTATTTAAATTTCTGGAGATGATTTGAAATTACAGAAGACAAAATAATTTTCAATACTGAATGCATAACAATATACATTGATCCTAAATATTAAAGGATTGTGACCATTTTCTTGAATTTGTTCAGTATGATTATTTTAAATTGACTTCAGAGATGTTTTGTATAGAATCAGAGAACATAATCCATTCCTCCTATCCCCCTAGGGGCCGATGGTAAGCTGCAGCAGACGGAGGTAACCAAACGAGACCCGACCACCGGTCTAGTCGTCCCAGTTCAAGGATCTATGACAGTGACCGCCAGCGGAGAGGTCATCAATGTCCAAGCCAACATGTTTGTCCATCCTCAAACTGGCCGCGTCTTGCCGATGAACGGTAACGTGTCCTACGACACGATGACCTCCAGGTTGATCGTCGTAACAGACACGTCATCAAGTGAGTTGATGTTTGAATTGTGCTGTTTTTTATTCTCTCTCTTTCTTGGCAAAGTTTTAATTATTGCTTGAATTAAAGAATAAAAATGGAATTTATATTTAAAGTCATTGCATTTTTTGTACGTTTACAAATGGAATAAACTGATTTATTATATTCGCCTAGCTTCAAAATATTAGCTTCAAGTGATATACTGATTCTGTTATGTATATCACTCAAAATTTCTTTTGTTATTCATATACTGTGTTGTACTGGCAAGTTAGAATTGCACAAACTCATATGTGTTTGATTAATACCTTTATTAGCAGATCTAAAATGAGTATCAAGCTAGTTGTATGCCAAGGATTTAGCCAGTGACATTCATGGGGCTCTTGTTAGGTTATTGAGGCATTGACAGACAAGCCTAGCAGAAGAGGTGTAGAAGAAGAAGGGTTGGGATACAAAGTAAATAAAATACATGGACCTTTTTCTTCTCTTTTCAGCTGAGCTACCACGATCAGACGATGGTGTCCTACCCTACGTGCCCTACCCCGTCGACCTCAACTCAGGCCTCCCCGTCCAATCGCTCATCACTGAAGCAGAACACGCCGGTGACATCAAGCTGGGCGGGGCCATGTCCGACCCCGCCACCGGTCTCCAGTGCCCAATTCTGGCAATCACCATACACCCCGAGACGGGCGTGGCCTACCCTCTCTGCGGCACCCACATTGACCCTGTTACTGGACTACCACTCCCCATCGAGATCGGGTCACTCATGGTTGATCCAACCAGTGATCAGCCGGTGCCAATCTTGGATGTTGTTATTGATACAGAGACAGGTAATCTTCCATTGTTTTTTTTGTATCGTTCTTAGATACGCTGCATTTCTGTAGATTGCTTGTTAGAGAGAGGGTCCACACGCTATTTGAATTGATTACAATTCAATGCAGTGGTATGGATCTACATTGTAAATGATAATGACAATAGTGTGTCCCTGTCAAGGTTAGAATTATTTTTGCGATCCCTTGTGGAAGAAAATGTTTGCGATGTTACATCAGAAGGTTTGCTCTCACAATGAATTCATATTGTCCGCTGAGAGTTGGATCGTATTTACTCTATGTAAAATGATATGAGTTAACACGCTTCTTGCTCTCAGCAGAGGTGTTAGACATGAATGTAACAATGCAGGGGCCAAGTGAATCTCTGTCATCTGTGTAGTCCTATCAATATGTATATATTTTGATGATTCTAAAACCATGTACCCTCCACTTTCTTGTAACCAATTGTTGAAAACATTTGACGATGACACCTCAAAACCTCTCTTAACCCCAAATTCACTCTTCCCCCCTCAGGCGATGTGATACCCATCGGGGGCGTCCGGCAGTCACAGACCGACGCCCATGATGCCTACAGCCCCATGGTCATGTCAGACAAGTTTGTGGAGCCCTTGAGCATGCTGACGGCCCGTATAGGGGGCGCTAGACTGGAGGGTGGGGAGGTGGTGCCTACCGGTGGAAGCTACCAGTCCCTCCTGGATGCCAGCCTGATGCTGTGTGAGATCCGCGTCATGGAGAGGATGAAGATATACCTTGATAACCTGATGGGTAGGTGGAATGATAATAGTAGTAATAATAATTCCGCTTTTATATAGCGCTTAATACATCTATGATGTCTCTAAGGTAGCGGGTGGTGTGGTGGAAGGTGGAAAGATTGGCAAATGATGGGAGGATGCAAGTGTTCTGAATCACAATTCCTTACAACACTGAATTTTTGCAATTCATGAAAGTTTCTTGCCATGAAAATGGTTGCTCTTAACATTATCACAACAATGTCCCACAAGTTTGTAGTTTTACATTATCTCATGATAATGTAAGTGCACCATATTGTTAGGGAAATGCTGCTTATTCCATGCAAAGTTCACTTGTCACAATGAGCATAACAGTGTCTGCAAAAGATATCCAAAAAGGATAAAAATAAAATAAAAACTCATCATCCTTGTTTTCTTGTGCTGATAGGACCTGATGGTGCCAACTGCCGCCACGAGCAGAATCTTCTGGAGACAGCTGTGAAGGACATGACAGCCATCAGACAGCGCTCCAGGACACAGGTCATCAGGGATACACTGGACGTAGAGAGGAGGGCTGAGAGGGCTAACATCCTGGCTGTTAGTGGTGGTACTCCTGGTAGGTAGCGGTAGTGATGATGTTGGTGATGATGATGGTAGTGATGATAGTGATGATGAGAAGGGATGATTGCAATGTCTGATGATGGTAGTGGTGCTGGTGATGTTAATGGACGATAGCGATGATGATGCTAATGATGGTGATGGCGGTGATAATGGTGATGATGATGGTGATGGTGGTGGTGATAATGGTGACGATAGTCATTGTAATGATGATGGTAATGAGGATGGTACTCCTTGTAGGTATCTCTTCATTTCAATTTTAATTCAATAAGATTATTCCCCTTTTAAAATATGTTGGGATATGGATCCATAATCTCAATCTGAATCTGTATTCCCATAATTCTTCCTTAAACAGAAAGTGGCTGTTGATGCACATTGTTCATATTTCCTTTGAACTTTTAGTACACACATAGATCCTCTAACAACCATACCTCCTCTCCCCCTCAGGAATGTATGAGTTTGCTGAGACCGGTCAGCTCCTGCCAATCCTGGTCGGCACCCTCATGTCTGACCTAGCAGGGTCCGGTCAGAAGGTGCCCATATTAGGAGTAGGAAAGAACCCAGAGACAGGTCGTCTCATGCCTCTCGGAGGAACCATGGAAGACCACGAAGGAGATGGTAAGCTTTTACTTTTATTATAATACTGTGGACTGTGCCATGTTTACCTGCTTTTCTTCAATAGGTTAGCATGGGAATATATCAAAGATCTTCGATAACAGTTTTGGACACATTTTATTACAATTGCTTTGGTGCTTAAGTGTTTAAGTGTTTAAGTACTTCACTTCTCGTCTTCACAATCATCTAAAGTATACCTTTGCATATTTCCTAATATGTTGATTGACTAATGAGCAACGCCTTGTATCCTCTGAAAAAGGTGCTATAAAAATCCAATTATTATTGTTATTATTGATTAAAGGTAATACAAAGTTTTGGTATGGGGTCATGAATTTGGTTCAAATGAACATTATTGTAAGCATATGCGATGCTTCAATATTCAGTGATCGTTGTCGCGGTTGAAATCGAGTCTAAAGTTATGCAATTGTAAATAATAAACTCTTTATGTTGTATAGCTCCCTCTTCAGGTCAAGATAATAATGGAGCTATAAAACAATGTTTCTTCACTAAAATCGACCGATGAGCTATTCCCGTTTTGAAATTATATATCACAACTACATATTCTGAGAATTTCATGGTCGCAGCTATCATTGTACGGACGTAGGCGCTATTTGAAATTCATCAAAATTTACCGGGAGCACCGGTAAATCTTTATATTCAATTTTTCTCGAAAACAGAAGTGTTTAAGGGGCTAAAATTTTCAGTGCTTATATTACATTCACAGGGGCATCCAAATATATCAAAATTGTAAAGAATCACTATCCACCCAATTTTCGAAATTTCCCAAAACTTTGTATTACCTTTAATATAACCAAGCGGAGTAGAAATATTCAGGATAAATTTGGTGTCCATGACAGTACTCCTGATCATTGTGGTATCAAAGAATTACCTCTAACTAATTGTTTGTTGTAAGATTGCACCAATATAATACTTGTCCACAGGTTTTTACGAAGTTGTCGTACAAAAATATTTGTATAAACCATCATGATACATGTACCCTATACATATATCTTATGTTTTAAATGACATGTATTTGTATGTTTGTGATAACCATTCTTACATATTCATCCTAACACATCCATTATTGCATTGTTCCATAATCGCTTGTCCAATGCAAATAGATTACCTGGATTCTTATGCATACAAATATGGAGGTATGTGAAGTATATGGTCAAAATTTATATCTCACTCTTTTTCTCTTGCACTTTTATGGCTCAGTGAACTTCAGTTTTCAAGCATTCTGCAAGTACTGCATGTTGTTGTATAGTCTGTTGTCCTTACTTGCCACTGATCCTTTTGAATAGATGTATAGTTATACCTGCTTTAGCGTCCACCTGTCTATAAGACCCCTTGATCCCTTGAGCAGAGTTTCCCATTGAAACCTATATGAAAGGAACCTGTACGTAAAGACCATTTTTCTTATCTGCCTTGAGCAGTCACTATGTACAGGTTTCACTACCTATACAAGAAATTGTTTGTAACGTTGTAATCATGAGAACAAATATTTATGGTCCCCTCTGCCAAATCCACCTGCTCACATTTCTTTCCTTGTCATTTTTTTTTTACCTGCCTCTTTTTTTTTTTCATCTTTGATTTCATATAATTTTGAGGGCTTGACTTCCTTCTTAATGTTATGTAATCAGTTAAAGTTACTTTATCCCATTTGCAGGTTTAAAAAAATGGTTAAAAAATGGTGGAAAAGGTTAAATTCCAATGGCCTTTGAAAGACAATACTTATTTAGAACTTCCCTCAAAACACAAGGGTTTAAAAATGCCTTTTTGTGGGAAAATAACGACCATTAGTTGTTGAATCAACATAAGTGATTGCAATCACCTAAGTAATAGTCTGATATATTCTGATTTTCAGACCCTTGTACCAAATGGTCATACGTTTTGTGCTGCACAAACAATCAATCACTTTATTTTGGGCCATTACAAGTAGTGGGTTATTGATGTAGACAAATGCTCATTTTATGTATGTAATTACCAAAGAAAAAAAGATGTCAGTCAGTCACTCAATAGTGTCTGACAGGGAAGTCTAGAAAGTAAGCAGGTTTCCTTGCATAATTTGAACACTAGGACACTGCTTACTTTTTATTTCAAAAACTTTGTTGCTGCTTTTCTGCTTAGATTTGTCAGTTCAGATACTTGTACACTCCTTTTACTTCTGTGTTTACATGTATACGTATACTTAGTATAAACAGGTTGATAAGTCAATTTTTATCTCATCTTCCTGACAGGTCTGGTACCAATCATGGTAGGTCATAAGGCTGTTGACTCTGTGAGCGGGGACCTGAGCCCAGTGACAGGTGTACGCATCAATGCTGAGAACGGAACAGTGGTTCCTGTCACCCTCTCGAGCGGAGCTAAGAAGGCCAAGCCCCCTCTTGGAGCCGTAAGTTATCTACTTGTTTAAGATTTCTTCCTGTATCAACAATTGATAAGATTTCAAGAGTTGAATTTGGGATATCATGCTTTGTTTTGTTGCTCCATTAAGTTGGGAATGATATATTATGCTTGTGAATAAACTTCTTTGATAATAAAGATACCTGTTTCTGATTGAAGACCAAAATTGCAACCATTTTTAGTCAAAATATAAAAAAGGATCACTTTCTTTCTTCATCCTATTCTAAGCTAACCAATTTTTTTCTTTCTTTTCAGATACACTCCCATCTACACACTCATGTTTTAAAAGGAGTACACAAATGTCAAAGAAATATAATAAAAATCAAAGATACTTTGGGAATGCATTGTAATACAAGGATGTTCCAATAAAAAAGACTGTTGCACAGTAAGAGTTAATGATATACTACATGTACATGTATGCATGTACATACATGTAAGGTGTACCCATATTACAAATATTTTAACAGCAATTCTTCATAAAGTACATACACATACATTTGTTTTATCTATATTTTTGTATTGCCCGTCCCAGGTTTCCATGATTGAAGATGAGCTGGTTGCTAGGCGTGGCTTCTGGCGTCGTCAACGTCAACGTGAGGAAGAGATGGTCACGGTAGAGTCTCATCTCACCCATCAACTCATCCTAGAGATTGAGAATCTTGCACCAAACAAGGTATGTTCAATTTGAATCTTTCTTTGAGATGTGAATCACGTGTACTGATAAGATAAGGGATAATGAAAAGAATGTTTATGCATTTTAGAATTGTGTGAGGTTAATTAGGGTTACTGTATTCTGTTTCCAAACTTTTTATTTAGGGTTGTCTGGTCAATGTTTTATATGTATCATTCTCTCTTTTATTATATCTCTTAAAATATTTTTGTTTTGATTATTCAATGTAAAAAATTTCCTTTCCTCTTGCATTTGAGCACTTTCTATTTTAATACCTAAGGGGACTGTTGTGACAAGGCCACCTTGGTCTTTTATATTGATTTTAATTTTCTCTGTAGATCTGTTTATCGGATCGTAAAGGAATGACTTGCATGTGTATATGTTTTTGGAATTAAATAGATTGAACTTGAAACTTAAAGAAAAAAAGATATATCTAAAAGGGGGTTGTTGTCCTAGGGGTTATTGTGGGGGAGAGGAGGGTGGGGGTCTTGGATAGTAGTCCTGTTAAATTTCACTGAAGTAAATTTAACCATTAATTACAAGTAGTCAGAGTTTGAGGTACATGTAATGTCATTTCATATTTCTGTGATATTTTCTACCTCTGCCCCAGGTTGAAGAGGCTCTAGAGACCCTTGCAGAGCAAGCCAAGACCATAGAGGACTACCAACGTAGGGAGGTTGAGAGGAGGACTGAGGCTACAGAGGAGCTTGGTAACATCCTACCATCTTTCATCATGGCTATCCTCTCACTGGGTAAGGTTACCATGGAAACAGGGTGTGGTCATGAGTATTTTCAATTTTCAATCACTGGTGTTCAGTTCAGTTTAGTTCACTATATTCAACTACAGGTAAACAGGAAGAAGAAAAAGAGAAAGAAGGAATGGAGAAAGAGAGGGAGAGAAGAGAGTTGGCCTCAAGAGAAATTCCTGGACTGTTCATTTTGTTTGCATTAATATTATTTTACGGCTTTCATTAAGTCAGATTAGTTTTGTGACTTGCAAATTGCAAGCAATAAAACTAATTTGTATGCATTAAAACTATTCTAAATTCTTGTACTTGTATACATAATGAACATGAAGACTCTGCATATACATATCATATTATTTCATGTGTTCTTGAAATTGTAATTTTACAGTCATGATTTTTTTGTCTAGGTGATGAGCCGGAGAGAATAGCTGCAGAGAAGCACAACGTTGCACACACCAAGTACAATGACACTGTGCGTAAGTTCCATAACAGACTTCAGGCTGAGGAGGCTAAATACAAAGAGAGGATGGAAGAATTACAGGTAAGATGAGATCAAGATCAAAGTTAGTCTTCTTTCTCTCCAATATCATAATGTTACATGGCTACCTACCATTCCTATTTTGCAGGAAAGATGTCTAATTTTTAGCCTTTATACTAATGTAATGAACCATATATTGCCTGTCTTTTTCTGAAAACTTGTGTGAAAATTATACAAAATACACAATATTTGTACATTTGCTTTGGGATATTCCTAATTTTTCATAGAAAGGTACAGGAAGATTGATGTGGTGCTTTGAGATGAATATTGTCAATAACACGTCATACATAAACATGCATTTGTATCCTTACAATGTGATTTGCTATTCATGGAAATTACCAGAAATTGCCTTTAAAAATTCGAATTTCTTTCACATTTGATAGAACACTTTTTAAAAAGGCACACAAATATGACAAAAGTTGGATACATTTTGTGTTAAAAAATTAGGTAAGTGATACTAAATATATGTATCCATGTACTTCTTTAATACATACAGTAGATGTTTGTACTGTACATCTAAACCTACGTGGACCTTCAGTAAAATTATTATAGGATGTTTATTTGATAATGAAATAAGATTACAAAAAATATATGTTATGTTGTGGTCATTTTAGGACGCCTTGAACCCTGATGCCGAGGCCGGTGCTCTCCATCGTTACCGCCAGGCCAAGGCTAGGCTCTTATCGGACCTGAAGGACCAGCTTATGAGCAGGACTGAGAACATTGATGAGGACCGGGCCTCAATGGAGTATGCAAGAGAGAGGAGTGAGCTGCTAACACTGGAGGCAAAGGTAGGCAGGGATGGTGGTGGTGGTGATGATGGCAATGGTAGGTGGTGGTAATGATGATGATGGTGATATTGATTATTAAAATGACGTATGATGTTGGTGGTGGTAACAGGCTTGATAAATACCTGATTTAAATCGGTTTCCCAATTTTTTCCCAATGTTATATTGATTTTTCCCTTATTTTCTCTATTCTTCCCTATTTTTTCCTATTATTTCCCAATTTTTCTTACTCAAAAGGGGGAATGTTGTTAGATGTCATTTTTTTCCCCTGAATCCTCTCCTTTTTTTTTTCGCTCAAGGGGGCGTGGTTGAGGGGGAAAAAAAGAGTGATGATGATAACAAGGTGGTGATGATGATGATGTTTATGATGATGAAAATAACTGATGATGATGATGTTCGTGGTGGTTATGATGGTGGTAATGATGATGATGATGGTGATGACATTTCTACGAGTAGACCAAGTTCAAACACCATAAATTGCTCTCATATATATATATATATATACATTTCCTTCCGTTGATCTCATCATTCTTCAGGCTCTCTTGACGAACACCATCTACATCGCCGGTACCTTTGATGCAACCATCACCGGTGTTTACGGCGATACCACGGCAACGGAACAGTCCAGCCGAGAGGTGATCCCGCTCCTCAAGCAGCTGATTGCGATGTTAGAACGAGGCTCAACATTCAGCCTCTCTGCTGAGCTCATACAAGGCTTGCAGGGCGGAGGATCAACGTCGGTCACTGTGAGTAATATTTCTACTACAATAATCTGATGTTTGATATTGAATGAAAAATGTATGAAAATAAACTCATCAAATAGAAAACTAGGGCTCTTTTCTGCACAGATTACATGTTGAAATTTTCCAATCTTCAAAATTATGTCGGCAAAATGCTATGATTTTTTAGTAATCATTCGCCTTCTCAGTACTCTTTCTTTGTTTAGGGAACTCAGAGAAGATGCATAGTAGAGTGTAAATAGAATGATGCATCCATTATTTTGCCTTTGTTGGCAAGAAACTATTTCGAGAATCTTTGTGATAAGTTTGATAGTCTTTTGAGAATTTTTGTATTACATTTTACATTCTTAATCATTCTTATTGTTTATATGGGCTTAGAGAACATAAACAAAAAACAACATAAACTGCCACAGACAAACCTTGCGAATATGGTTCCAGCTCCTTGTGTAGACATTAACATTAATGAAGGATTAGACATTGATGGCTTTAAAAAACAAGTCCCAAATTCCAAATTTATTATGCCATTCAATGATTGTTTTCTCTCTCTAGGTGGGAGGTGCCAACAGCATCATCAACCGCAGCATCACGCAGGGAGCTAGCTATGGCGTCAACGTCACCCAGCAGCAAGGATACGTACCACCAGGTCAACCTGGGGGCAGGATGAATGTCACTCTACTCCAAGCCGCTCCTGACTCCAGGCCTCATACAGCAGGTTAGACTCAACCACCTTCTAATCTTTTCACTCAGAGGATTTTAAAGCCACACTGCACTACTTATAGCTATGTACTTGCACCCTCAATATAGCAAACAATGCCCAAGCAGTGACCGTTGGTCCCCCATGATCCTCTTTTTTTAATGTTAATCGAGAGCTGATTTGATGAGATAACCATCTGTCAGTGACCACGCAGGGAGGTCTAGTCCCTCCTGTAAACTACGGCAGATAATCTTTAAGTTTGTTTTGACAGAAGCAAACAAATGAGAGGAACAGTGAAAGTTTGAGCAAAATCTGATCAGAAAAATAGGGAATTTATGAATGTTTGAAGTTAATTGTCATCATTGAAACACAAATTGGCAACACCGTGACAACTCTGTTTATATTTTTTGGTTAAAAGGGCTATCATTTTGAAATACGATGGCTTGTAATCAATGTCTTTTTTTTTCTTTTTTTTTTGTTAATGGCAGCTGTGAGCTCTCATGACATCCGAAGCAAGCTGGTCGTTCAGGATACCTTACAGTCGCTGACGGAGGAGAGCAAGACAGAGATGGCTAAGACTCTGGTTGAGAGACAGACTCTGGAGTGTGTGAAGCTGGAAGAAGAGTTGAGAGGAGAAGAGATGAAATCTATTAATGCCATCATTAAGGTAAGATAAGAGAGATAGATTCAGACAGAGAGAGGGTGAAAAAAAGAGACAGACACAGAGAAGAGAAATATAAAGAGAGAGAGAGAGGGGGGAGGAGGGAAGAGGGAGGTGGCAGAGACAATGGTTGAAAGACAGATGCTGGAGAGTGTGAAGCTGAAAGAACACTTGAGTAGGAAAGAGATCAAGTCTATTAATGCCATCATTAAGGTAAGATAGAAAGAGAAATTCAGACAGAGAGAGAGAGAAAAAAAAAAAGAGACAGACACAGAGAAGAGAAATATAAAGAGAGAGAGAGAGGGGGGAGGAGGGAAGAGGGAGGTGGCAGAGACAATGGTTGAGATACAGATGCTGTAGTGTGTGAAGCAAGAAAAACTGAGAGAAGTGAATTTTTTTTTTCTTTCTTTCCATTTGGGGTGGGGGGGGGGGGGTAGGATAGTAACCATATCACATCCGAGATACCAGTATGCACCCTTTGAAGACAAAACAAGTACAACATAGAAGTGTAAAGAGGAAAGAACTTCATTGAATACATGTTAGCATTATTTCTCTTTCTGATGGCCTTTTCATTATCTTCCAATCTATGTTTGCAGACTCACGAGGAGCAGAAAGAGGAGAAGATAAAGATCACGAAGGAGGAGCTCAGAGCTAAGCTCAAAGGCGCCAAGACGGAACAGGAGAAGGAGAAACTTCTGGAAGACTTCATCTTGCAAGTAAGTTCCGTCATCAGAATTAAGTAATCACAGTTTTGTTGTGTGGCCTGCAAAAAGAGTTTGAATACAATATATGTGCAATTTTTTGTTAGTTATGTACTGAAAGGAAAAAGTAAAAAAAATGATATACATGTTTATAAAGGTCCAATACCTGCTCACAGTAAACAGTTTAGATGATATTCGGATGGATGACAACAGGACAACACACCAAAATTACAATGTGACATAGTACATGATAGAAAATACTGTATATGAACTACAAGATAAAAGCATTGATTTTTTTTAAAAGTGAATTGCTTAGAGGGATTTGAATATGTGGGTTTTTAGCATGGTTTGAAGATGTGTAGGGATGGAGCATTTTGGATATGGAGAGGGAGACTGTTCTAAAGTTTTCGAGTGGCGACATAGAGGGCTCTGCTATAGGTACAATTCATCTTATTTGTGTGTTTTTGTTTATAGTCGACCAAGGTGTCATCTGGAATTGAAGCTGATAAACAGAAGCAGTTGGAGAGTCTGAGGAAGAAACTTGATGAGAAGAGATCTCGCAAGAAGAAGGACCTACACAGGTAAATACCTTACTCATCATTTCTCCATGTGTCTTTCTGTTTGTTGATCTTTCCTTCTGTTGCACTTGCTTCTCTGTCATCATTTCTCTGTCTTTCCATTTGTTGATCTGTTTTTCTGTTGCACTTACTCCTCTCTCTCTCTTCATCTTATTCCTTGGTTGTCTGTCTGCTGCTCTTCTTGTCTTTCCTGATTCATGTCTCAGTCTGTCCATCCACCACTCTCTGTCTCTCCCTCTCTCTCTTAATCTTGATCTTCATCTCTCGTTATAGACTGTTTTTGTTTACACATTGTTTTAATTGTTGTTGGAATTTGGAAATAAATGATTTGAATTGATTTAAATTGAATACTATTTCAATGTTCTTCTCGTCTTATCTTGTCCAGTAAACACCTCTTGGAAGCCAAGCAGGAGGGTTTGAGTGAGGACATTGTTCCTGAGATGACTCAAGAGGATGAGGATCACCAAGCCAAGCTTCAGAGACTTCTTATGCTTCAACAGAACAAACTCATTGCTGAACTTCAACAGTCTTATCTTGAAGATGATCTCGAGGTAGGTTTAAAAGGATTGGGTATCTTTGTCTCAGATTCTAAACAAAATCCTGGATCGACCCCAATTGAGGGAAGGATTGCTTGGTGCAACACAGTGGCTTTGCAGAATTATCCATTTCCGGGTTTTCATTAGCTCCGTGACAACCCTGTTAACACCTTATAGCTTAATCTTGCACTGGAAACCGTTAAATAATCTTGTAATGCTAAGACTACATATAAACATCGCCATGGCAGAAGTACATGTAGAAGAACAAAAATTGACAGCCAGACGAGGTGTGATGCATATGCAATGTATTTACAAAGCATAGATGCATAAATATTTGTTTGGAAGCAGTTTAATGATGATGATGACGATGATTGTTGAACATGACTGGTGATGGTTGGGGATGAATTATTGATAATTGTTTTTTCAACTGATGATGGTGAAGATGCAAATTGTGATGATCTAGCTATAATGATTGTTTTACCTGACTGCTAAGAAAGTATGTACATGTATATGCTTGTTCGTAACCAACCAGGGGACCGATGGCTTAAGTCATCTCTGAGGGGCTTGGTAATGAGTATTAACGCCTTACAAAAGGGCACATGTGCATCGACTTGCGTTTAAACCGGGGACCTCACGGTTACAAGAGCACTGCTCTATCACTGAGCCATCGCGCCTCCCCACAAATGTACTTGAAGTTCTCAAAATATTTTCAACACTAAGCAAATTTTCTCTGCATATTATTTTGTCTCATAGAATGAGGAGAAGAGGAACAATGGATTTGATGAAGACATGGAGGAAAGGATGAGGAGGTTTAACCTGAGCAACAGACCAAAGATGGCTGCCATTGTAGATAACATGCAGTCGGTAAGGACAAGGATCCTCAAGAATCTTAAATGTTCTCTTCATAATAATAAGAATAATTGGATTTATATAGCGCCTTTTTCAAAGAATTCAAGGAGCTGTCTCTTAGTCTATCAACAATTTAAGAAGAGTTGTACAGGTATGTTTTTAGTTGTTTTTTTAAGAGATCTAGTAAAGTTCTATTTCTAAAGAAGAAAGGGAGTTTGTTCCAGAGATGGACTGAAAGGGCCACTTTATATTAACAATAATAATAATACAAATAATAATAATAATATGTTTTGTTTACCCAAGGTAGCCTCATTTTAGTAGTAGTTTAGCCTAGTAGTAGCTTAATTTTTTTTCTTCTACCACTTTAACAAAATATATCGTTAGATGATAAGGTGTGGCAATTCTCTCAAGCATTAAGCTTATATTGTCATAACTCTGTATAATGCATCTGTATTATTTACAATTGCAAATGTATAATGATCGTAATCTAGTGTTTACTACCGTGATGGTCATGATCATACTGAGTATGTATACTGTTGAACCATGCAGAAATAAATAAATAAATAAACATTTTTGTTGTTGTGATGTAGAATGCTTCGACGAACACGAAGACCAACTCCAACATGAAAGACAAGATGAGGAATAGAATGAAAGGAAGACGAGCGACCAGGAGTGCCAAAGACCTCCTACCAGCTGGTCTGGACCCAGAAAGTACCATTGCATTGGAGTACCTTGCAGGTGAGTTAGAGATGATGAGGAGGAGGAGGAGGAGGATGAGGGTGATGATTTCGATGACGATGATGATGGTGGTGTTGATGATGTTGGTGATGTGATAATGATAGTATTGATGATGATAAAGATGAGGAGGAGGAGGAGGTGGATGAGGATGATGATGATGATGATGATGGTGTTAATGATGATCTTGATGATGATGGTGGTGTTGATGATAAAGATGAGGAGGAGGAGGAGGATGATGTTGATGATGATGGTGTTAATGATGATGGTGATGATGATGGCAGTGATGATGATGGCGGTGATGATGATGATGGTGATGATGATGGCGGTGATGATGATGGTGGTGGTGATGATGATAAAGATAATAGTAATGATGGTGATGATGGTGTTGATGAAGTTGGTGGTGTGATAATGATGATGAAGATGATGGTAATTATGTTAAAGCTTATCTGCACTAGTTTGGCCCGGAGGGATTAGACCACACAGCAAGGTCACTGACAGGTGGCTATCTCATCAATTCAGCTCTCAAATAACATAAGAAATAGAGGATCATGGGGGACCAACAGGCACTGATTTGGGGAAGTTTTCTATATAGAGGGAGCAATTATAAGTTGCTACAAGTAGGACAGTGAGGCTTTAATGATGGTGATGATGATGAATGTAATGATGGTTATGATCGTTATGATGATGATGATGATGGTGATGATGATGTAAATGTGCATAACAAGGAATGATTTCAGAAGAGAATCCCAATAAGAGTGATGGCAGAACCAATGGTGACCCATCGCTGGCTAATATATTTTTTGTATTACATTTATTCAGAATCAAATTAAGTAAATAAAGCGGGACTGCACTACTTTTAACTACTTGCTCCCTCTATATAGCAAACATTCCTCAAGCGTTACCAGTTTGTCACCCATGATCCCCTTTTTCTTATGTTAATTGAGAGCCGATTTGATGAGATAACCACCTGTCAGTGACCACACAGGGAGGTCTAATTCCTCCTGGCCAAACTAGTACAGACAGGCTTTAACGTTGATGATGATAAAGATGATAATAAGGAGGAGGAGCAGGATGGTGATGATGATGGTCATAGAGATGATGGTAACAATGTGAATGGTGATGAGGATGATGTTAATGGTAACACCTCACTGGCTAATATCCTTTTTGGATTACCATTATTGAGAATCAAATTAGATAAATTAAAACAAATATTCTGTTATGATATTGTATTTCAGCTGATGCAGCTCAAGAGGACACTGATGGTACCCGTGGAATCAGCGCAGCTATGGAGGTCCTCACAGATATGGACAAGCAGAAACAACTCAAGGATGTGGAGGAAGCCATCCAGGTCAGTACTGAAATAAATACAGTGAAACCTGTCTATAAAGGCCTTCCAAGGCAGACAAGAAAAGTGGTCTTTATAGACAGGTGCCTGTAGTACATGATTTAATGAGAAACTGTACTAGTAAATGGCCTTGACTGGGATACAAGGTCAGTATTGAAATAATCATATACAGACAAACCTGCTTTAGTGGCCACCTGTCTACCAAGACCACATTTTTTTTCCCCTTAATAATGGTATCTCATTGAACCATGTATTATAGGTATCTGTACATAAAGACCACCTGCCTATAAAGACCACCTTTATAGGCAGGTTTCACTGTATTAGTGAATGGTCTTCACTGGGATACAAGGGTTATATCTCACTAGTCAGCACCATTAGTGAAATAGCAAGTGTGATACACCATTGTGTCCTACAAAAGAAAAGCCATCTAATATTATCTACATTTTCACCTTGACATAATGTCTGTAAGTTAACCAAGTTGCATGTTTTGCTTCAAAAATGATGGTAAAAAATGCCTACCTCAAACAGAATGGAGGGTTGATGTTGCATGTTTTTGTTCTTTGCTCCTGCAGCAAATTCTTGCTGATGAGGCTGATGATCTGACCCAAGAGGAGAAAGAGAAGCTCCTAGAGGCGTACAGGGAGATCAAGGAGAGCAGCCAGGAGAAGCTGGATGAATCCAGACAGGATCAGAGAGATCATCTCATGGCTAAGCTTGCTGCCAGGAAGAGACTGAAGGAAGAGGTTCTTAAGGAGGAAACGGTCGCAAAGGAACTGGAGCATCTCAGCAAACAACAGGTGAGGATAATGGTGGGAGCATAAAGAGAGAGAGAGAGAGAGACAGATGGAGAGGTAGAGAGAGGGAGATAATGAGATAGAAAAAGAGAGAGAGAAATAAAGAGAGAGAAAGAGAAAGAAAGAGAGGGAGAACGAGGAAGAGAGAGAGAGACAGATGGAGAGGTAGAGAGAGAGGGAGATAGGGAGATAGAGAAAGAGGGAGAGAGAGAGAGAGATAAAGAGAGAAAGAGGGGGGAAGAGAGAGAGGGAGAACGAGGAAGAGAGAAAGAATAGAAAGTGATTGAGAGAGTGACAGAGCAAGCATACATGACTGGGAGAGTAGAAAGAATAAGTAAATAAAGGAACTACCCAGATACCATATGTAGGAGGAGTACAGGACAGAGAGAGAAAAGTATAGACAAAGTGAAGTAGAAAGTGGGATAGTAAAAGTTTAACAAAAGAAAGAATAAGAGATAGACAGAAGACTGAAAGAAAGATGGAAGTGGGGATGTAAACAAAAGACAGTTTTTAGAGTGAGAAACAGAGAAACAGAAGGGGGGGGGGGGATCTTCAGAGAGAAACCAAAAAACGTGTACCTGCAATACATGTAATTGACAATAATATAAACTCATATAGAGTATTACATTATTTTTTATGGAGAGTTCCAGAGACAGAGGGGGAGAGGTAGAAATAGAAAGACCGACTGAGAAGTTATTTATTTGTGTAAATTCATTTAGCTTTTGTAGCATTCATCTCCTCATATCTTAATTGTAATCTTTTCCTTTTTATTGTAGGTCCTAAGGGGCAATGATGAAGGGCAAGACACTCTTACTGATGTCCATGACCGTGCCAACGATGAGGAGGCAGCCTTCAAGAAAAACAAACTTCTGGCAAGTCTTTCCATTTTTGTGGTTGTTCTACAGAATACTTCTTTTGAATTACATGTGTGACATTTATGATTTAATGGTAATTTCCAGTTTGTCTACTATATTTACATGGTATAATAATAATGTTGTCTAGTTATCATGTTGTCCAATGGCCATTTATGCTATAAGTTATTTGGTTTAATTTCCATTTGGTCTAATCTCCAATAATTCTACTACCCATTTTAGTCTATTGCTCAGGTAATCTAATTTCCAGTTGGCCCAATTCCCAGTTTGTCTAATGCCTTTAGAAAAAGAAGATTGCATTATCTATGACAGGGGAAGTACATGTACATGTAAGTTTGTCCATACATTCTTCTTGAGTGCTGCCAGGCCATGTAATTTCCTGCTGATAAACCTCTTTAAGCTTCAAGGAAGTCAAAGAGCTAATTGATTGATTGATTTAACAATGTCCCCACCCCCTTCCTGGATCCCTACAGGAGAACCAGCAGCACCGGCAGGAGGCCCTTGAAATCAGCCAGCAGATGGAGCTTAAGCGCTCTACCAAGGAGCTGGCGGAGGAGAAGGCCCGTCTGGAGGGGGCCGTAGCGGGCCAGCTGGAGGAACAGAAGGGCGAGGTGCTGTCAAGGAAACAGCAGGCATTTGAGAAGGAGATGCTGCTGAAGGGAAAGCAACTCAACAAGGATCAGTCCAAGGAGATGATTGAAAAACATCAGAAAGAAGTATGACAATTTGATACAAAAATTAGAAGATGTCTATTGTTGATTTGCATACCATCAAACCAGACATTTGTGCAAACTTTGCAACTGACCTAAGTAATAGGTTTATGCTGCAAAAGGATTGAATTACAAAAAATATTGCATTTGTGGCATTTTCAAAGAAAAAGCTGTCTTTGTCAATTTTGCAAAACTTTAAGTTCACAAAAGAAGTAAAACAAGAATTGGCAGAGGGCAACTTTCTAATCTAATCCTATGTCACCTAATCTACTTTACTCAAACTTAATCTGATATAAACTAATCTAATCTAATGTTAACTTGTAGAACCATATGTTATCTTGTATAATTTCTTTGAAAAATCAGAAGGGTATCCACACTCAAAGCATGGCTTAAGACAAGAACAGCAACAGGCATCCTTCCAATTCCAGATTAGTCTCATAATCTAATCTAATCTGAGCTGATTTAATATTATGTTAAATCTAACCTAATCTCTCTATTCTAATCCAATCTTCCAGATGGAGCACCTTTCCCAGAGCATGGACGAGGAGAAGAATCGTCAGAGGGCGGCCATCGCCGAGCGCATCGCTAAGAGGAAAGAACAGAAGGGAGAGAGCTTGAAACAGATGCACTCTGCTGAGATGAAACAAGAACTACTCAAGCAGAGAGCTGAGAGGGATGAGCTCGCTGACAATCAGGTACAGTCAAACTTTCTTTAGTATGGAAAGACTACCTCTCTACTCTATAAAGACCAAAAATTTTGTTTTCCTTGTTTCTCAATGAGACTTGTACCTAATGAACCTTTAAATACAATTTACCTGTTTGTTAGATATGTTTTTATCAGAAAACTTTTTCTCAGATTGATGGATAGAAAAATGGATTTGGATAGATTTTAGATGGATGTATGGAGGGGACCAAAAAAATAAATGTCATCTGGTTAGGGTTCCCTAGATAGATAGATAGATGGATATATTGTAGATTGATAGATAGATGGTGAATACGTTTTGATGGAGAAATGGTGTAAAAGTACTTGTCATGTGTAAATAAAGGGGTAGAATGTGTATTTTTGTTTACATTTACAAATTACGTGCCTCTGCTGATGTTTTTTCTCTTGATTTATTATTGTTTTCTGTCTATCTCTAGCACAAGAATGTTGAGCGTGGTGCCCTGGTGGATGCTCTCAACACTGATAAGACTTCTAAGGCTGAGAATGTCATCTACAGAGTGCTCAGACAACGACATATCAAAGAACAGGTTCACCAGGTAAGTGTCACATGACAGTCACATGGCAGTCAAAGGACAGTCACACTTTAGTCACATGATAGTCACGTGATGGTCACAAGATTGTAAAATACTAAACATCTCATCATGTAATGGTCACATGACAGTGAAAAAAAAGTATTGGTCACATGATAGTCATGATTGTTTCATGATAATCACATGTCAGTCACATGGGTTTCAAAGGGTTTCACATGAGTCTCTCTTCTCTAACACATGACTGAAACGTCAGTGTACAGGACAAAGAATAACTTTAAAACAAAAAATTCTTCTCGGAGACAGTATGATTGTGAGCATATTTCAATATCATGTATATTTAAACCATTGTAGAAAATTTAGTTTCATATGACAAGGTAAAACCCAAGTGTTCTCAAGCAAAAGCTACAAGGTGTTCAGAAAACAGATTTTTGCCAGAAGGGTCTGAAAGAGTGTGAATGCAGTCATCAAAATTATCTACCCGGTACCTAAGATGCATAATCCTTGAAAGTAACGGAACCAGGTCCAATAGTAAAGAAGTGTAATGAAGCTACATGTATATATAGTTGTAAGCTTTTCCATAATTTGGAATTCTTATTTTTTTTACTAGGAGGAGCAAATGGAGCAGGAGAAGGAGGTTGAGATGGCCCGCATCAAGGCCAAGGCAACGGAGCATCTCCAGAAGGATCGGGATGCCCTGGTAGAGGCCCAGCAGAAGGAGTTCCTGGAGCTGGTGGCCAACTCTGGCTCCATGTCTCCTGGTGAGCTGGAGGACAAGAAGGAGGCTCTGCAGAGACAACATAAGGTAAGAGCAAGGATTGTAGAAGAATGAGGGGAAATAGAATGGGGCATGGCTGGTAGAGTTTGTAGAGAAAGGGGTGATAGGGGGTAAGAGCTGGTGTCCAACTCTGGCTCCATGTCTCCTGGTGAGCTGGAGGACAAGAAGGAGGCCCTGCAGAGACAACATAAGGTAAGAACAAGGATTGTAGAAGAATGAGGGGTAATAGACAGGGGTAATATAATGGGGCGTGGCTGGTAGAGATTGTAGAGAAAGGGGTGATAGGGGGTAAGAGCTGGTGGGTAGCTCTGGCTCCATGTCTCCTGGTGAGCTGGAGGACAAGAAGGAGGCTCTGCAGAGACAACATAAGGTAAGAACAAGGATTGTAGACGAATGAGGGGTAATAAAATGGGCCAGGGCTGGAAGAGATTGTAGAGAAAGGGGTGATAGGGGGTAAGAGCTGGTGTCCAACTCTGGCTCCATGTCTCCGGGTGAGCTGGAGGACAAGAAGGCGGCCCTGTAGAGACAACATACGATAAAACAATGATTGCAAAAGAATGAGGGGTAATAGAATGGGGCGTGGTTGGTAGAGTTTGTAGAGAAAGGGGTGATAGGGGGTAGGAGCTGGTGGGTGGTTCTTGCTCCATGTCTCCTGGTGAGCTGGAGGACAAGAAGGAGGCCCAGCAGAGAAAACATAAGGTAAGAACAAAGATTGCAGAAGAATGAGGGGTAATAGAATGGGGGGGGGGCGGCTGGTAGAGATTGTAGAGAAAGGGGTGATAGGGGGTAAGAGCTGGTGGCCAATTCTGGTTCCATGTCTCCGGGTGAGCTAGAAGGTAAGAAGGATGATTGCAGATACAACTGAAGGTGAGACTAAAATATACTAATAGGAAGGGGTGTGTGGCTGGTAGAAATGGTATAAGTAGAGTTGGTAAGGGGTGTGAGCTAGCTCTTGGTGAGCTTACTTTGTGAGCTACCTATATGGGGCTAACCTTGGCTTCATGTCTACCGGTAAGCTGAACGATAACAAGGGAACTCTACATAAACAGCATAAGATGAGACCAAAGGGAGTGGCTGGTAGAATTGGTAGAGGGGTATGGGTTGAAGTTGGTGTTGGTCTGTGGCTCCCAAGAAAGGACTAAAGGCTTGTTCAGATGCAGCGTGGTAAACCACTGCTAAAATAAACTTGCCTTTTCTTTTCTTCTTCTTGTAAATGAATAGCAACCACGTACAACAATGGACTTGCATAATTCACTGAGCTCTGTGTCATAAGATAAAAAAAAGTGAGGCATATTGCACTTTACTTCATCATTTAAAAAAAAAATTGTTGCGTTGTATCTGAACGGGCCTTGAGTAACATGAAATCCTCTGTTGACAGTGGATCTCAATTAATTTTGAATTATGTTAGTCACCTTTACACACAAATTTCCATCATCCACAGAAACAACTAGCCGAGTTTGACCGTGGGTCAGCCCAGAAGATAGATCAGGCCGTGAAGGACTGTCTCCCGGCCCTGGAGGTCAAGCAGGCCCAGGCTCGTCTGTCTCTCAGGGAGAAGCAGCTCCAGGAACTCGCTGAAGCCATGAGGGATCTCTCTCCAGAAGAGGTATAGTTATATAGTCAAAGAAGCCAACAAGGCCATCAAACAAGCCAACATAGGCCATCAAACAAGCCAACAAAGGCCATCAAACAAGCTAAACAAAGGCCCTCAAACAAGCCAACAAAGGCCATCAAACAAGCCAACAAAGGCCATCAAACAAGCTAAACAAATGCCATCAAACAAACCAACAAAGGCCATCAAATTGACCACAATGGTTCATGGAGATGGTGCCTCCAACATATTCTCCTTCAACAATTGCTTCAAGCCTTATTTTATCAAAGGAATGAGGTTAGGTTTTCAATTGGGTCTTAGGTTAGGTTTTAAGTAAGGGGTTAAAGCAAGGTACCGTTTTTAAGGTCTGAGTAGAAGTTTAGAATTCAGTTAATGTATGATAAATTCAATTCAGATTCAAATACTTGTATATTCCATTTTAATTGAAACCCAATTCTGATTCCTACCCTCAGGCACTTGTCCAGCAGTATACGGAGCTTGCCGAGAAGGCAGCAGCCGACGCCCAGAAGTTCCGAGAGACCAAGGTTGCTCAGATGCAGGGAGAACTGGACAGCATCAAGGCTGAGAAGAAGAGAAGGGATGATGCTCGTAAGGCAAAGATGGAGCAGGAAGTTGCGTAAGTAACTTGATTTTCCCCATTGATCATGTATTTTCCCCTACCCCTAACCCGACCCCTTACTGTTTCAGAATCTGAGACAATGACAATGTTATCAAGTCACTTTAATTATTTCTCTTTGCTGACAGTGCCCTGGAGGCTGAGCTGGAGAACGACAGGATCCGTGAGGAGGAGAGGGAGAGGAAGAGACAGCTGGAGAAGCAGAGAGCCAAGGAGCAGCAGAAGGAGGAGGCCGAGAGACGTCTCCAGCAGGAGCTCCAACACAGTGAGGGCAACGAGGCTGCCAAGGAGGTGAGAACAGATGATGATTGTGATGGTGATGGTAGTGGGATAAGGAAGAAAGGGGGAGAAAGGGAAGATCATGAGGATGAAGATGAAAGATGATAATCATGTTTTTGATGGTAGTGGGGGTAAGGAAGAGAAGGGGAAAAGGGGGAGATCATGAAGATGAAGAAGATGAGAGGAATGATGACTGAAGATGAAGATAAATGATTTTATTGATTGTGATGACAAACTATCAGACAATTATGATGAAGAAGGGGATTGCATGGTGGAGGTGATGATGATGATGATGATGATGATGATGATGATGACGACGACGACGACGACAAAGACCATGAGTATCTTTAACAGTAATATCATTCATTGTACTTAACATCTTAATTCCAAAACCTAAATTTCCCTTATCAACAGAAACTCCTCCAGGAGCACAACGAGAACATGAAGCGGTTCGAGGGGAACTTCCAGAAGGACCAGCAGAGGAACGCTGAGAGGATCAAGGCCAGACTGGAGGCTAGGAAGCAGAAGAAGCAGGAACAGGAGATGGCAAGGATCCAGGGAGACATCAGGAACCAGACTGATATTGATGAGAGGAGAACACAAGACCAGATGAATCTCATTAAACAGAAAGGTATGAAGGACCCCCATAGGTCAGGTCAAGGGTCAAATAGGCCATTTAGAGCCAGATTCCGATGTTGCAAAAATCACTGTAAATGACATGAGTGTATTATGCTTCACAATCAGGTAGAATGTATAGGGGCTTTTTGTTGTGCTGTCTTTCCTTTCATCCCTCGCGTCTTCCCACTCATTTAATACAGGTTTTTAAAAAACGGTATGGCTGTTTTTTAGGTGGTTAAGGTGGTTGTTGTGTGAACAAGGCTCAAGACAGTAGTCAGTGAGACCACAGGAAACACTATGTCAAGGGATGTCAGTTTTCAGGCTCTATATTGTACTGTTTGAACATATTGTACATGTAATTTTGGTAAAATCATATGGTATCCTTGTATGTCATAAGCATTTGTAAACAAGGAGCTGTTACTGTTTATCTGTCAATGTCATTATTTGTACCAGGTCCTTCTGAGCTCAATCAGAACAGTGCAAATGCCTGGCATCCCAAGACCTTAAGAAGATCTGGTTAAGAGCAATATATTGTAGTACAGTGTAGTAGTAGAGTGGTGGTTATTTTACCTGACTGCTAAGAAAGCATAAACGCTTGTTAGTAAGCAACCAGAGGACCGACGGCTCTAGGTCCTCTCCAAGGGACCTGGTAATGAGGATTAATGCCTTACCAAAGGGCACTAGCGCATCCTCTTTGTTTCGAACTCGGGTCACCAGATTACGAGACCACTACTCTACCAACTGAGCCAACGCGCCTATCGGAATTGAGTGTAGCTTTGACAGAAAGCCCCTCATGTTTTCTTGTTCTTGTTTTGTTATAACCAGGTGCTTCTGAGCTGAACCAGAACAGCGTGAACTCCTGGCGTCCTGAGAACCCCGGAGACTGGGCCCAGAGAAAAGAAGACGGTCTGGACGACAAGCCTGACCTCCCCGAGGGGGTCAACCAGGCCATGTACTCCGCTCTCATGGCGTCACCCTTCTTCACCGATCTGAAAGAGATTGAAGAGATGCTCAAGGATACGCTTGGATTCAAGGATGGCGTCAAAGGTCAGTAGCCATCTCTTGAATCCACTTTCTCTCTCAATTTTAGAAACATCTTCTGCAAAAGGATCCAAATGCTGCATTATTTTCCAAAGAGTGGATGCCTTTCCAGCTCTCAGCAGATTAAATATCCCTTTAAGATTTAATTAAATCAATTTACTGTTGAGAGCTGAAAGAGTTCAAGAAACAAAAGAAGGCAGATTTGCTTGACTGTCAAAAGGGGTGTGGAGGAGTTCGCAAAAACTGTTTGATACTCATTTGTGAAGTAGTAGTTACGTATCTTAAACCAAGTTTATGGCTCATCTTTTTTAACTGCCTGGGATCACAATGTGTATGGCGAGTTGCAATACAGCAATTGGCATCATTTTCTCATCCTGCAAACTTTTACAGATGTATCTCTACTGGTATTTTGTTGTTAACTCATGCCACAGGACTAATCCCCATTGTGCGAAGTGTATTTTGAGATAAACTGATTAACACAATAGTTCTATGAACAGCGCGTGAAAAAAACACAGCACAGTACGATGAGCATAAACAATAACTGCCATTACGAATGCGTAAAAGCATGCACAAAGCAGTGAAGCAATGGCTCGCTCGCATAATAATAATAATAATAATCCGGTTTTTTATATAGCGCTCATCACACCGATCCAACGATGTACCTAAGCGCTTTACAGATATATTATTACCCCGGTCATCGGATTCAGGCTTACCCGCACACAATGTGTGCACATTTTCCACTCCCTGGGGAGCATTCCAGCCAGTCGCCATTTTACAGGCGCACACTTGCTCGTTCAACCACATGAACGTTCGCATCCTACCGGGTACCCATTTAACACCTGGGTGTAGAGTAGCAAGTGCAGGTAAATATCTTGCCAAAGGATATTAGTGCCGTGTCGGGATTCGAACCCTCGACCTTCGCATCTACAGTCAAGCGCCTTAAACCACTCGACCACGACACTCCCACCATGTACAAAGCACTATGACGGTAGCGTGCATGGCAGGATATTAGTTAAATGTACAATAGGGTTGCTCTTTCAAAATAAAATGAGGATCTAACCATGTATATGTCTCTGTCTTCAACAGGTGCTGTAAACGACCCATTCATCGACTTGAAGGATGCACAATGGATTCTGGGAAGCGAGATCACCCCGCTCGACATCGACAGCATCTCACCGAGCCAGTTCATCGTCTACCGCTTCGGCGTCTTCGTCACTCGTCTCTTGCGCCTGACCCTGCGCATGCCCGACGTCACGCTCCTCCTGGCATCCTCACTCCCACAGAATGACTACAAACGTAACATGTTCAGGCATTCGTTCTTCTACCAGCATGCGAAGAAGATCTTGTTTGTGCGCCACGAGAGGCTGGACTCGGTCGGCGAGTTCGTGATGGTCATCGTCCATTGTCTGGCGCACATCAAGGTCAACGACCTCACTGATGATACCAACCCGTACTTCCTACGAGAATTCTTCAAGGTAAGTGTGGGGTTCTAAAAACCAATGCTCAGGAGATGATGGTCCCATTATCAATATTCCATAGCAACCAAACTCAACCCTGCACAAAACACTATACATTTACCCTAACCCTAAAATCACCCAAATCCTTTTGCTCGATGAAATAAAGCCCAGAGGAAATGTCTTGCATTATGTGTAGATATAAGTGACAGATAAACTAAGGCCGTAGAAGAGAGACAAAATGAATTATTGAAGATTTTGAAACTTCATTATTTTTCAAGGTTTTGTTAAAAACTCACTCCTTTGCTTTATCAATGCTAAAAATGTCAATTCTGTTTTTTTAAAGAATCCTACGTTCTTTCATCTCCTGTTATCTAATTCCCATTTTTACACTTTTTTATTTCTTGTAGGGAATGAAGATGATCTGCCAAGATATGTTCTTCTCAAGAGCAAAGGTCACACAGGGCTCTAGGGCTCTCGTCGGGGCATGATGTCGAAAGGAAAGCGCCCTCTGGAGGCCATCTTCAAGCAGGGCAAGGGAGGTAACGAGAAGGCCGCTGTCGTCACGGAGCTCATTGATACACGAGTCAAGCATACCGACAAGGAGGACTTTACTAAGGAGGTAACGTTTTCAGTAGATGCATGTATGAAATTATGAATGTGTTTTTGGATATGTACTCTTCCATCTTACAATCCATTTTATTTCATACAGTATTTCATGTGCCATTTTAAAGGCTTGTTGACATAAACCAGAGTAATCAGAGCTGGTTTAATTACCACAGAATGTTTACGTACATGTATTTGTACACACTCCTGTAGGTACATGTATGAAATCACAATTATATTTTTTCTAGGGGATCCACATAAGCACTGCTTTTTAGTGGATCCCCCCCCCCCCCCATTTCCTCAGAAATTAAGAATTTCTTTTGTGATAATTTTTTATGTGAAAAGTGTATTTGTATAGTAACCAGAAAAAAATTATTATGTATGAAAAAAATGTAATATCTTTATTTACCTTTCTGTTGGAAATGAAATAAATATAAATTATAAATCTGTTATTGCTATGATACAGAACATCAAGGAACGCATCACTGATGAACAGGCTGCATCCTCCAAGGCAAGGCTGAGGGAATACATGGTGTCTCATGGAGGATTCAAGTCAACCTCAGACTTTGTGGAGACGAGACTCAAGGAACTCAGAGGCACCAAGACACCGGGAGATGAAGGCAGAAGGTAAGAATTTCAAAACTGTTTGCATTTGAAAATTTTATTTTCTGAAGTTTGATTTACTATATAAATTAAACTGACTTTTCAGTTATCACTTATCATCTGAGCTACAGTGTATACAGGATATTAAGTTGTGTACCCTGAAAATATTGTGATTTTTACACAATTCTAAGATTTGGATCCTGAGTTGAACTTTAGTTAGTGTTGGAAATCATCATGGATCAATTGTCGCAGGATTTAGTGTCTACTACCAGAAAAAACTTGCAATCGACATTGGTATTTTTTAATCTTGCCAGGCCTACCATCCATATCACGGCGACATCGAGTCTCCGCAGCCAACGAGAGCTCTTCGAACTCCAGATCACCCAGACCAACACCCAGCTAGACCAACTCAACAGCCAACTCGCCAAGTCGATGCAGGATCTTCAGGACGCTAGAGAAGGCATCAAGCGAGCGGAGGAGGAGCCTTCAGCAGCCGGCACAGCCCAGCACGGAGAAGGGGAGAAGTCGGCCGAGGTGCTTCGTATGCAGGCATCAGCACTGGATATGAAGATTACCAACCTGACGAAGAAGGTCGATCAGGTGGAGGCGGAGCTTGTGAAGAAACGCAAGGAGAGGGATGCAGCTTCGTAGATCATCTAAAACATCCATCTCTAAAGCCCACACGTTGTTTATTTATGTATGTATGTATGTATGTAAAAGCCCATGCTCAAAAGGCAAAATATATACGCACATGACTGAGCTTTGTTTTTATAATTCCTTCACATACATCTTTGATCAGTTGTGGAATGGCAAAATTGAACTTTTGTATGTTTCTCGATCAAAATTGCTTGGTGCCTTTTTGTTGTAAATATGAATAATTTGTGTGAATCTCCCGTCCTTTTTATAAATTATCACTCAATGTGAGAAACATGACGTCCAGAAAGTTTTCCTGTACTACAGATTTTATTGCGAACGAACAAAGATTTTAATGATTATTTTCATGAACGAAGAATATAATGATCACAGATTTGTACATATTTCTAATTTTATATCGTATTGTGTGTGTGTTTGTTGTGAAGTGCAGTTTCTAAATAGACTATTCTATTTATATCTATTTCAATCAGTGTGAAAATCAATTATGAAATGTATTTAGTCAAGTAAAATTTATACTTCAGAGCTTAAGGTGTTATTAAATATAATACGCAAAGCGTAGATGGGAATTGTGAGTAAGGAAAATAATGCTTCAAAAGATTAGATTTTCAGTTGTAGTCTGTAAAAGTGCATAAGTTTGGTCGAACACAAAGATTATGGCGCACTTCACATGATGGAATATCTACCTGTATATTTATATTTGAAGAATTCAATCTCTCAATTTTAGCAATAGATGAACAGATTTTTGTGTGTGTGTTTAGTAATTAGTGTTTATTTGCAAATATCTTGGAAATGTATGATCTTTTCAGTGTCAGAAGGATGCTTAAGTATGCAAGTTAATACTCTTATGGCAGACAATATGTAGATTTAACCTTATTTGGTTTGGTTAGATTTTGTATTTTATTAAATGCTATTCACCAAATGCCCTCATATTCCGTCCGAATAGTGTTTTCAGTTTTAGTTCAGAAAAAAAGGGAGAAAAATCATTTTTGATATGATTATAATGTCAAATCATGAGATCAAATAATTGAGAGAGATGTGTAACAAAATTAAATTCAAAATCATTGTTCAAATATTCATACAGAGTCTGAAATCTTGTGTTAAAAAAGAGTTGCTCAATAGAATCACAGAATCAAATCATATTATTGAATCATTGAGATAACAAAATTCTTTGTACAAAAGCATTGTGCAAATTTTCACCTGGAGTTTGTGATCTGTAAAATCAGTCTGGAATTGAATACATAGGGCAATACCTGACAAAATTGAATGTCATTACTTTAGTGTAACATAAATCATGCCAAATTGCAACCTGTTGTTGATATCAGTTGCTGATTTATTAATCTATAAAAACATTGTCTTTAAAATGGAAATCACCTTGAACTATGTTTTGATTACCAGTATTTGTTTGACCAAATATTATTGAATGAGGAGCACCTTGATTGTATAATTGATTTTAAAAAATTGAACTACATTTACAATGATCTATACAGTGTCTTTCAAATTTTAGTATTCTGTTAGTATTTTTTATAAATTTTGATATTAATCGCATGCCTATGTTCTCTTTATTTGAAAACAGAACGAAAAATCCACCGTAATTGCGTACACATATGTCTATCCTCCTTTGGCGATGAACAAAAGCGATTACAAATAGGAAAGGAAAATCATGGAATAAACTTGATCTTTGTAATCTGAAGTTTCATAATTTTGTATGATAGTTTTCACAAAAATTAATCTTTTTCTTGGAAGAACTTGTATCTTTAAATATTTTGTGTGCTGAACATTGCAGCAAATGTTGTTATATGTATAGTAGTATTGAACTTTTTAAATTCTTCCAATTTGTGTTTGATTTTGTACACTCTAATGCCTTGATCAAATTCAATAATATTACTTTCTTCTATGCATTCCAATGTTACTTGTAGAGTTATATGACAGAATAATTAATGCTTGTATATTTTGTGATTGATATTGACTACTCAGAAATGTATTATGTTTGAGAATTGAAGAAACAAATCTATACAGAATTTACCTATCAAGAATGCTTTCATGAATAGTTATGTGCTTATTTACATATTTTTGGAAAACTTGTATGATATGAGTGCCTTTTCCGTCCTATATTGTGTACCTTTTTTGTTTGTTTTCTTAGAAATACAATAAAAGCACCTGTAACATAGATTATTTGTCTTTATTGTTACTAAATTGTTTTATTTTACTAAATTGAAAGAGAGAATGAGATAGAAAAAACGAGTGTGAGATATAGCAAGAAAGAAACAGATATATATATATATATATATATATAGAAATGGTGTCACAGAGAAAGATAGGGAGACAGAGTGGGCAAAAAAAAGAGACAGTGAGAGAGAGAGAGAGAAATAGATGGACAAAGAAAGATGAAGAGGGGAGATGCATCGTTTTTAAATCATCACTTGTTCAATATTAAAATCAAACAAAGGAACATAACATAATTGGAATGTGCATGTCACACCAAAAATATTGCCCAGGTCATGCAAGCGTTAATTACATGCATGACAGCCCCCCCCCCCCCCCCTCCCCATCCCCCTCCACAAAAATGTGTAATATAATACGACATAAAATAAAAGTAAGTACATATATAAACTATTTTCGATGGTGTTCAAGCTTCAGAAATAAATAATGATCAGGATTCAGGGTAGTTCAGCTGTTGAGAGCCAGAAGGGCGACTTTACTCAAATTGATATTATAAATCACGCCCAATGGCGCCGCTCCCAGCTCCTCCAAGCACACGGTTTGTGATAATGCCATACAGTTCATTGTTTCCACCTTGTTTAAGTTCGTGTGTTCGGATGAAGCATGTGTCCCGATCCCAATTATTTTAGATTGGCATTTCAAGTCTCTAGCATGATTTTATTTTGTCGACTCCTCCCCTCCCATCTTTTTTTCTCTCTCTGTCTCTCTCCCTTTTGTTCTCACTCTCTCTCTCTCTCTCTCTCTCTCTCTCCTCCCACTAACCCTTCCTCTTCCTATCTCTCTGTTTCTTGCTTTCTCTGAGATTCTTCCTCTTTTACTCCCCTCTCTCGAGCATGGTTTCTTCCTCTTGTATTAGTATTTCTTTACCCCCTCATTCCTCACCTATTTCTCTCTTTTTTTGTTCCACATACATCCAAAATCATTTAAAGATTGAAAAACTAGATCATTTGAGAAATTTAAAAATATATTTAGTGACAAGTGTTTTCTCCTAAATATATTTTTCTGCTTTATTGTAATCCCGAGAAAAAAATGCTTTTGTTTTTTGAAATTTACGTGACCATCTTTCATTTGTGCCTGTTTTCTTTGCTAGGGGGTGGGGGGGGTGTAATTATCTACTGGTTTCCAACTGGTAAATCAACTGGTAATCATCAATTCGAGGCCCAACTTGGGTGACTTTTGCTCAATTAATAAAACGATGGTGGGGATTGACAAATGCTTGCAATTACCTCTATCGTGTTGGGCAAATTATACCCAAAAGTGTATACAGTACTGTAATAAGGAATGTTTATTTGAAAACTCTTCATGTAAGCCCAACCTAGCATTTAGGAGTAAAAATGAACAAGAAACAAATTCCATTGAGGGCGCTCATCCAAGCTCATGTGTAATGCGATGGAGCAAAGCGACTGAGCGTTCAAAAAATGTTCTACATTCACATCCTATTTCGCTGGGCGAGTGACATTTTTATTTTTCTGAAAACCAGCGGCCACGAGCAAAAGAACCATGCAGGTCAGTGTGAAAGAAAAAAGATCGCTGTTTGCAGAAGAAGATTACAATGTATATAGGGTGTTTTTATGTTTCGTTTAAGGACACATTCACTCTGAACACGCCCGAACAGATTCCCCCCCCCCCCCATAAAAAAGGAACAAAAACAGATAACATTTAAAATTTTAAAAATTCTAAGGCAATTTCTATAGCTCTTTCCATTTCCTTTTTAATATTCGAGCATTACAATGGCGGAGAAAGGGAATCCCAATATGACTTTCTATAGATAATAGAATGGGGTAATAAATTGCCTTTGACTTGATTTCTTGAAAGTCTTAGCGACGGTGTTTCTGGACAATGGGGGTATTTAGCTCTCTGTAAACGAATAGAGACCCTTTTTTATGGGGGAGGGGGAGCATTTAAGCCATAGTTCTTTAATTTTGTTGTTGTTGAGGCATTCTTGCTGGCTATTGGGAGCACACCATTATTGACTAAAAACCTAATGTATTTGATTTGAAGAAAACCGATCGAGCGTTATAAAGTTCGACATTCTTCTACTTCTGCGTTCTTCACGCAGTGTACAAATTCATTTACCTTCTTTCTGTAGTATGCAGGACTGAAATGATCATGTCACGTATGTGTCGGTATTCCTCTACTCTACAATAAAGGTTATCATATTTATAATTCATTAAAACGATAAATAAAAACTATGTAAATACCAACTTTCCACTCCACCATTTACTTTATTACTAAGCTTGCTTTTGTACATTTTTTGTTGCGCACGATATTAAATACAAATGATAGTTACAGTACTCTGCTTTATATCAGCAGTATCAGAAAGTAACTAAGCAATCAAACATTGAAACGAGCTACAGTATAGGATGTCCCTGAAAATAGAACCCCAAGCTTATACTCGTAAATTACTCAATTATCCTTGATTATTTTCATTAATGTATACATCACTGCATAGCTAATTTTCCTTTATATCATATGACAACAAGAATATGACTGAATTAAGATGATGATAGATGTTTTGAAAAGACAAATTATTTGGGAATATTAATTATCGAAACTCATCATGTAGAGACTGACATTCTCATCTTCCGTGTGAATGCTTGTAAGGCTAGCCTAAACACTTATCTTTCACACAGTTAATGAAATACATTTCATGTGATTATTAAGTTCGTCATATGTACATTTTTCTGCGTACCTTAGTTTGCACCTATATAAATTATTATCTCACATTTGCACTGATATACGTACATTCCTGTCATATTCCTTCATTAATTCGTGTAAGTTAATCATGTATATGGTTTAGAGGCACTTAACCTTGATCTCTGTATGAAGGTGAATTATATATTTATTTATTAACGTTGCGGCTATGTGCACATTAACCAAAAATAATTCAGGATTATTGAGTAATTTAACGATAAACTTCAATCTCCTCTTTTCAAGGACACCCTGAACAACAAAGATTATACTTTAACAAAATCGGTAACGAAAAAACTTAAAATAATCTAGATTAAATTACAATTTTCTGAGTAAAAAAATAAGAAGCACAAGAACCTGTATTTAAAGTATAATCATGGAACAACTGAGTAACTTCAAGAACTGCATGTATTTGCCATTACTTTGACAAAGGTTTAAAGCCAAAAATCAGTACATTTTGTTTATCCTACGATTTCTTTCTCATTATTTCTTCCTCACTTGTCTATTTTTCGTCAACCACCGCAGGAGTATATATATGTAGATATATACATATATTTTTCCACGAGATTTAACAAATATGTCGGTCAATTAAATTTGGTGTCGCCGAAGCTACTGGCCCGTCGTTGTGGTCTAATCATTGGCATTCTCTGCCAGTGACACGGTTCGATTCCCGGTAGAGACAGTTTTATCAACCTTTGCAAAGAAATTTGTAAAAAGGGACAGCAACGGGGAACTTTGCTTTTAGTTACATAACCATCATTGTCTAATTTCCTTTCGCATTATATTTATATATATCATGTCATGACTAAAAATGACTAGAATGAATTGAATACAAAAAACTATCGTACCACGATCGTCATCATGAGCGTGTGTGGTGTGTCTGTCTGTCTGTCTGTAACTCTTTGATTTATAATATTCGTTCAGTATAATTAATTTGAAAACATTATGTACTGTGTATTTGTTGAGAGATGTACAATTTTCTTTATATTTTCATATGTTATGTAAATCAATGAAGCTGTATGTTTGTTTGTTATATATTTTGTACTGAATGAATACAATCAAACAATGCTACAAAACAAAAAAATAATTGTACTTTTTGTTCAAAAATGGACAAAACTCTTTTCATCATGAATACTTCGACAAGGTACATATACATTGTACAGATATAATTCGTCATTGTATAATTTCGTTTAAAAAAGATGATATGATATTTAAACGATCACCTGATTGCCCGAATATGTGGTGACGGGTTAATATTGGTAATTGCAAAAAGCCTGGGGAAAAGGGGGATGGGGGTTCTGTATAGCCTTGTGGTTAAGGCAATGACGTTCTCAGCCAGTGACCCGATTCAATTCCAGACGGAGACAATTTGGTTCAACCTTTGCACAAAAAATATTGGAAAAGAGGACAGCAATTGGAACCTTGGATTTACCATTATTATCTAATTTCCATTCGCAATATACATATATATATATATATATATATGTTATTTCATGAGTAAAATTTATTAAAATGAAGAGAATAAGTAACCCATCGTAACATCACCATCATCATCATACTTCTTTCATCAATGAAAAGATCTGTTCTCTGAGTAATACACCGCAAAGTATTATTAATTAAAAAAATCATATAACCATGAATGCTCCGATAAGGTACATATAAATGTACATACATAATTTCGTCATTAAAATATATTAAAGATGATAACAAATAACAATCACTTGGTTGCCCGAATATGTGGTGACGGGTTATTGGTAAATGCGAAAAGATCGGGGAAGGGGGAAGGAGGGTTCTGTATGGCCTAGTAGTTTAGGCAGTGGCGTTGTCAGCCAGTTACCCGGTTCGATTCCAGACGGAGACAACATTTTGTTTAAACCTTTGCAACAACAACAAATCGGTAAAGAGGACAGCGATGGCGACATTGAATTACCTTTAGAATCTAATTTCTATTCGCAATATACATATTTATCTATTATTTCATGACTAAAAATGGATTGAAAAAAGCACCATCGTACCACCATCATCATCATCATCATACTTGTTAAACAATGAAGAGACCCCTCCTCTAATTAATACCCCACAAAGTATATTTATTATTGCTTGGAAGTTTATTGCTATCAGGGCTTCGGGGGTAGTTTTGCAAAAGGGGCTATTTTCCGCGGATGGTTATGTTTAAACTAGACCGTCACGACATTAGTGCTTGTTGCAACACGATCCGTGTCCTTCTCTTCTTCGATGGAACTTTGGAGCTTATTAGTTCATAGGTGGTGTGACCCCTTCCTCAACCTGGCTAACATCAAAGGTCGGATTGAACATACACATAGGATCGGGATTGTCGTCTTTGATAGGCATCAAGGAATTACCCGAGGCTCCTGACCGCAAATTGATAATCACGCCAGCTGAGGATTGGGCAGTCGAGTTCATCACACCGCTGGAAGTGCTTGCTTCTTTCTTTAGGAACTTGTCGAAACAAGTTAGCCCCCATTTCTTACGGATGACAGGGTTCCGGACGCAGTAGAGTAGAAAGATGAACAACCCTTGGAAGGAATTAAGGACGATGAAGATTGGCTGAGCCACCTAGTAAACACAAATGTTTCAGAAATAATAATTAGGTTATTGGCATTCTATCTCATGTTCTTCAGATACTTAACATCTAAAGAGGTATTGCTGGTGTATGTAATTATCATAACTGAGTACTCAAGATATTTTTTAGAAGAGATATAGACCACACTGGAGTTAATTGGCTTTACCTGACTGAATGACGGGATCAAAAGAAGATATCCGGTGACCCAGGTCAGACCGAGCAGGAGCAAGATGCAGATCGCGTTCTGGACGCGTTTGATAGTCTCTCGACGTTCTGCCTTAGCCTCTCTTTTCACCCGACCAGCGATGTTGGCTGACCGGAGCAATTGTCGAACCACCAGGATGAAGATGACAATGTTGATGAGGAGGATGATGGACATGGGAATCAGGAGACCACCGATTTGAGCCCAGAATTGTAGGAAGCATCTGTGGATAGTAAATATACAATTTGTAAAGAGACTGAATTAAATCAATCAATACTATCTTAGCGATAGTTATGCGAAATAGCTATCGTCCTTAGAACATTTTAACTGAAGAATTTTCATTGTAAATAATTTCCCTTTATTTATTTTGGCAATTCCAAGCTTTCTTGTCCCATGCTTTACCAACAACATCTGAGATTTTTAGTATGTGGTGATTGTATTCAGTTGGTGCACCTTTCTAGAGCTTGGAATACACCACATACCCATGAAAGTGATAATTAGATACCAATAATATGATTGCAGGGCCCTAAGGGAGAACAGTATGAATACTGATGAGGCTACCCTGGGTAAACAAGACATATTATTATTATTATTATTATTATTATTATTATTATTATTAATTACAGATCATGATTGCATACTTGCTAACTCATGAGATACCAAAATACCAAAGCTGTTAAACAAGATTAGAGTACAGAAACGTGATTTAGCTGAATCCGAAATTTGCAGATCGTTAAGTATACGTCATGCTATGCAATCTAATATTCAAGCTTAACTTCCAAGCATTACCACTTACAGATCATCTTGAGCATAAGAGTCTCTAGCAATAGCTCCGGTAAGAATCACGATAAGTGCAGGAATTCCTGAAATGACATACGTGTATACGGAAATACAATTTGATTAATCATTCATATTACGCCTATATTAGCTATTCCTTTCCCCGTTTCTTCAAGAGGCCTATTCATGTTATCGTTGTGCTGTCCAGCTCACAATTTGTTTCCCACGGTTATGGCGACACTATGATTACTTTTTTAAATGAATGAGATATCTTGATTATTATACTCTCTGGGATTTAGAGTCTTCTTTGTACAAATCACTTGCAATTGAATTGAATTGAATTTATTTTATTCTGCAAAATACAATATAATAATAATAAATGATGACAATAAAACAAATGTTAACTGATAACACAATACAAATAATTATTAATTAAGAAAGTTGCAGAAGAAGAAGGGCTATTATGATAATAAGCGATTGCTTGATAGCGTGATAGCCCGGGGAAAAGGGAAGGGGGGGGGGTATAATGATAACAAATTCAAACAAAAACTGATAATGGTGATGATGTTGATGATAATGAATGATGGTGAAAATGAAAATGAAAATATGCTGATGTAAACATGTCTGACACAGAAAACTTTTATAAGTATACGAGAGTTATAAAATATATTGATGAATGTTTATAGGAATCTGACAACGATATTGAATATTAATTCAGCACTGGGAAAAGATCAAACAATGTACTCTGATAGAAACGCATTCTTCGTAATGAATTTAGATGAATTTAAAGTTTTACATAGCATTCGAAGGGTCTTTTTTAGGAAGATAAATTTTTGTCTCATGAAGTATTCCAGTATTCCTAGGAATGCATGTAATTATATGTCGTATGTGTTCACTCCAGCTCATAATTTCATCAATAACGATACTTACAAATGTTGTACATTTCTTGCGTTCTAAGACTATATCATCAATTACAATATTATAAGGAAAAGCTGGGGTTTGTGCATTGACAGGTTTAAAGTGCATTAAGCTTGTTTGATTAAATTAAAGAGATTTATTACTTTTAAACCAGTTTGATACTTTTCGTAATTCTAAATTGAGTGTACAAATAAAAGCATCCAAATTCTCATGAGAAAGAAAAAAGGGTGGTGCCGTCAGAAAATAATATGTAAACTAAACGAGAGATGATGCATTGGTTATATCATTATACAATAAGAAAAGAAGGGGATATAATATTGATCCTTGTGGGACTCCACATTTAAGTGCAAGATATTCCGATAAAAACCCATTCTGAACCACATACTGTTGCGGGAATGAAAAATAATATTTAAACCACGAGAGAGCAACTCCTCGAATTCCATAAACTGGAAGCTTTTCAAGCAAAGTATTGTGATTTAGCGTATCAAATGGTTTTGACCAATCCGTAACAATCCTCATTGCATGTTTTTTATTGGCCCTTGCATTTAATATTTTATCATACATATGAACCAAAGCTAGGTCAGTGGCAATGCCAAGTACAGTTTAATACAAAAAAACAGTGAAGAAATTGCTCACAAATGGCAGAAATTACGAATTCATGTTCATTTTAAGAAGATGTCTGTTGCAGTATAGTCCGTCCTAATGTGATTTATTTCATAGTTAGCATGACGAAATGAATATAATATCCTGCCAGAATTCAGGAATTTGTTGTATTTATTACAAATCAGAAAAGATAAACATATCCTTTGTTATATGAATATAATCGCAGCGAAGCAGGCCGCCGCATCTTGCCAAACTAATCGTTTTATGGATACTTTCAATACCTACATTTATATGTTTAAATAATTCGGTCGAATGTTTCTGATCTAGAGACATTCTATCTGTAAGTAAAAACATACAGGCATTTCATGTTAATCGTATATAATAGTTAAGCACTATTCCTAGAACAAGGATTTAAAGAAAGAAATATCTCACCCCATGCAGCTAAGAAAGCCTTGATCATGAAATTCGGGATGTAGGTGTTAAAGATCTTCACAAAGAAGAGGTACATATTGTACCCTTCCACACCCATCCATGCAATGGAGGACAAAACGAAGAAGTGAACTAGGGCCGTCAGGAACGCACAGGGTCCAGCTTGGACCTCACGATAATCTCTGGTAGAATCCAGAGAGATCATGATGACAAATGTCGTGTAGAGACACAGCAAGGTCAGGCACAGACAGATCAAGATCTGGTTAGTCTGTTTCGTTCTCGAATCCCTATCAAGATTGCAACATTGAAATAAGGTTAAGAAAGCGTCAAAGCAATATTGTATCATACATGTACAGGTTTACCGAGAATAAAAACGTCAAACAACAAGAAAAAACAAAGTGAAATTGAGGGGGAAACGTTTGTAAAATGAAGAAGATTACGTGATTGTGCTTTACTTATAAACATGTATCTCTTTTATTTAATTACTGGGCACGAACCCTCATAATTGGCACATCATTGTATCGATGTATTGGGCGCTATATAAAAGCGGAATATTATTATTACTATTATTAACATTAATTTAGGTGTAACTATTCAGGACGATGTCAAATGGGAATCATATGTACGCCAAAGGTGTTCGAAATACAGACTACACACCATGGGGCAGGGGATTGATCTACGACTTTGATCGCATATCAATATATAATATTAATATGATATAAACAAATTACTATTGTAATCTATCTATGACCCTTGTCACACCACCCCTACATCACCAAGCAACTAATCTATGGCAGTTTCCCTTCTTCTCCTTCCACTTCTTCTTCTTCTTCTCCTCCTCCTCCCCCCCCCCCCCCCCCCCCCTCTTCCCCTTTCTATCATGAACTCTACTTTGCTGATAGTAGTTCTCAACATCCCTGCTGGTTCAAACAGAAGTGATACAGAACTGTGCTACAAGATTATATGTATTTCACATATTATTTGTTTAAGAGATACTTTTATACAAAAGGGGAGGGGGCATATGAATTTGCATGTTTATTTAATGAATTCCAAAAATGCATCTCTTTCATAGTTTATGTAACGATTCTTCGTTCAAAAGCTCAAATCGAAGATAAAACGACCAGAGAATAATTACACATTCTGTCTCCTTTGTATTACATTAATGACTGCATTTTGTTTTCAATAGGCTCACTTGTTCCACAGGTAGGTTGTCAATGTGACAAGAAGACTGAATATAGAAATACAGCATCCAATGTAAGTCAGGATTTTTAATTCCTTGGCCAATGGATCCTCCTGTCTATGGATATCCTGTAACATGAAAGAAAATTGAGCCCAAACTGAAACGCCTTCTTCGATTGCTCAAATAACACTGATTATTTGACCATCAGCTCTCATAAAGTCTATGTGTCGTTAATTAAAAACTGAGAAATTGTGGGTTTAATATACATGCAATAGAAAGTGGTGGAACCTCATATTAAACAATTGAAAAAAAAAGAAAACAATATCAATTTACTACCTATTAAACAAGACACTACACCTTCAAACTTTATTTTATCTCAAGAGTGAGAATATTATTCGTACACAATTGAAGACCAGTTCTATACTTCGTCGTTCTTCGGAAGTAAAAGGGGAAGTGGTCGAACAATGACCGGTCGTCCACAAATACCTGATAGAATGTTGTCACCTATCTGGAAAGAAACTAGCTAGTAGCATAATATCCGTTCGTATTACAGCAGGCGTAAGATATATTATATAGTACATAGACCGTACTATTTAATCCGAAGGGCCAACTATACCCCTGGGTCATCAAGATGATTACCACACTGGTAACCTACTGCGTTTAGTTAGTCAGGTTGTAGTTGTCCGGGCAATAGTTGGCTGGTGATGGATATAATAATGCCTAACTGCTTTCACTGACCATTATAACAGCAAAGTTGGTAAGATGATCACACGCACAGCGCACGCCCTCCTCATCATAGCGCTCATCAGATGATGTGATTCCAGAAACAAGAACACACCCATCTTGGGACCAATCTTCCTCCTCCTCATCCCAGAATGAACACATCGGATTCACGTATCCAGACTGCACAATAACAACACAAAAACAGCAAGAAATGCATGGAACCATAATGTTTCAATAAAGCATGAAAGAAGAATGAATGATAATTTTGATTGGTTAAGTTTAAAAGCCCATTTATCTTGAGGGGAATCAAATACACGAGTTAAAAAAAGAAAAAACAATAGATTTAAAAACATATGTTTAAATTTTCCCCTATATAATATGTACGTCTACAAATTTAATTATCTATAAATACTGCTAAAGGCAGATTACAAATACGTATAATATATGAAAAAACGCTATTCTGCCATTTTATTGGTGTAGGTCTTACCATTATTGTAGTGAAGGTAAACTTGATGAATTCGGTCAAGGCTGCTACTTTCCCTTGACCAATACTGAGAGAAATCACGGGCGAGTTAGCCGATCGATTGAAGCCTTTATTATCTGCACTGATTGTGCGCAGTGATTTAGAAATGAACAGAACCGGAGTTGAAAATACATTGAAGTTGACCCGGACGTATATACCACTGCCAATCGACGGCGATCCTGAGAGTGGGGCCGTGGACGAAATGACGGATGAAACTGAAGGTGGAATGTTGACCTGAGCGATGATGTCTGGTCTGGTAGCAATGACGTCATCTTGGGTTGGAGCACTGATGGTAAGATTGGACTTTGTCAGGTCTGAAAAACTGGATCCAGCTAGCATAATCACAAGACCGCTCATTAAGTCGTCAGCAAGTACACTCTGAACCTGTTATGTGATTATTATTATTACAATTATTATTATCATTATTATTATCATTATGAGGCGATTGGCAGCATACACAGACCTCCAAGTAAGAGGCATCCCCTAATAAAATTCAAAATGTGATGTATCCCTCACACATAAATGCACAAATAATGATGTTGTTTGGTAGATCTTTTGTGAAACTATAACGAAAAATGGTGGGAGTGTCGCGCCTTGTTGGACACCAGATTGAATGAAACCACAATGCATGAATGGCAGTGTCAGGTTTTTCTAATTCTTTTATTTTGAAAATCCATGCGAACAATTCGTTCCTATTGTCACGAGTTGGCGGTAGTGAGGAAAATCCGCAAGCAAATTGTATGCGATTGCCATTCACTACCGTCACTTCGTGTAAATAGGGACGAATTATATACAACATGGACATGAAATTCTATATTTTAGTATACTGGTGGAAATCAAATTACTTTTTCACAGCCTATGATATAGATGTAAAATCACCTGAACAGCTACATTTGGCTGCTGAATGTTGAGCATCCCACCATCGGCAACCTCTACACGACTGATTTGTTCCTCAAAAGCCAGGACTAATTTACTTATTGCCCCACCTTCTTCCTCTGCAGCTTCAAGTTCCTCAGTTTCTACCTGAGCTATATTGCTCACAATACTCGTTATAGACTTTGTTACCTGTCAATTCAAACACAAAAGATGAAAATGATTTAATCTATAGTAGGAGAAAGGTGTCAAACGTTGGAAATCAATCTCAATGACGATTGGGTATTAAATAACATGCATGGCAGCCTTGGCACTGGTGTTATTTTAAAGCTGTTGCATAACTTCTGAAAGAACCAACTGCCAAGGGGTCAAACGAATATGAAAGGACAGTGACAGACCTAAATATGTCATAGAACCAGTGGAATATTAAACACAATTTCTAAACAGAGCCTGATACGGGGTTAGGCTCTAGTAAATTCTTCATTCAAAGTAGTTTAGCTCCAAGGCGTCCAATATTGTTAAAACCGGTTATGGGATATACCCCTTTCATATCTATGACAATTGTATTTATGTATCGGAGGGAAGACTTATTTTTTTCTCCATGAGATAATTATTATTGGAGCATAATAAAACTAATGAACCATCGCAACCTCATGTTCAATAAGATTTGTCTGGCATCGCGCAGAATACCTCTTCACTTGTAAGATTTTGCTGCACAATGTTTAAAATTATCTCTGCCACAAAGGTGATGTCATCTGATGTGATATCTTCAATGTTGGATGTAACAGATGATACTTGCTGGCTCACTTCAACTGCGTTTTCTTCACTTACGATTACCTAAAATTTGAGGGAAAATATCCTTATAGCATGTACACGTTGAGTAATACGACTTTCCCTCCTTAAAGGTGGTGTACGTGTCCCTTTTGCAGGCTGATAATATAAACTTGTGTGAATCCTATGGTAAACAAGAGATAATACCAACTAACAGCTCCCCTGAAAAGATTACAACTGGTAATTGCTTTTATGTGGAATAAATATATATCGACCGTTAAAATTATAAGTAGAAAATAGTCTGATTTTCAGACCCTTGTACCGTATGGTCGTACGTTTTGTACCGCGCAAAGACTCAACAACTTAATTTCGGCCATTACAAGAAGAGGGTTATTGATGTGTGCCCATGCTCATGTACCCTTTACAGCTCATTTTATGTATGTTATTACCAAAGAAAAAAAGAATTCAGTCAGTCACTCTTGGTAAAGTCTAGAAAGTAAACAGGTTTTGTTGCATGATTTGAATGCTAGGACACTGCTAACACTGCTGACGTTTAAATTTTACAGATAGGATATACGCGACATATTCCTAAGTTCTAGAGAATTTGATGTTGGCTGCAAAAGGGATACACTACCTTTAAGGTAACATAAAATTAGCGAACACGCTTCCCTCACAACATTACGATGACACATGAGATCCTTTTTCCATTTACTATATTTATTTTAAAAATTAAGGACAAATATGTTCAATAATATCAAATTTCACAACTCATGAACCAGAAGATATAACATATTTTAATTCTAATCGCCTACGGTTGTCAACTGATTTTAATTAGACCAACATCTAATAATTGCAATAATTTAGTAAAGTTCTACTATTTCAAAATATTTTATGGTTTTAACTGCCATATCAAGAGTTAACGAATGAAGATAAGAACGCCTGTTGCAAGTGCTCCTATTTTAGTATTATCAATGAATATGACAGAGAATATGTTGCCGCCTTGAATAAAAATCGTTCAATGCATTTATGAATGAAATGACATTAAAACAATCAGTATAATTGATTGACCATGTGATATTCGTTACCAGCTGCTAGGTATGATTTATGTAAATTAAGGATACACTCTTTAAAAAACGTGAGTAAAAAAGGAACATGATCAAATCGGGTGAAATCTACGGAATGATAGGTAATTTTATACTTATCTTCTTTTAAAAAAAAATCTATCAAACTTGTTCAGGTTTTGATGATCAGTGGTATCTACAGTATACTAAACTCAATTGCATTACATATAAAGGCTATTAAAAAGCCTCTTTTCAATGATCAAATTTGAAAAGAAAATTCCAAAACCTGTGCAATTTCGGTGAGAATATCTGTGACATTTCTAAATGGTCCGCAATTATCCACATGTTGCCACTGGCTCTGGGTAATACCATCGCCAACACACAGAGCCCGTCCAATGGGTTCATTGGCTGTTCGGTATTAAAAAAAATACACATGGCATTGTTATACATATCAAAAGAACACTGGCAAACAATTGTTACCACATACGGAGACACCAATAAAGTACCGTCTATGACTGCAATTTTCTCAAGCAATTCGTGTCTCTGGAACTATTCCATACATTCAACAGTATGCGCGGATCTAGAATATTAATTTAGGTCCGAGTGCTTGGTGCATTTTTTTTCTACGTGTGCCTCGCTTAAATTCATTTTTAATCATGAAAACAGTTTGGGAGGGGATTCAATAATGAAGTGAAAACAAAGTACATCGGTTGAATATCATGATATCAAGGCTATTCTGGAAAAGATGTTGGAAGTAAATGAGTCGTTCTTGGTCGTGCACTCGCCATATATCCCCCCCCCCCACTCCGGGAACGGAGGGATACCATGCGTGTTCCCAAAATCTCTGGCTCGTAACAAAAGAAAAAGGTCTACCCGTATTGATCTTAATACACACCGGACTTTTGCTGAAAAAAGGGGGGGTGCTGGGAACACGCATATGCTTACCCTAAATAACACTGAGTGTTAACATTGGCTTATTAACACGTTACCAAAAAAAAAACGTGGCGGGGGTTTTTTGAGGCGAAATACCGCGCCATATCTGAAAAAGCCTATATAGAGAAATTATCATATTGATCGTGATATTCAACTTTAATTTAATCCCCCGTCTAATTCCTCAAATTACAAATGAATGAAAGACCATTAAAACGAACCTTCAGAAGTGTTGAATGGACACATTCCTGTTGAATTTGCCCATGTTCCGTTTTCACCCACCGGAAATTCGACTTTTTCAAACCGAGGAGATATCCATGAGATGTTCTGGCAAATAGCTTCACAAAAAAAAGAGTGAATAAAAAGTATTGAGAAGAAAAAAATCCCTAACAAATTTCAATTCCATGTTTATTTATCTACTTTAAAGTGATTTGCTGCAAATTGTACAGAACCTGGTATTTTTCTTCTTCTGACAATGCTAGGGAAGCTTTAACGTGAAGAAAGGCGACTTGTTTAACTCGCCAATGCCCCATGATAAGGACGGGAAGGTGAGAAGGCGAACTCGTCAAGGCGCCATATCTTTAAATAGAGAAAGCGAGAAGGCGTGTATTAACAAGATGCTAAGGCGCCTTCTTGTCTTCTCGGGCTTAACAAAGCGCCTTGGTGAGTTTTATCTAGTCGCCTTCTAGCATTCTCGTCTTAAACATTGGGCCTTGGTGACTTTAACAACTCGTTTCCTCGCCTTCTAGGCCCTAAAAACGCGCCTCGGCGAGTTAAAAAAAGTCGCCTTCTCTCTACCCGTTAAAGCTTCCGTACAATGCAGAGAATTTGTATCACTATAAACAAGAATTAAAATTAATAAGTTCTGTATTAAATGAAGGGCCAAAATGCAACAGAAACATACAAGACCCGCGTACAAAGAAAGACACACAGGTATAAATGTAAATATAATGTTTAATATATAAGTGTGTGTCTGCTGTGTGTGCGTGTGTGTTTGTGTGTATAACACCTCCTGCGTTTCGAGTTACCTAAAGTACCAATACCACACATCCAGGTTAAAGGCATCGTTTAACAATGTTACATCTAAGATGCACGGCCCTACGTGTTATCAGTGTCTGTGATATGGTGTGATATTGAAGCCCTAAAAAATGATCAAGAAGTGCCTCGAAAAAGTAAAAATCTTTGAGTGACCGGTTTTACCATATTCGTTTCCCCCAATAGACTGTAGTGTTGTGAAAACAGTTCTGGCAAACGCAAAATTTGGTTTCGATTTCCAATCATAAATATCTTCATAATCAGACAGGCGATCGGCTTGTAAAAGTCATGGGGTTCCTGACTGACCTAAAGGTTTATAATGGTCATTGCAGCAGGCGCGGATCCAGTATTCCTTAGGGGAGGGGGCCCAACTTTTTTTTCAAATTTTTGCTCCCGAAAATGTGAAAATCGCGCCGGCCGAAAAGTCGCTCAGTGGGGAGAGGGGGGTGGGGGGGGGGGGGGGGGTGGTAGTGAGCACTATTTTTTTTTTTTTTTTTTTTTTTTTTGCTCCCGAAAATCACGTGTTTTTACATGATTTTTTTTTCTCAAGGGGGGGGGGGGGGGGGCCGGCCCCCCCCCCCCCCCCCCCCCCCCCCCCGCCCCTGGATCCGCCACTGCATTGCAGCATAAGCTAAATCCAGGATTTTGTTTCAGAATCTGAGACAAAGTTACCGGATTCCTTTAAGTGGCGTATTCGGCATAGCCCTACCCCCCCCCCTTCGGAAGACCATGTTAACAAAAAGAAATGCTTGCAATGAGTAATAACACAAACGCGGGATAAAGTATGTTATGACCCCTGGTTTTTCGCGTCACCTATCCACCATCTCTCCACGGATACCCAACATCCTTATACACAATGCTGGATAACATACATTGACTCTTAGAACTGCATGTATAAGAATGAACTCGGTACCAATATTTTGAACTGAAATGGTGCTGGAATCGAGAAAACCATTCGATTCATTGGCTAGACTCTCCAGAGATAGACCAATAAGATCTTGTGTATCCAATGCCGTCATATTGGTCCGCTCGATGTAGATATTCATATCAGCTATGACGCTTCCTGTTCTTAGGGCTCTGCATACAACTGACAGGCTCTGCAACCCGGTACTGGTTCGAAGGTCTTGCTCCACCTTTACACAGGTACAAAACAAACAGAAAAGATAAAATCGTTTAATATATATTTCCCGTTTGTAAATGTGTAAAGTATACGTCGATCATAACCGAAAACCCTCCGCATGAAATATTTCATCTATGCTATATTCTTAAGTGTGGTAGAACTGCATTTTGAATAACTTGAAGAACTGAATAAAAGTATCTGTTCTATAAGTATGAAGCGGTGCTGTGAAAGAACTGAGATGACCGTTTGAAAGTTTGGACAACTTTTGCTTGGATATAAGTATATAATAACGTTTTTTTCAATCATGAAAGGGAAATTGAGTACTAGTAAAGGTGAAAAAGTAATTCGTGAGCTCACTCATTCTGTTGTCTCAGTTTGGACATGTTGGAAGAATGTCATAGAAATAAGTGTCCCCTGAAAATAATGGTTCTAATGGTTCAAAAGCCCTCATATTTGAAATACAAGGCCAAAGTCAGATGTGTCTCGTGCATCTCTCACCAAATTACATGAATGTCGTTAAAGAGCATCACTGACTCAAGCCTGGTTGCACCAACAAACAATGTTTTTAAAGTAACTAGTCGTACATGAGTCTTGTGGGCTTACATCTTAACCCCAAAAATAATACGAAGCCAGTATTGTAATAATGTAATAAACAGTTGCAAAGTTATTTGTCACAATAAAGCTCACAAAATTAGCACTGACCTTGGAATGTAACACTCGACAGCACCACAATGTAAAAGTTCCCCAAGTGCATATTTTACTCAAGTTTGTTTACAATAGCATTAATGGTTGCCAAGATATTTGTCACAAGAGACTTCAATTTTGCAGGTAAACTTTAACATATGTGACAGGCGACGAAGGAAGGACGCCTTCCGGATCCCTTAGTCTTGTTTCCACCATCAGAAGAGCTCAAAACGTTCATGCTACATGTACGTGAAATCAGTCTTAAACATTTCCTGCAAGGAAACTTGTTGCACAATGTACTAGCATTCTAGAATTCAACTGTGTAATATCATTGAAACCCAAAACGATATTAGGTCTTGCCTTGCACAATATTTTTAATAATGGGATAGGCCTTTCAGATATGCACCAATTAATTTAAGGATATACTTACATAGGTGCTGATGTTAAACGCAGTTTCTCTAAAGAGTTTAGAAGTTTGGTAATAAAGCTCATCGCGGAATGGAATGGCAAATCTAGCGTTCGAAACTTTTATATTGGTCAGATCTGAAAATACAAACATATACAACAAGAATTAGTCACACGGATTAAGGGGAGGGTACAAGGGTAACGCCCCCACCCCTGCCGGCCCGAAGAAGAGGGGGAAATTCTCTTCATGATAATTCTATAGTGAAACTGGTGAGACGCCAGCCATTCTCAATACTATTTCTTGCAAAAGGGCTGATAGCAAACAAATTCAAGTAACTAAAACATAGCTCTCAGAAACTGTCTTTATAAAAGAGTTTTCATATCAAATCAGTACTTGTACGAGAACATTTTTCTTATACTTTTCACATAATGTACCCAGTACAATCATGCTCGATTAGTTTTACGTGATTGTATGTCTCAATTTCGATCGAAATATTTTTGTAATATGTGTCTTACTTTTAAGCGTAGCATTACAAAAAACATTAATATCTACAAAACGTAATTAAATGAAAGAAATTCCTTTTCTGTATATATATATTTTTTTCAACTGAAGTTTGATGAAGACAAGTCTTTGAAAACGTATGCCTACTAGCTCCATGCTCCCTTCGTGAAACTTCTTGCAATCACAAGGATATTCTACGTGTTTCGAGGGCAGAGATGAGAGCTTGCTAGAGTACACAGGTCGCCTTGATTAAAGGGTAGACACAGACCTAAATTTTGTTATTTTCTGTGGTTTTGCTCCAAGCAAGGTTTTTACCTTTGATATATACAGATGCTCGCATCGTGTCTAAAGTTTCTCCATTTCTCCCGGAGCCTCGGCAGAAGTAATATCCGATGTCATTGGGAGTGACAGACAGGATTGTCAAAGGATTCTCATTTTCACCGCCGGGCAAAAGGACATCATCCTTGTACCAGTGGTATCGCTTGGAATTGTTGAAACTACATGTCAGATACATATTGGCATTAATGTTGATTATCTGGCTTGACGGATGAACAGCAACCTCCAAAGGAACTGTATTAATAGGAAATATTACGGCGAATGATAAAGATGATAATTATAATGATGACGACAACAATAGTAATAGTTATAATAATGATAATGATAAGAGGAAGGAGAACAAGAAGAATACAAAATAACATTAACAACAACAAAGTACAAAAAGTTATGATAACAATAATACAACTACTACTACTTCTTCTAATAATGATAAAAGTAGAAATAATACTTATAACCTCCTACTACCACTATTCATGAAAAGAATAATAATAACAGTTACATTTATATTTACATACTTATCAAAGGCACCTTCAAAATACTATTATGTCCCCACACTTGCTAGCCAAGCTGCTCTAAGATTCTGACCATTATTGAAGGAATAAATTCTTAACATGTATCTATCGTCTACACCTGGGTAGACAGTGACAAATGTACATCTTGTCAGAAGACAGTGGTGATGTCCTGAATCGCGAACCAAGCAATCCCAAGGCGGTATGATAAGCTCCTTGGTGATTCCCAGTCCGGTGACGTATGCATCAGGCCATCTTCAACATGTTAAGGAGAACTGGACATCTTAGATTCAATGTATAGATTAAGCAGGTAATGGTGTACTTAACAAACCTTAATATTCATTCACTTATATGTATAGAACAACGCGAACAGCGACAACAGATGAATACTTATTATGAATTACTTATCCAACAATGACAAGGTGGTTCATCATTTCTTGAGGTAAAATCATTGTGTCAAAACACTTTCCAAATGTTGGTTCCTATTCACCCGTCTTTCGAAACGATGTGAATCATGGATTTGCAACACGTAGGCCTAATGGTAACCCGACACATGCTCCGCCGACGATTGCTCCGCCGACATTTACTCCGCAAAACGCGACAATTGCTCCGCGACATTTGCTCCGACGTCAAATGCTCCGCCGACAGGTGCTCCGCCGACAGTTGCTCCGCCGACAGTTGCTCCGCCGACAATTGCTCCGCCGACAATTGCTCCGCCTGAAGCGACAATTGCTCCGCCGACAATTGCTCCGCCTGAAGCGACAATTGCTCCTGTGACATTTGCTCCGCCCAAAAAGTGTCCCATAAACTACAAATGCTACTAGTACTACGACAAATGCTTCGCCGACAATATTTTTTTTACACGGGTTATTTTCGTTTCTTTTTTTCCTTCTTCATTTTCTGAATGCATTTCATGAAATAATGTAGATGAAATGAAATGAATGAATGTTGATGAAGTGGGAGGAAAAAAAGGAGTTACCTAAAAGTCATTTCGAATATACTGAAATAACTTTCCATCTATCACTGTACGTCCCATATAATGTACACTAAACACTCATTACATGTCGTGGGAAGTTTTAAAAAAAAAGTAGAGCAGCAAGCCACATTCCCCAATACGCGCATACCTCCTAGTTAATTTCAAACAGCTCATCAATATGTAAGACCTGAAATAACCTCAATGCAAGCAAGCACATGCATCTTACTACAATGTACTAGTTCATCATGGAAGTTCTAGAAAACAACAGGGGAGGGATCAAAATAAGCTTTGAAGGGCACTTATACGTAGATAAGAGAACCCATTCAGACGGGAAAATTAGATGGTAGCCTTTCTGCTTATTCCCATTTATACAAATCATTCTGTTGCAGTTTGATGTTAGTTCTTCATAATAAGCCAATTGCTCTTCTTCCGGTGGCTCCGTGAGTCCCTTAAAGTCAGTGAAAACAAAGTACTCGAATGAGACGGGGTGTTTTACACACTAATATATATATATATATATATATATATATATATATATATATATATATAATTATAGTAAAGCTACATACACTTAACTGAAGGAAAGAAACCTATAGAAAACGGACTGGATATTATTGAAAATACTATTCTAAACAAGAATGTACTACATTACGTTACAATTTCACGAGAGAAATAGAACTCGAGAGGGGGAGAAGAGAAGAAGTGATGAAATTGAAAAAAGACTAATAGCATGAGAGGAAAGAAAAGAGCCAAGAAGACAAGAAAAGGGTGTAAAAAGGAAAAGGAGGAGCAAGAGAGAAAGAGAGAGAGATAGCCTTGAGCTTTGGATCAGCTAATGAGTAATACATGAAACAGATTTTGAGCGGAGTAATTATCTTTCGCCGGAGAACTTGCATAAGGAGCTATAACTTGATTTTTTCTTTTTAATCAAACATGGGGAATAGCAAAAAACGGCTGAGCATTTATTGCACTAATTACCAGAGGAGCATTCAAATCTTTCAAGAGGCCGCACTTTTGGATCGGAGAGCAATTTTATTGTTGGCGGAGCATAGTCTTTTAAGGGGTACTTTTGGGGAGGAGCAACAATTGTCGTAGTAGCCTTTGTATTTTACGGGGCAATTTTTGAGCGGAGCAAATGTCGGCGGAGCAATAATCTCGGCGGAGCAATTATCGGCGGAGCAATTATCGGCGGAGCAAATGTCACCGGAGCCATTGTCGCTTCAGGCGGAGCAATTGTCGGCGGAGCAAATGTCGGCGGAGCAAATGTCGGCGGAGCAAGTGTCGCTTCAGGCGGAGCAAATGTCGGCGGAGCAAATGTCGGCGGAGCAATTGTCGCGTTTTGCGGAGCAATTGACGGCGGAGCAATTGTCGGCGGAGCAATTGTCGGTGGAGCATCTGTCGGCGGAGCAATTGTCGGCGGAGTAAATGTCGGCGGAGCAACTGTCGGCGGAGCACCTGTCGGCGGAGCATTTGACGTCGGAGCAAATGTCGCGGAGCAAATGTCGCGGAGCAATTGTCGCGTTTTGCGGAGTAAATGTCGGCGGAGCAATCGTCGGCGGAGCATGTGTCATGGAACCGGCCTAATACCTTTAAGATGCATGCAAGAAAATCCAAACATATGACTTACGAGTTGGTTCATCACAATGGATCCCCTCATAATGATCTTTGCATTCACACTCGTACTGTCCTTGTTCAATGGGATGACAGACACCATTGACGCACGGGTTTCGTTGGATGCAAGGATCGTAGTTACCTGTCAAAAGTAAGTATTATTAAAATTGTACAAAAGAATGTTTGCAGTTTTATCCTCAGTTTATAGGCACTAGTGACTAGGCATAATGTTATAATGAACTATATTTACTTTTAAGAGATGAAGGGTTAATCTCAAGGAAGGAAAAATGTAAAGATTCAACCACTGACAACAGCTTCAGAGCTCCCAATAAAAGTTGCGGGCGAGGAGAAAAGCCGAGGTAACTATATTTTTTCCCACGGTTAATTTGTTCGAAGGTTCATAATTCCAAAACACAAATTACCCATACCTATGGGTTCGTAATTATGATAATTAAATAGGATTTATTAAAACCGGAAGAAAATTAGTAATTCCGAAAATTACACAAGGTTCATAATTGTGAACTTGGCAACTCCCTTTCAACATTGAGAAATGCAAAGTCATCCACTATGGAAGAAGTAATCCCTTGTGTGACTACACTATAAATGATGTGAACGAGCTATTACCTGCAGTTCAACATGAAAAAAGATCTGGAAGTAATATGCGATGATAAAATGTCCTTTCCAAATCACATTGATACTGCTTGCAATGCTGCAAACCCGAAATTACGAATTATCAGCGTACTTTTTCAACTATGGACAATAAGGGACTCACACAGTTATATAAGTCAATTGTGAGACCAGCACTCAAATACTGCTCTCCCGTGTGGCACCGTTATAAGAAGAAACATATTCTCAAAGTGGAAAAAGTTCAACGTCGTGCAACTAAACTCCTTCAACCTCTCAGAAGTCTTCAGTACAAGTTACGGCTAGAGCAACTAAATTTGCTTTCATTATCATACAGACGTCATAGAAGCGACATGTTTCAGGTCTATAAGATAATGCATGGAATCGACGACCTCCAGTCAACTAATTTCTTTCATCGTACCACTGTCACAGTAACAAGAGGTCACCAGTTCAAACTACAAAAGAAACACGTAAAATCTAAATTGAGGCAGAGCTCTTTTTCACAGAAAGTAGTAAACGAATGGAATGGTCTCACATCATATGTAGCAGAAAGTCCATCACTCAATTCTTTCAAATCAAACCTTGACAAGTACTGGTCACTGAAGAAAGATAAGTTTAATCTTTATGAACTATTCAACTGTCCATGTTCATCCGTAACTGCACAACGCCAAATTAAAGAGTAATCCACTAGCGGACACCGAGGGGCAAAAAAGATTTGTACAACGTTATGTCTACTTCCAAGGTATGATATCCAAGGTATGTGAAAATGAAATGAGGTTCAATATTCAGAAGGTTTGTAATACCTTAAACGAGACAGGGTTTGATTAAGTTTCAGAATTATTTTATTATTATTATTATTATTATTTATAGTATTTTCTGAATAATTAACCCTTTTCCATCTCCAGAGGTGTTAACTGGGAAAATGCCATGTTACCAAAATAAAACACATTTCGCTGGAGTTTATATGTGTGTATGAGAATTACACCTGTATATTTACATACACCCATGTACACCCATATACATACATATATACATTTTACATATCAGCATATGTGTCTTTGTATTGTAAAAATAGCTTCCTAAATTCCCATTCTCGTTACCTGTACCGCTTACCTATTTCACAGTTGCGACCTATGAATAGATCCTGGCAAATACACTGGTAATCGTTTTCAGTTTGCTGACAAGTACCTACATTTAGACAGGGTGCTGAGAGACATGCGTTTTCTAAAAACAAAAAAGTTATAATGATAGTAATAACTAGACTTGAATTCGTCACTTTGACGAATTAGGCGATGTACTCAATGGCCAAATGAGACATGAAATAATTTTTCCGACTCATATTCTATTCAAATATGAAAAAATAAATTGCGGTCCCCAAGCATATCAAAGAGATATGATGGACTTGTTATAGATATGTTTTTGCCCATATATGCTATGTATTACAAGAGCTCGCGCGCACGGATATTTATCTTGAACGGACGCTTATTCCGTTATGAATAGTCATAAAGATATAAACATGGTATCAAATTGTTCGGAAAAGTATGGAAAATATCATGAAGATAGAAGAATGGCAATTTGCGTTTGCGCGATTTTTTATTGTTTTTAAATGCTCAAAATGGCCTGTAACGTATGTAAAATGAATTTGAGACCATTTCGAGCAATTTTAAATTTTGCGCGTGTATGCGCGCGTTTATTGACCTATCATTGACCGGACGGGTATTAACCTAATCATGATATAAAATAAATGAGAAATGACTTTCCGTTATGAAGATATGATCATGAGTTTATTTTTACAAAATTACGCCTGGATGACGTCACAATGATTTTGAGTCAATGAAAAGTCACACAGTTCTAAGTTAGACTATGATCTATCATCATGGCAAGTTTTATGAAAATGGCTTTATCAATTATTGAGATATCCTGCGAACAAATTCGAGGAAGAATAAATAATAATAAAGAAAAATCTGCACGAAATCAAAAGGTGATACGTATAACTTCGTAAGTATCACCTAATAAAGACAAAGCTTGACGAAATCTATACAGTGTGAGTCAAAAAAAGTTTACACCTAGAAAATGGCTAATTATTTAAAAAATCATCTATGTACAGTAAATTATTATACATCTTATAAAAGAGAGTTTTATCCCAAATCATTTGGTATCATTTTTGTGCGATATGTGTTCACGCTTGGATGAACAAAGTTGCTTATGTGATGTTTAAATAAAACAATTGGGACTTGGGTATTAAATCGGTTTTTGCAGATCCAAATAACATCCCTAAAAAAAAAAAAAAATCATGCCACACATATCACATATCGAATATCAAATATCAACAAACATTTGTGCGCGTGTGTGTGTGCGTGTGTGAATTTGCTCCGTCAAAAAGCATATGCAATGGATTTCATTTGATACATTCAATTCATTCTCTCACTACGCTACTCCCAACATAATACATGCTGTAGGCATCACTTTGGCTCAAGTCGATTTTGCACTCTCGCAAACAATGCATCCTGTTCATCCAAGCGTGAACACATACCACACAAAAATGATACCAAATGAATTGGGATAAAACACACTTTCATAAGATGTATAATAATTTACTGTTCATAGATGATTTTTAAAATAATTAGCAATTTTCTAGGTGTACACTTTTTTTGACTTACACGGTAGTTGATAGACTATGTATAACTACGTACGTATCATCTAATTATAACCGTAACACTATGCCTCCATTATTGGTGAAAAAAGCCCAGAGTAATTGTCGCAGGAGAAAATGAATATGGAGCAAAAAATGTTGGAGTATCACTAGTTTTAAAACTGACCTGTGAAAGGGCCGTAGATCTCCATACGAAGACTGATGTGGTCAAACCAGCTGACAGGCATCAAGCGGACATAGCGGCAACTCTGGGGTACAGGCAGAGTGTTGGTCACGATGGTGTTGCGGTCAACATTACCGGTGAAGATCTTCAATGAAAAAGGAAAATCAATCCACTTTTGAATGAATTATGACTCAAATGATTCTGCGGTCAATTGCAATCGAACTAAAGAGAATCGAATTGAAAAGCATGGTGAATAATACATATTTTTGCATGTTCAGTGCCTGTCCATTCGTTTTTATTTGAAGTTATATTCTGATGACATCAATTTCTAGTTTTTGAGACCTACTACTAAAATAGGGAAAAACATGATATGGATTGAATTTTGTTTTGCTTGAAGTACATTTCTTGCTCTGATATATTTACAAATATAGACAGTTCTTAATCCTACCTAATAGTTTTTTCCTTTTATACTTTGTGTAAGCAGAATAGTCAATAATACACCAAACATGTGTTCCTGAGGTAACGATTGCCTTTTCCTTTAAAAGAAAGTATCGTAATATGAACATATTTTAATTGTTATCAACAAGATTTAAAATGCCTTCAAGTTCCTACAATAATAGAGTCAATGTAATGTTTAAAAAAAGGAATAATCAGAGAACAAACTTACCTTGTCGGCTCCAGGGTTTGTAAATATGTCCTGCACGGTGTGAATAGTCGTGTCATTAGTACTACAAGCAACCTTGTAGCTTGTTACCCACTGGCTGTAACCTTGTCGCCCTTGAGTCGCAACTGAAATGATACGGTAAATGTCCGCAAGATCCACCTTGTAGATAGAAAATAATCGGAGGAAGCTTTCTTGATGTTCATCCTCTAATTCATCTATTTGTTCTATCTCCATGGCAAAACTTTTAACCAATGAGCATGTTCCAAAATGTGTCAAATCTATATGATTTAAATACAAATACTAAGAACGGTTCCTTTTTTGCACCTATCAATGACATTTCCTTGTTTGCATGCAGCTCTGCCCCTCCAAGGGCAATATTTAAATTATAATTTCCCCACATAGATGCTTTAATTGTCCATCTCATTTCTGAGTAATATTGAACAATTAGATTAATGCCCTTAAAAATTAAAGCAATTGTTGACTTGGATGTGAATAATAATTGGAAATATTATAGTAGCTTTACCTACAGAGTGGAGAGAAAATCTACGAACCCATATGTCACCTCAAAATGTGGGCAATAACTTTTTTTAACAGTGTAAGTGAATAGTGCAAAAGAAATGACTGGTGACTCTTTCAATAGGGACTTTTAGATTTGCACGTTTTCAGCTTTGACTGCAACGTGTTACGTCATTTTAAGGCACTGCGTATGCGTCACGTCGTCTCAGTCGGCGATCGAGAATGCGTCAACCTTGATTTTCCTAAATCTAGTACGATACTAGTATATGCCGCGTGCGCATAAAATATACAGTTCCTCAGGTAGACAAAGGAACATCCCTTCCCTGCTATTATGTAAAAATGTGTAGAACAAGTGTCACATGCATATTCACCTGTTCTACACATTTTTACATAAGAGCAGTGAAGGGATGTTCTACCACAGCAATAGGCCATTTTCGTAGTGTAACCAAATTTAATGCATAGGTCTTTGTGAAGTACCTCAATACAAACTATTTCATTCACCTGTTAAGAATAATAGTATTTCATTAGACAGAATCCTAACTGCATACATTAGTTGTTGCCACGTTGGACAAACATTATGGCTTGACCTACCTAGCAACACTTAATATATGCAGTTGCATTCTGACTATTGAAATACTACTATTCCTATCAGGTGATTGAAATAATTTGTATTGAGGCACTTCACAAAGACCTATGCATTAAATTTTGTTACATTAAAAAAATGGCCTATTGTTGAGGGTAGAATGAGGAACTGTATATTTTGTCCTCTTTCTTTGTCTGTCATGTAATTCATAGTGTTACTTCCTGCATACATGTATATCGTCGAGTGCAATCTAAAAGATTTCTAATTGTAGTCAAAATGGGCAGTTGAGTACGTTGACACGCATGATCAGTCGGCGTACGTCGTGTTCTCGTCCACTCATTCTAAAAGTCCCTATTGTTGACCAGGTGTCAGCGGTAGAATATGAACCCATATGCCATATAACTGACTGGTGACTCTTTCGTTACTGACATGGTGGTAGCGGTGGAATATGAATTCATGCCATGCATAGAGATTACGGGTGACTCTTATTACAAACTTTGTGGCAGTGTATGGATACAAATACAAAATTATGTTCTTACCTGGATCCACTGGTTGGCATTGTTTGTTAGTGCAGACCAGGCTCCACTCAGGCTCCCGACTCGGGCCAGGTTAAGACGACCTCTCTCTGCACCATAGCCAGTATTATACTCACTGGAAGCTGTCAGACTTGAATCTGGGATGACATAACTCTCTAGGCCCAGAGGGACAGGGTCATTCAAGATGGCTGTAAGTTAATGCGTGACAATGTATAGCAAAATGAAGGAAGTGGTGGTCAAATAGGCAAATAGGATCGAATGGACATACAATAGACAAGTGTGTAGTTATTATCTGGGCATGAGACTGTCAGTGAAGAAAAATCTCCAAGGTTTTCCTCACCAATGACTGCATGTTTCTTTCTTTCTTTTTCCTTGTTTGCTCTTTATTTAAAAAGACTTGATGAACAAGGAGCAATTGCTTTATTAAAAAAGTGTAGGTATGTAATCTGCTTTGACTCTTTATCTTACCTGTCCCGTCAGATGGTAAAACGGTCTAACTCGAAAATCGCTGTTCTGAGAAAAATGACTTTGAAGTTTAGAAGTTTCAGCTTTTTTAGGAGATGGGTATAATCCATTTTTAGCAAAGGGACAAGAAGAAGCATATTAAACACTGATAACTGAAGAATTTTGTGCTTATTTGGGGTTTTAATTATAAAATAAATGAGATTTTTGTGCAGATAGACTGTTTAACCACAGCACATGCATACACTCCCACTACACATCATAATATGGTAAAATGGTCTATCTTCTAGAAAGACCATAAACACTATTGCCATACTACTAACTCGAAGATAGACCATTTTACCATCTGACAGCGATGATTAAAAAATCTCAATTCAGAAGGTTAAAAGGTTTATGAAAAAGATAGCTTGTTTTACCCCCAAACGATATTACCGACAATGGGCTAACTCAGAGATAGACCGTTTTACCATCAAATCTGAAGGAAGAATACAAAAAAGTACCAAGATAGCGGAAATTATCTCTAAAAGAAGACATGATGGGATTTTCTCGATAGCACCATTGGAAATAGCACCCTCACATTACCAGGAAAGTGAATTTACCTCAAAAAGTCAAAATTTCGAGTTAGACCGTTTTACCATCTGACGGCCAACCTGTTCCGCACGTAGGCCCAGTATAGCCAGGATTGCAGGCACAAGTAAAGGTGTTTATTCCATCACTACAAGTTCCTCCATTATCACAAGGTTCGGAGGAACAATCGTTGATATCTGTGCAAATTTAGTTCCAAAGACAATAAGTGGGATAAAAGGGATGAGAAAATAATGTCCCTTTTGACGGTGAACAGGTAAAATGAAGTCAAAACTGGCATTCATAATACAAATAATGACAGTCAGGATTAAAGTTTTTAATTTGTGTAGAGTTCCTTGGATTCATTCGTAGAGTACTATAAAGGGCCTCCTAATTTTCGGAACGGGCACCTATCTGTGATTTGCTCATACAGGTGAGTTGATCAAACTTCAATCACTTTTGTTTATTGAATATTAATATTGTTATGCTAAATATTTGTTATGTACATATGTGTATTGTGTCAGAGCTTACCGTTATGATTTGTTATATGCATTTCCATTATAGTACATGGTCATGTACACTGAGTTTAATGCGGTATCAAAATTGGGTGTAGTGCGTGCGCACTAATGTTGGACCTGGTCCCAGGGCCAGGACCAGGGTAACGCGCTTAGGTCTTGGTTAAGGTTACGCTTTAATGTAATGTGTATAGGTCTTGGTTAATAGAAAAAAAGTGCCAATGATAGAAGTTTAGTGTTTAATTAAAAGCATTGCATGTTTGTATTCTGGTTGCTAAGGGGATAATAATTATGACACATCAAACAGTGATGATCAGACTTTGTCTGACTATTTAGCCATTAGAGGGTTTCTAGCGCCCTCTATGTTAAATTGATATGGAATAACAGGAGTAAGAGCAGTGTTTAGGGTTAGATCAGGAGATTATTGGAGTTTGTTTGGAAGTAAGAAAGTATGGAAGATAAATATTTGGATTGCAGTGGTTGATGAAAGTTGGAATTGATGCAGATATAAAGAGATTTATATAGTTTCCAGGATTTATCAATGTTTCTGGTCTTGGGATATTCTGATATTTAAATCTATAAAAGCAGAGATATTTGTCTTTATTCCATTGTTATGATATTGTGAGTTTCATTATTCATTATATAATATGTGCTTACTTTGAAAAGGGGGAACCAGGATAGCCCTATTTAAGTTCATGTTATTAGGATATTTGCATTGCATGTTTCAATATTACAATGTACAAGTTTAAGGTATCATAGTTTATTGAACAAGAACTAAGGATAAGATGGCTTAAATTATTTATTCAGTAGTGATATAGAGGTCACATGATGAGGTTGTTCAACCTAGCTTGGTGAGTTGGTTTATCAAAATTTGTGAATTTGTTGCTTTAGTTATAGGAGTTTTATATTGACTGTTACTTATTTGTTTAAGTATTTGGGTCCGGTATTGACTTGTGTTAATGTTGAGAGTTTCAGCTATATTGTACTGTGGCAATTGGTTTTTAAAGGGCAAATTTACTCGTTTTATGTTTGATAAAATAGCATGTTTTGGAGAATGCACGATCTCCTTAATATTCAGCATTATGTGATATGTAATGTGATTACTACTAATAAAGACCTCTCTGTGCTTTGCTCATACAGATACTGAGACCCGTTCCCCACTCGGCTGTTTTGTTCTTGACCTCTACATTTGTAAAACTATTATTACATAATTCAACTGAAATAAATGAACAAAATGTCTCTTTTAATGTGAGCATCTTTTTTCACAAACTTGGCAAAAGTTTTAAATGCTTAGAATGGCCTGTGTGCAAAATGAGTTTTAGATGATTCAGAGGATTTTTTTGGCGCGCGTTCTGACGCGCGGATGTACGCGTACGCATGCGTCTTACTAATTGAAAATGATTGGATTGATATTGAACTTGATCAAGATAAATATGATGGAAAAATGATTTTCCATTATGAAGATATGACCATGACTACAAGTTCCTTAATTTTCACAAGGATCGGGAGAACAATCGTTGATATCTGTGCAAATTGAGTTTCAAAGACAATAAGTGGGATAAAAGGGATGAGAAAATAATGTCCCTTTTTACATATTTTTCTTCATTTGGCGGTGAACAGGAAAATAAAGTAAATCAAGTAAATGAACTAAATATCTCTTTTAATGTTAGGATCTTTTTTTCAAAAACGTGGCCTTAGAAAGTAAATATATTTTCGAAAAAAAATCTCACCGTCTCACAAAACGTAATGTGCCCCTGCCAGACAAGAAAAATGTCACTAAAGCAAATTTCTTTCATTTAGGCGTGAAATGAATGTGAAAATGGACGCAGAAATGGCATGAGACATCTCAGCACCAAAAGTTGAATCGCTATAATCAGGATGAATCATACAAATCTTTATTATACCCTATAATCAAGGGCGTCAATCAGAGCTTGAACATGGGGGGGGGGGGACACAATAACATGTCACCTTTACAGTTACTTTAAAAGTTATACCACGTTATGCTGCTACACATACACTCTCTCTCTCTAGTTATTCTGTTTCACGGCGTGTACTTTCATTGGTGACCGGTTCATTTATTGTCTATTTTATCTTTGACGTTTCATACATTTTTAGAGAAAGAAGACGATTCGTCGTACCGTGCTCGACTTTTAATATTTGTCTGAATTTCAGTTTCCCCTCTTCTGCGCGAAGCGCGGAAGCTTTGACGTTTCGAGAAATTATTTAAAAAAAGGAGACGATTCGTCGTACCGTGCTCGACTTTTAATATTTGTCTGAATTTCAGTTTCCCCTCTTCTGCGCGAAGCGTGGAAGCTTTGACTTTTCATAACATTTTTAGAGAAAGAAGGCGATGTGTTGTACCGTTCTCGACTCTTAATCATCGACTGAATTTTCACAAATGTTTCTTTGTCTGCTCCTTTTTCTTCCTACGTCTTCTTACTTTTTTTTATCATCTCTCTCTCTCTTTTTGTATTTGGCCGGCGTTTTTTTGTTGGGGGCGACCGCCCCCCTTCCTGGCTACGCGCCTGAGTGTGATTATCGCCGACAAAGGGTTAATCATGGATGTCAGTTTTCAAGCAAAAGCCTGAATTCAGGCCCTGGTAATTTAATTACTCCGCATTCTTCCATATTTCTCTGAAGAGTTAATCCCTTCAAATGTTTCTTATACATATAGTCTATAAGATCTATAGAATGGTGATCAGCATCAATACTGCTCTAAGAAAAGCAGAGTTTAAAGAAAATATCCAAGGAACAATTGTCATTAGTTTCCCCTCGAAATTAACTCAGTGGGCAGAGAGTTTAAGAAAGATTATTTTGGAAATTTAAGCTTATTTGTTTCCAGGATGAATGGATGCCTAATTTTTCAACTTTGTGCACAATAGTTGAGTTAGGTAGCATTTGAAATATAAAATATTGAAATTTTAAGAATCAATAAAAGAAAATTGAAATCTTTACTATGTTGAGGTAATTACAGGGTTCAGACGGGTCAGGGAATTTATTGCCAAGACAGGGAATTCAAAAATACTTTTTCCAGAAGAAAAAAGTTAGGGTATGTCACAATGTGACTGGAATTTCTTTCATTCTAAACTCTCCTGACCCTTTCGAGTTGTTTAGGCAGATAATGTAATAGACAGGTGCTAGCTGAATGGATGTGTTTGGTGGCAATTTAGGCAGTAACTAGGCCTAGGTCAATTAACTGGGGTTTTCTAGTATAGCTGGTGTCTGTCTTTGTCTGTATGTGTTGAAAGGATGAGTAGAATGTTGATGGGACAGTTTTATATAGAGGATTCAGTAAAAGGAATTTTGATGGACAGTCTTGGCATTACAGGAATATGAAGAATGTTAAGGGGGTTACTATTGAGAGAGCCAAAGTTGATTGGAGATTTAGGGCAGTTTAGTCAGATTGCTTATGAGATCTCGAGAGGATCAGACCTTTCTGAACTTGGTCTGATCTTGGAGTGAATGAGAGGTGTTGGCCACGTAGGTGAATGTTACAGCCACAGGCTATATGCATGCTGCTGCTGGCATAGCAGACTTTCCCTATATTATGGGACCAGGCAAGGACCAGGCAGCACAGGCCGTACGTGGTAGAAGCCTCATCAGCCCTCGCCTCAACTTGACTCATTGTTTGGACATCTGAACTGTAAGTTACAGAAATAAATGTTTTACCTTATTTGTGGTTACCCGGAAGGAAGATTATTTCATATATTTCATAAAGAGAAAGCTATTTTCTATGTACTATGGGATAATGGATTTTTGTTTTATCTTGCATGTTGAATAAGGAAGAGTTAACCTTGATTAGTTTGTTTGCTTAGAATATATAAGGTTTAACAATTGCATTGTACTGAAAAGTTATATATATAACTATATGTTAAGACATATGTGTTATTTTATAATTTCCAGGTGAAAGATATAGTACCCAATCAATTATAAATGTCGCCTATTTAAGTGGTTTATGACCGTGAAGGAAAGCTCTAGAAATTGTAAATGATTGTTGTAAATTGTTAAAGATTTATATCGTTAAAGCTATCGTGTTTAGTTTGGTAGACGGTTTGCTATTTTGTTTCGATTTAATTCTTTTAGGGACGAGCTGGGCTCGTAGCCAAAATCTTAGGCACACATCAATGGACATGTGCTCTTAGTCGACACGCTCAGGCAACGCACTCGCGTCAAGTCGTCGAGTCAACGCCCGTTGCGGTCGTATACCGGTCAGGTTGGACAGGCTTAGCAGTTCATGCACCGCAGTACCGGGTTACTTCGTTTCATACTCAGAAACAGGAAGAGGTTGTATTACAGGGTAAGTCAGGGAATTTGTTAATTTCTTCTAGAAAGTCATGGAAAATCATGTTCCTAAATGTGCATGTCCCACGTTTTACTTTTTGAAGATAATATGTTCGAATTACTTACAGATGCTGCATTGAATTTGAGTGCAACTTTCAACAGTTCTGAGTTACCTTGGGACATGCCAATTCCAAAGCAAAGAGGTTGGGTCAGATTTATCTAATTAACACAATTCATAAATTACCTGTGGTAACGCAGGGGACAATTTGATAACGCGTGGGATGCTATATACATTTATGTAGTATAGATATTTTCATATAAATGTAAAACTTATACAGTAGGCTTGCGGATGCACCATGTGAGAGAGAGAGGGAGGATTGAGGAGTCCTGAAAAGGACTGTTTGGTATAGTCTTGAAAAAGACTGTTGGTTATCTTTCTTAGCTTATTGTTCTAAGGAGAACTATAGCGCTTGAAGAGGATGAGAGGCGAGAGTGGCTCGACGTTTCGAACAGGTTGACTATCCGTCGTCAGGAGTGGAGAATAGCTGCCGTGCGTGAGGGTTCCATGATACATGCTCCGGCGACGATTGCTCTGCCGACATTTACTCCGCAAAACGCGACAATTGCTCCGCGACATTTGCTCCGACGTCAAATTCTCCGCCGACACTTGCTCCGCCGACATTTGCTCCGCCGACAATTGCTCCGCCGACAATTGCTCCGCCGACATTTGATCCGCCGACAATTGCTCCGCATGAAGCGATAAATGCTCCGGTGACAAATGCTCCTCGAACGACAGTAGCTCCGCCGACATTTGCTCCGCCGACAATTGCTCCTCCGACATTTGCTCCGCATGAAGCGACACTTGTTCCGGTGACATTTGCTCCGACGACATTTGCTCCGACGACATTTTCTCCGCATGAAGCGACACTTGATCCGCCCCAAAAGTGTCCCATAAAATACAAATGCTACTAGTACTACGACAAATGCTTCGCCGACAATTTTTTTTTTCACGGGTTATTTTCGTTTTTTGCAATGACGAATATCGTCATTTGCGTTCGTTTTGCACATAGTATAGTATTAATGACTGCTTTGAGAGAAATAGTTGTTTTTATACGCTCAAGGGAAAGTTAGAATTGTGCTATTACCCGAGGCGTGCCGAGGGCAATAGCCCAATTGTAACCTTCCCGAGAGCGTATAAAAACAACTATTTCTCGAATATTAAAGCAGTCATTAATACTTTTATATGCCGAAAAAAATAGACTAAAAAAATAAAAAAATAAATAAAACAACTTTTGTCGAAGATGAGATTCGATCTCTTGCGTACAAAAGGGAGAGTAACCAAAGCAGCGCCTTAAACCTCTCGGCCAGCGCGCTCTGACGCTATTTATAGTAGTTTTCTCTAATATATACATTTAAATGGATTGAAAACGGGGGGGGGGGGGGGGGGGGGGGGGGGTTAAGCGGACACTTTTTGTTTTGTTTTTGGGAGTCCAAAAAAAATCGCAACGACTCAGCCAGCCGAAAGGTCGCTCAGTAGGGGGGGGGGGGGGGGGGGGGGGGGGGTAAGCAAACACTTTTTTTTTTCGAAATTTGAAAATTTGACATTTTTCTTCGTTGGGGTGGGGGGGGGGGGGGGGGGGTTAGCAAACACTTTTTTTTTTTCGAAATTTGAAAATTTGACATTTTTCTACGTTGGGGGGGGGGGGGGGGTAAGGTCAACTTTTTTAGGTTACCGTGGGCATAATTTTTTTCATTTTTTTTTCATTGTTTTTTATAAATAAAAAAAAAAAAAAAAAAAAAAAACCAAAGGGGGGGGGGGGGGGGGTTTAGGTTTTTTTAGGGGGGTTTACACACATAAAAAAATCAAAGGGGGGGGGGGTTTAACCCCCAAAACCCCCTCCCTGCGTACGCCCCTGAGGTCACCTATTTTTTCGTTTTCTGAAATCACTCATGCGTAACCGTCAAGGCGCCATAGATCCTACAAACTTCTAATAAATTCCTCTAGATAGTCTAAGAGATGTTTTTTCATCTGCGACGTGTAACCTAACCTTTAAAATGCCATTTTCGTACTCAAAATTCAAATCTGAAACCGACTCCGTCAAAAATCTCTCAAATTCTTGAAAAATTGACCCCTAAAATCCTAAACCTGCCATAACTTTCTCATATAAATTCCGTTTTGTTTTTAAATCGTACAGCATCTTTATCTCATAATTGCACATAGCCATTCAAAATCTCACGCTCTAATGGCTATGCAAAACATAAATAGCGCCCTCTAAAGTTCTGGAAATTGGCTTTCTTTCTGTGGCCGTATCTTTATTATGGCTTGGCAGACCCGTACCCCTTTTTTGGATTAAGATACTTGAACATATGCCCTTCCAGCCATATACAAAATTATATACCCTAACGCTGACCAAATTTGAGAAAATTGCCCTCCAAATTCGCCATTTTCAAGAAAATTCCGAAATAACTTCAACTTGCTCTAAAATTACGATCATTATACCTACAACAACGAAACTTGGCAGACACATGTATCAATATACGTGACAGCTGTCCGCCAAGTTTGGTAAACTTTAATGACATCAACGCAAAGTTATCGCTAAAAATGATGATTTTACTATGCATTGCGTAATAGCGTGTTTAATGCGTTCAATACATTGCGCGCCAATGACAAAAGTGTCAACCTGACCGCAATGAAGTGTCCTTTGAATGATACCAAGTACGGTATATGTTCACACACAAAATTGTGAGTAAATCGCATTTGAACAAGGGTCACTATACTACTTCCGCCGAGTTTCCGCCCGATTATAACACGTATCGGTTATGACGTCATTTTTTCAGACTGCTTTTCGCCCCCTAAACGTTCTCTTTTTTCCTTGAACATTTGCAGTGACATTCCGAGTTGCAATACGCAGGGCACCTTGAAGCCGGATTTGTAAAATTGGTCAAGGGGGTCATTTAAGACGCCATTTTGTCCTATAAATCTGTTTTGCATCACGTGTTTCGATAAGATTATCATAGCAAAATATAAAGTAGTTTACAATAACCATCATGAAATTTTCTTTCTAATAATACCAAATACGGCCCATAAAAGACCTAAAGAGTGAGAGAACACAGATCCTGTACGTTTTCCGCCCATGCATTACTCGCATTGTCTATGGGGCAAATCGGGTTCACGCTTTTGGCCCCAGAACGATCTATATTTTTCTTGAATTTTTGTTAATAATTTGTCAAGGGGGCATTTTAGACCCCATATTATACTGTTTATGATTATGTTAGTATAGACGACCGTTAGTGCCAATTCGCCCGTCATTGCACGCATATCGTTGTGCCACGATTGCAGGTCTAGTTTTTTCTTCATTTTCTGAATGCATTTCATGAAATAATGTAGATGAAATGAAATGAATGAATGTTGATGATGTGGAAGGAAAAAGGAGTTACCTATAATTCATTTCGAATAAATTGAAATAACTTTCTATCGATCACTCTACATCCCATATAATGTACACTAAACACTCATTACATGTCATGGGAAGTTTAACAAAAAAAAGTAGAGCAGCAAGCCACATTCCCCAATACGCGCATACTTCCTAGTTAATTTCAAACAGCTCATCAATATGTAAGACCTGAAATGACCTCAATGCAAGCAAGCACATGCATCTTACTAGGTAAGCCATCTGCAAGTAAAGCATTATACAATGTACTAGGTCATCATGGAAGTTCTAGAAAACAACAGGGGAGGGATAAAAAAAAAAGCTTTGAAGGGCACTTATACGTAAAGAAGAGAACCCATTCAGACGGGAAAATTAGATGGCAGCCTCTCTGCTTATTCCCATTTATACAAACCATTTTGTTGCACTTTGATGTTAGTTCTTCATGATACGCCAATTACTCTTCTTCCGGTGGTTCCGTGAGTCCCTTAAAGTCAGTGAAAACAAAGTACCCGAATGAGACGGGGTGTTTTACACACTAATATATATATATATATATATATATATACTTAGATTTGGTCTATTCCTCCGTACAGTGCTCAATGCTAATAGGCAGAGCAAAATATATATTGGATAAGGCAGACTAATGGAACATGGTTGCAACTCCGAGTTTCACGCCTTGCGAGCGATCATCAGGCAATTGGTAGCATTCTTAAAAGTACATGATTACTCTACAATCTACAATACGTTCAAAATAAGACTTAACTAATACAATACAATACAAAACAATAAGATTTACTCATGGGTGAAGGGGCTATTGTAATTGCTCAGGTACTGCGATGGAATTTTAAACATGGGAGGGGGTATCGCAAAATAGTCACCACCAAGGTGCTAGTACATAAATATATATATATTT